CCAGTCATTACACTCTTCCAAGGGCAGGCTTGTATTGAAAACATACCCGCAGATAAAGGCCGTTCGTTATCTCCCATTACATTGGCTGATAGTACACATACTTGGGTTGTCATCCAATACGGTCTTATAAACCTCATGTCTGTGGTAGTAGGGGTAAGCAACGACAGTTCCCGAAATTCAACCGAGTTCAACAAGGACAATGCCTTGAAGGTAAAGTTGTCATCCTCAATAGAGGTAAAGCATGATGCTTCATACGTTAGAAGTAGCTAGCACAAGTACAATGCGGCACACGTTTTCAGTCAACCAGATCACCCTTACTCTAAGTGTCTACAGTTTCAACGTACCCAAAATACACCAACATTTGGCGGCTCAGTTACAACAACAGACATGTCGTCCCGAATACCTCAGAGTTCAAAGTTTATCTTTCCTTAAAAGTCACCTTCCCTTGACCCTTTTATTTTTAGAGTTCACCGAACCAGATGGTTCATGTCTGCCCATCTTTCTTTATGCTTAGGTCACATTTGAAACGGCGCCCGTTCGGCATGTCCTCGGCGTAGACACCGACCGGCGTCATGACGCCGAGCGTGCGCCGTACTGTCAGGGTCACAATTAAATGTTCCTTTACGGCTCCCTGTCGGGGCCTGCTTGTGCTCCGGCCGGCGGCTCTCATTAATATTCATAAACTTTTGCGGCCGGTTTCTGTCAGGGACCCGTCCGGTGCCAGGTCAGTCGCCCGTCTTGACCCGTGCGGCGTGTGGTAGGGTGCCGACCGGCTCTTACAGTTCGGCCGGGCAGCTGTCAGGTCCCTGGCGGGTTCCTGGCGGGATCCCGACGGGCTCCTCTCGTGTTTTTGAGCAGGTACATATATAAGCGCTGCACTGCCTGCTACCGTTCACTTCAAGTAAAGAGTACACGTCAAGTAAAGAGTAGACTGAAGTTGGCGATGCAGCGTTCAGTGCAACCTGCAAACAACTTACAAACCCGTCTGAGATTGAGATTGGTGACAACCTACATGTAGGTCTTCTGGCATTGGTAGCTGAAGAAGAGAGGCAGGCAGAACTGGTGCGTCGCAAAAGTAACCGAGGGCCTACTTTCGAAAGTACTTCAGCAGTGACGCAGGAAGTACTTCAGCAGTGACGCAGGAAGTGTGCCGTGGCAGCTCCTTGCTATTGAGCAATAAAACCACTGAATATCGTTACTTCTGTTGAAATTTGGACTGAAAATAAATGCCAATAACTTCTGATTCCATTTTATTACGAAGGCATATGATGTAACAAGAGATAATGTCAGACACATTCTATTCCTGTTATGATCTGTTTTATGAAGTTGGCAAGAGAGCCGTGCCGGCTGTTTTCCCTTGCCCTTCGACATTCTGACACACAAATACAAGGTGTAACACACACAAGTACACGATGTAACACACACGTGGTGAACTGTGCGACGTAATCTGAGGCAGGAGTTTATATATGCTCCCTATAACCCCCTTTTCCTGACCATCTGATGCACTGATCAACACAAGTGACGTCATAATCTTAGACAGGTGCCTGTTCGGCCGCCCGACGGGTCCCGGGCAGTGAGGTTACGGCGTCGCTTCGGCGTATTTCGCCGAACGGGGCCCGAAGTGTTTTTAACTCTGAGTTAAAATCGATTCGGCGACCGCGCGGGGCCAAAAATAGGCCGGCAGCCGTCGGGAAGCCCGCCGGTCTCCGTCTAGGTCCCGTTCGGTAGTGCCAAAAAACACGCCGAACACGCGCCGAGCGGGCCCCTTTCTTGAATTGTGACCTAAGCATTAAGTCGCGGCCAGGATTAAGATTAGAATGTATAACCCCCTGGCCCAGGTGTTTCTTGGATTTCTTTAGTGACACCTTTACTTAAAGAAAACCGCTCTTTCATCAGTCTCCACCTAGAGTGAGATAAGCATGGTTTTAAAAGCTTGTCCTATGTTTCTCGTTGTAGCCGTTGCCATGGTGACGGTGACTCGTGCCCAGGACAACACGATCTCGTACACAGGGCTGTGTGGCCCCGCGGCGTGCTGCCAGTCTCAGGAGAACGAGTACGTGAGGCTGCAGGACATGATGGTAATGCTGGTCCGCCAGGTGGCGCTGCTGCAACACGCTCTGGGTAAGGGTTTAACCAATATGTAGATAAGATAGTCCCATAGCTTTTTTCAGGCCGTAGGTTAGGTTTATTGGATGGTACTACAACAGTACGTCTAGGGCACAGTTTTGGAAGGTGGAGCCCATGCCTTCCAATGCTGTGTTGCATGCACCGCTAGCTCTCCAACCGAGGCCAGGTAGCCATTTTACACCTGGATGGAATGAGAAAAGTCGTAACGTCCGTTTCCAAAGGACACAACATTTTGCCAGGATTGGCAATCAATAGGGTTATCAAATGAATATAACAGACTTGCCGCATACGTTCAGCACCATAACGTTAGAAGCTTAAGCTATGGATTGTTATGAAATTCAGCCTGCAGTTAGGTCTTGATCCATCATACATGTGTAGGAATGGTGGTTTTCCCTAGTACTACAGAAGAACTCTTTACTCTCAACTTGCAGGAGCCGACCCTGACTTCCACTGGGACCTGTCCGGCGGCTGCTCTGTCACCTCCCGTCAGCAGTCACCATGTGGCGACATGTGCAACTCCAAGACCATCTACGGCAACGTGGGTCTCCGCTCGGGGCAGGCCAGCGGGGTGCTGCAGACCATCCCGGGCCCGGACGGCCAGCACTGCGCCGTGTCCCTGTCCGCTAGCCTGAAGCAGTCCGTGGACCTGGGAGACTTCCGCGCGACGTGCGTCTCTCACCACGGGCTCTGTAGCCAGAAGGGGCTAACGGTGTCGGTCTGGCTCAAGATACCGAAGGTGATTACTTCGTGATAACGTATGATGTACAATTTGTATTTGTATAAAGGTAAAATTTTTGTTCCAACACAAACGGGTAAATGTTCTGATATAAATCATAAAACTTTCGACTAGTCACTCTGATCTCCCTAGCTCGGTAGATTGACCCAGTGAGGCTTCAACACTGGGTCAAAGGTACATCGTTTACCAGATGTCTTTGACCCAATATTGACGTCACACTTCAGAGAAGGCACGTGACAAGTCTCAGTGGGTCAGTGTAGTAAGGAAGACAAGAGTGACTGTCCGAAAGCTCTAGGTGAGAACATTTTAACCTCTTTGTGTTGGATCAAAAGTTTTACCTTTAAACATGTAACACATATTTCTGTGATGTATTTCACGAAACAAACCATTCATTCATCCAGGAGGCCAACAACGGGCGAGTCTACCTCCTCTCCTCTGGCGGCCAGACCGGCAGCGCCCGCGGCTTTTCCGTGTACGCCACCGGTAACCAGTACAGCTACATCCCGACCAACAAGTTTGTGTTAACGGTTCGTTTGTTTTAATATCATGAAAGTCCATCTGTGTTGGTAGTTACATGTTTAGAGTTAAAACTTTTGGTCCAACACAAAAAAATTCTCTCACCTAGAGCTTTCCACCAGTCTCTCTGGTCTTCCTCAGTAGACTGACCCAGTGTTGACGTCACACTTCAAAGAAGCCACGTGACAAGCTTCACTGGGTCAGTCTAATGAGGAATACCAGAGTGCCTGGTTGAAAGCTCTAGGTCAGAGAACTTTTTTTTTTGGTTTGTTTGTTTGTATATATTTGTTTGAAGCGTAAGAGTGTCCTGGCTGATTTCAGGTCTACCTGAAGCACAGAGACCTGGCCTGGAGAGTGGACACCTCAGAAATACCTGACAACACCTGGTTCCACCTTGCGTTCACCTGGACAAGAGCGCTGGGGGTTAGAGTCTACGTCAACGGTAACCTGGTCGGCCAGGGGTTCGGTAAACCCACAGGGTTCTCTCAAAACCATGGCAACACGAACCTGGTGCTGGGGCGGTCCAATCAGAGGGAGCAGTTCCACGCGACAGCCGCATTCAGCAACCTGAAGATTTTCACGCGGGAACTCACGGCTTCCCATGTTGCATTGCTTCACGAAGAGATTAACGCCATTACCAATGGTGTGTGATCACGTGTCTGAGACTTTAACACAGTATTGTAATGCCCTAGACTCTTCTATCATGCCCAGAAACTTGGGTGTAAATGTTGAATGTTAAATTACAAAATCTAAGTTTGACCTAGCTTATCTTTCACATGTGATGTAGAAATACAACCTGCATATGCTGTTTGAGTTGTATCTCTGATGTCTATACCTAACCTACATGTAGCTTGTTGGCAGAATGTACTGTGCCTGTGCAAAACCTTTAATGAATTGTGTATAGCAGGTCAGCATAATGTCTCTTTTACTGTTGTCTTGACGTATTTGACATCCCATCTATAGTTATGTGAAGGAAAATTCTGACGCAACATCCAACGAGAACCATTAAAAATCAGGTTTTCACAAAGGCACAGTACGTCTGATGATGTGCTATCCATGACTCTAATGTAATTGGTTCCCTACGTAATTCACACTATGCACTGCCGTGTAGAAGACAAAGTCAAACATGAAGCATGGATTGTTGTCACCTTGACAATACGTCCATACCTGGTTTTATTCGGCAATTTCTACAGCAGAAACAATCCGTATTGAGCCATATATCATGAGCCATATAACTTGAAATACAAATACACTTTGTAAACTTTTTCATTATGCCAGAGCTAGTAGAACTGCTTTCTTTTGAATAATTCCAAGAAATGAGAAGAAAAGCACGAAAAGCATCATAGCCAAAAAAGTTTCTTTGGGTATAAATACTATGACAGTATAAAACAAAAGGTTAACCTTCTCTTACATGTACAATTCTGTAAAACATGATACCTGGCCAGTGACTAGTCACTTTCTTCTAATATAATCTGTAGTTGTGATCTCCCCTTTCTTGTGCTTTTACATGCTACATTGCTCACATTTGTATGGTGTACACAATCTTGTACGTATTGATAGACACTGACATGTTAAAACATGCCTTATACATGTAATTGTATTACAGAATCTTGACTTTCTAATAAATCTATGTAGTAAGTAAGTAACTGCTACATTGTATATCGTATATGTAATATTTTGTGACACATCATTACAATAAGACAAAAAGGCTCCACAAATTTGTTCATTTACTTTGCATATCATTTGGCCACAAAGGCCAACATAAAAAGTCTTCGAACCCCCCAGAATTCAAAGTTCTCTACTTGGTACTTCCCCAAATTGGATACATACATACATACAACATTCTGGAACAGTCCAACAGAATGGAGGGGTGGGAGATAGGATGCTCAGAATGTTGGTAGCTCAAACTTCACATCGACTTTCGTCTGCTTCGCAAGTTGAACAATGGTAGACAACCGCACAGCCTGATGGGGACAAAAAAAGAAGGAAAATCATTACTGTAGATCATTTTATGTTTGCAGTGACTTAAAACGTATGGTAGAAAAGCAGGCATTTGCAGTAGTTTGACTGTTTGAAACAATACCTTCTACATTGTATCACAGTTAAAGACTGTAAGAGCACATGTTCTAGGTTTGATGTGTTTGCAGTAACAGCTAACTGCAAAAAACTTCAAACATACAACCTGAGCAAAGATTTCATGATGTACAATACAAGTAATTAGTCAGCTATCTACTTTACTTGTCATCATCATCATCATCATTCCCGGGTGTTATTTCACTAGTATGAAATGTAGTACTACATGAAAATTTAGAAATTAAATGGCAAAATTTCTCGAAGAATTCTACAGAATTTTGTAGTGATCCTAAGAAAAATTTAGGTGGACCCTAAAGATTTTCAAGAAGAAACATGACATTGTGTTTATGATAGACGTACCATCTTAGCTGCATCATCTAGGTTGTCACAGGCTAGGATTCTCAGTCCACTGGCAGCTATCAGGGCCTTGGCATCGTCTACTTGTGTTCCTGCAGGAAGAGACATTACAGGAGTGTCATTACTGTTAAGCTTTTAAGGTACAGGTACAAGTACAGGTACATGGGTTTAGGTACAGGCCTAAACCTGGACCCGTATTGTAACAAGTTTGGCCAACCATCTGTAAGTTACATGTACATGTAGACCTGTAGCCAATTGTGTTTTTTTTAGTGGTAAACTATTTGTCTTCATTTGATGGTATAAATACATGCATCTTGGTCTAAAAAACTTAAAAACCTACTGGTAGATCTTAATTAGAAGAATAGTAAGAAGCAAAAGTTCTAGTCACAGAGTATTTACATGTACCTTGCAACTTCACTGCAAAGGAATTTATTTTAGTGGAAAATTGTTGTCATTGTATGACTATGAGGGTTTGTGTATCTAAAACAGTTAAACCTCAGAAGAATGTTATCAGGCAGATGTGTTTGCAATAACACATACCTTGCAACCTGACTACAATGGGCACTTTGAGATCCAGCTCTGTGGCAGCCTCGATGATGCCCTGAGCGATGACATCACAGCGCATGATGCCGCCAAAGATGTTCACCATGATGGCCTGAACCTGGGGTATGCAGATAACACTCATCAGAAGCTCTAATAATATACAATGTATATGACCTACTTCTGTCAGTATTGATCATGGTAAAAAACTGTTAACAGCTCTACAGCTTCAGCTATGACTGAACAGTCCTATACGAGAATCAGTCTATGCCACATAGGGCACATCTATATCTGTAAGCTGACTCAAGTCTTTTTGAGTTATTTTTTATACCTGCAGCCGACTGCTGCCTACCCGTGTCAGGGACCACTGCAGCAGTATGATCAAAGACTGGATACTACTACTATTACAGTAACTGCTAAACTACATGTACTACCAAAGTAAACAAGTACCTCCGTTTCCCTGAGGTACAAAACTAATGAGGAAGGGAACTGCAGGTACTATGACTTACGTTAGGGTCAGAAGTGATGAGTTTGAAGGCCTCAGTAACCTGTGCTGCCGTTGCGCCGCCTCCCACGTCCAGGAAGTTAGCCGGGGACCCCCCATGGAGCTTGATGATGTCCATGGTTGCCATAGCAAGCCCCGCCCCATTCACTATACAGACAGACAGATTAAAACAGGTGTAAGCACATGTAAATAAAGGGACAAAGTTTCTGTGCACAGGGCACTGAAAAAAGGTTACTTTTTCAGATTGTACCACAAATGTTCCAGAAAGATCGTACAACAAGTACAATGTATTACTAACATTAACTCACTTGTTCTCTGCACACTCAAGATCAGTTATACATGTACATGTATATGTTCTCTTCCATGTTATTCTTTTCTTTCTCTACATGTATGTTCTGGTCACTTGTTACTAGCACATGTGCAATCTGCTAATAAACCATCGATGGGGCTAAGCAGAAGCTAAATAACAAAAAATAAGCAGTAAGAAAAAAGAGAGGGACTGTTTTTTCCTTACCGAGGCAGCCAATGTTGCCATCCAGGCCGATGTAGTTGAGGTCAGCCTTGGCAGCCTGAATGTCTCGTTCATCCTCCTGTGACCAGTCACGAAGGGCGAAGATGTCCTTCTGACGGTACTCCGCGTTGTCATCAAAACGCACCTTGGCATCCATGCAGTACACTGTGGAGTGAATCAAAGGAAAGTATATAATACAGTGTGCCAGTGGCAGTATTAGAAGACTGCAGGTATAGTTGTTGTAGCCTATTGTACCTCGGCATCCAAGCAGTACACTGCGGAGGACACAAAAGGGAAGTATAGTACAGTATAGCAGTGCCAGCTAGCATATGTAACTGGTACTGCAGGACAAACAGGTTAACAGATAGGTGTTGTAGGTTGCTGCCTTGGCATCCATAAAGAAAACTGTGGATGACACAAAAGGAGAGTATGGTACAGTGTAGTAGTGCCACCTGTCATGTGTAACTGGTACTGCAGGACAAGGATACATGAACGTGTTGCCTGTTGTAAGTTGGCATCCATGCAGTACACTGTGAATCAAAGAAAGAAAAGTAAAGTATGTACAGTGCAGTAGGGCCACCTGTCAAGTGTAACTGGTACTGCAGGACAAACAGGGCTAGATGCTGTAACTTGCATCTTGAAATCCATGCAGTACACTGTGGGTGACACAATACACTGTACAATATTGAATCAAAGGAAAGTATAGCATAACTGTGTAGCAGTGCCACCTGTCATGTGCAACTAGTACAGCAGGACAAACAGGTATACACATGTAGTTGTCATGGCCTACTGCACCTTGGCATCCATGGTAAGTCAAACGTTCCCACCTTTTCCATTAGAGTCCTCTGACATGGGGTTGATTTCCACCATGGTGGCGTCTGTCCGACTGAACATCTCATAGATCTTCACCATCATTTCTGCTGCCTGCAGATAAAACACATCATATAGTGGTGAAATACAAAAATCATACACACATGTATGTATTTTTAAGCAATAGTATTGGGTGAGTTTCATACTTTGAAGCTTTATGCTGCCAAGCTCTGAGTTCATGTCATTTTTAAACACAACTTATACCCTCAGCCTTTTCAAGCAGGGAGCTAGCAAACAACAAATGGTTATGTTACTTCTTTGTTATTAAAAAAAAAAACAAAAAAAAACAACAACAACAAAAAAACAAATGGTCAATGCAAAACAAGGATGGCTTGTCTTAGTACATAGTTTCTGTACATGCAGTAAATATACTAATGATGATACATGTACAACTGACATGGGTGTATCAAACTGCAAGTTGTAGCCATACATGGACATGTCAGGGGTAACATGACAGCAGAAGAAAAGAACAAGCCACACACAAAACATGTGATACTTCTATGCCTTATAAAAACAATCTGGGATGTCAACCAATATTTGGGTAAATTAGTGATGCATACCGGTTCACTGGACTTGGATCCGGACTTGTAAGAATGTTTAGGTTCAAGTCCAAAAAAAACTAAAAGTCAAGAACTGAGTCCGGACTTATTACCATAAAAGACCATTTCACATACCCCTTTTCTTTCCAAACCACCTAAAACCTTCCGCATATTGTAAAATCTTTGCTGCAAAATGAAGAAAACATTTCCATCGGGCATCGTCAAGTACCGGCCTCCATGTTATGTGGCCAAAGTTTCACCCAGACAACATAGCAAGGTTGCCAACATGCAATTTTGTATATGCCATGGGTTTAGGTCTGGACTTACAAGTCTGGAACTGAACCTAAACCTCTGGACTTGAATCCAGACCTGAACCTAAATGTGGGTTTAGGTATGCATCAATACTGACGACTCAACAACAACATGCAAACAGTTCTTCTCTAGACCAAACCTCCTCCTGAAGATCTTTCTGGAAGTTCATCTTGGCAGCTATGCCTCTGGCTTGGTCAATACTCAGTCCTAAACACACACACACACAGATATACAACAGAGGAAGAGTTACAGATATAAGACCACAAAGGAAAAAGGGAAGGGATCGTTCTTTGTTGGTGTAGAGGCTGGGGTAGCAATCTGTCATACTTTTTTGTCCCATCCTATTCTACATGTAGCTCAGGTTTTAGCACCCATTCCCACTGAAATGTCTGTCCCAAAATCATTTTGGGTATTAAATATTTTAAGACGAGTAAAAAACATGTGATTGCTTGTTCAACACACTATACTGATGCAGAGGACAATGTAATTTGGAGCGAATTGAAGCTCTTATGTGTATTCAAGTCAATATTGAAATGCCAATCAAATAAATGAGTGCCAAATACTAGCAGTTCAACAGTGAAGAGGACTGGAGCTATGATAAGGTGTATACAGGATAAAATTTCTCTGCTGCCCCAGCACACAACTATACCAATAAAGAACACCCCTCCCCTGAATAGGATGATCGGTACTGTACCTCCTGCTGGAGTTTGGGACTAAACTTCATTCTCTCCGCTACTCTCAGGGCCTGATCAAGTGACAACCCTGGGAAACAGGTTAGCGTGAAAACATGTTACCTGGTTGACAATATTTTTTTTTGTAGCCTGGCTGCCATCCTCTGTGGTAGCCAGTGACATAAGGGAGCCGGTAGAAACTACGGAGGATGACACCTAGGCCTTTTTTTTTCAGGCCAACTTGGGCAAGTAAGTCAGACTCAAGGAAAAAAGCTAGCACCAGGTAAAAACAACATGTGTCAGTACAACTGAATACACATTTGAGTCTTTCAAGTTTGATGGTACAATCACTTTACCCATCGAAATCCACTTTGACTTTGTCCAGTAATCTATTTACCTGATAATGTTGTATTCTTATTAGTCATTTTTTCGATCTTTCTCAATGATTCAACAGTCATGTCTGCTATGTTGGTATACGAATAAGGAATTGAAAGAATCATTTTGAGCACAAACAACAAGTAATACTGTTGCCATTTGAACAAAATGTGGATATTTACAAAACATAAGATATCTACCAACCTTCTACGATGTCAATGCCCTCCTTGATGATGGCATCAGGATATTCCTCTGCTATTTCCTCGATGTTGACTCCACCTTGAGAGCTGGCTACAATGGCTGGTCCCTACACACATACACAAACATAAAAACTTTCATTCTAAATGCTGGGTGCATGTGCATGATTTTCCACACAAAATTGGAGCTGTACACCTGGTATTATGACAATGGGTGCACTGGTGCACCTTTATAATTGTGTTGGGTCATCTACATTGAGGCATTGTAATTGTGCCAGTATCAGAAAAAAAAGTAACACATTTGTTGTATTACAATGTTTAAAAGTTTTGTGTTTATGTTATATTAAATGCCATTTGCAAGCTCTAAAGAGGTATGTGTACTAGTATGTGTGCACCTATTCCAAAAAAAAAAAAAAAAGAATTTTGAGCCCTCTTTGATGTCATAGTTCTTGTGTAAGAATTTTCTCCGGACTTTAAAGCTTATGCAGCCTACCTGTTTGTTATGGGTGATTTCACAAGGTGTTTTGACCAAGTTTAGCTTAGTGACTTAGCAATTTTTTGCCCTAGTAGAGCAATTTAAATTTTTAAACTGACTCCCATTGAAAACCATTCACCCTGTATTGGGCAATATTAGCATTGGAAAGCAGAGCCCATCCCTAGACATTCTTCGAAACAAAAGGCAGGTACCCATTTACACCTGGGTGGAGTGAGGAAAGTCATTTCCCAAGGACTCAATGTCTAGTCAGGTGTGCTAGGAATTGAACCCAGGATCTCTCATTTGCATGTAATATGGCCTACTTGTAAGCATTCGGCTATCAATGCTTGTACACACAGTGTAGGCAGGGCTTGCAACGCTTATTTTCTGCATACCTGCATGTGTGCAGGTAACATTGAAAAGAACCTGCACCAGGCGTTACTTGCACCACTCAGAATCATACTAAATATACTATTTTACTAGAAACCATTGCCATTATTTCTTTTGTACCAATATAGTCTTCATAGATGGTAACAGTGACTGTAGTAAATAAAAATTCCCATACACCTACATCTGTATATAAATGCAGTACATGTACATGTACATGGAATGGTGAAGGTAGATATCAGAATATCTGAAATACCAGCACAGGTCCAGGTTTACCTGCACTAACCTGTATATGCAGGTGATATTTTGAGCCCTGGTGTAGGTAAAAAAGTTTGGGACATACTAACCCCATACGCTCTCTCCATCACAATAGCAAAGTAGAACTCTCTCCTGGGGTACAGCCTCTCCACCAGCAGCACCTCATTACATATCCTCCCTGCCTCGCCCGTCTGCTTGGTGAAGATCTTGTGGCCAAGCATCTTGGTGGCGATGTCCTTACACTCCTCGGGACTGTATGTGATAGGAGGAGACAAAATCCTTTTAACTCTTGCTACGTACTATGGCTGTGTGCCAGTTCAAGGTACAAGTTCAGACCTGAACATTAAGTGTACTTTTACCTAGTAGACACAAACTATTAACACTTGTGAGGACACTGTTTTCTGGACCAAAGATAGGTAAATTTCATCTCAAAGATGCGTCGATGAAGGTTAGACATCCAGGTAATATGATACGCCAAAAAACAGTTACTCAAGCAACTGGATATGATTTTGAAAACGTCAGACGTTTCAGCTAGTATCCACTAGCTTTCGTCAGTGACTGAGAGACCAGAGGGGAAAGCATCTCAAAGATGATATTTCCCCTATACTTCCATAGTACTCTTGGTGGTACATGTACCGTCATGTAGCATATCTAATTTTAGGCCTATTTCAAACAGTTCAAAATTTAACTGATGGCAGTAAATTAATGCTAATATCAGACAAATTTCTCTACAATATTTTTTGTTTTGCCAGCCTTAAGTTAAATTGCGTTTGGATGCACATGTGACTGACTTACGAGAAGACAATCTTGACCCCTCCCTTGAGCCCGCTGTCGAAGGATCCCTTGCCACGCCCACCTGCCAGGACCTGGGCCTTAATCACGACATCCTCTCCTCCTGCAAATAGGAGAAACTTGGTTAGTCATTTGCTCTATTCAGTGTTCTCACCAGGCTGTTTAAACATAGAGGCCCCCTACACTATGATTTGGACCCCTTTGCTGTGATTTAGCCCCTTACATTGTCTTCCAACCAGCATATATCTGCAAGCTGGTGTGTTATGCCGAAGGGCGTTTATACCAGATATACCAATATGATCGATACAGAATATCGTTTTAGATATATCTTTTTAGGAAGAACCTGTGACCTTTCATAATCTTCAAAAAATCAAACTTTGATTTTAGAATAAAGCTATCAGGGGGAAAACTTTACAAAACTTGTTCCTGAAAAATAAGGAAATTTATGTCTCAGAGGGTGAAAATTTATAATTTTTCAGAGAGAATACCCCTACAGTGGTTACGTCTTTGGATGTCCAGCTTAAACTGCAGAAAGTTGTCCTTCTGTACCCGTTTGTTCACCTTCACAGTGTAGTTAGGTAGGTCTAACAGAAGAGTTTCTCCTAATCTCTTAGTCTTACCGAGTTTTTTGGCGATCTCGAAGGCTTCCTCAGGAGACCTGGCCACCTCTCCCCGAGGAGTGACCACCCCAGCATCCCTCAGCAGCTGCAGACTGTGGTACTCATGGAGGGACAGGTTCCTCCTCTGTTGGACATTGGGGCACACTCCTAACACCTGGGGGATATATCATATATAGGTCGTAGACATATGTCAGTGAAGGTTAGAAATCCAGGTAACAAGATACACAAGATAACAGTTATTCAAAGTAAAACAACTGTGAAAATGTGATTTTGGAAACGGTCAGGAGTTTCAGGTTTTTGGAAATGTCTGACTGTTTCCAAAATCATATCCAGTTGCTTGAGTAACTGTTTTTTGGTGTAGGTCATACAGACATGTACACACAGGTTCTCACTTCAGGATATGGCTACAAAACCTTCAATAAACTTTTAGTGAGAAAACTATGATCAGCAAATATACAAAAGTAACGCCCTCCTTTCTCAGCACTGGAACACCAGAGCTGAAGTGGTACTCAGCACTGGAAATCCAGTGCTGAGGCGGCTTCAGCTCTGGAATAGAGCCATTCAGCTCTGGAAACCGAAAGCTGAAAGGAGTTCAGCACTGGAATTCCAGTGCTGAAAAGTCTCAGCACTGGAAGTGGAATTAAGAAATTATGTTCCGCACTGGAAACCGAGTGCTGAGCAGAGGCCACCGTCTCTGAGGCATTCATGAGCTGTGAGTTCATGAAAAAAAGTCAGAAGAAGGTCAGAAAAGGGTCAGAAAAAAAGTTGTTCATAATCTCTGGTACTTTGGTTCATATCATAATCTCTGGTATCTCTGGTTGATATCACTTATACTGGTGCCTATATATAATCGTGTTAATTTTTCTCTGCGAAAATGAACGAAAATAATCACAAAGGTGCCGTTTTAGTTTCTTTAGTTTCCAAAACCACATGTAGTGAAACACAACAGCGTAAGGTTTTCAATAACGATTAAAGAGTAAACTCAGTGGCAGGAATACAAGTGATTCGGCACAGCAAGGAGTGGCACAGATTTCCTACCTCTCAGCACTGGGACATAATTTTCCAGTGCCGGGAAAGACGTCAGCACTGGTTTGAAGAGCGTCCCAGTGCTGAAGGGACGTCAGCACTGGTTTTCCAGTGCTGAATTCTTCCCCAGCACTGGTAAATCCAGTGTGGAGGGCGTTACTTTTGTATACGAGCACTCGGTTCCAGTGCTGAAACCGCCGTCAGCACTGGGGACCCAGTGCTGAGCGACCTTTGAACTGGCTCTGCCGCGCGTTCAGCACTGGAGACCGAGTGCTGAAGGGACTTCAGCACTGGAAACCGAGAGCTGAGACAACGTTCAGCTCTGGAACAGAGCCGTTCAGCTCTGGAAAACCAGTGCTGAATATTTTTCAGGACTGGAATTCCAGTGCTGAGGGGAGCTTCAGCTCTGGAAAAGAGCCGTTCAGCTCTGGAATTCCAGTGCTGACGAAATTTCGACCGCTGATTGAGCACTGGAACACCAGTGCGGAGGGCGTTACTTTTGTATATTTGCCTATGATCATAGCAGGCTATATGATGCGAATCCTAACAGTAACACACCTGAAAGATATAGGTAATCTGGTCATCTAAATATATGCAGGACATGGCATATGGGATATAAATAACTGCTATATCATGTTACTTACTGGTCAAATACTTTTTCTTGTTGTATTATCTGAACAATACTGTCCATTTTCCTGTGTATTTTTCTTTTCAATAATACGAATCAGTTAGTTTTGATGACCTAAACATGTACTAAAAGATTGTCAAACCGGCATTCTTGACATACTGAACACAGGTCATTTTTGCTGTCGGGGGAGGGGTCATCTATAAACCATCATAACACTAGCAATATCACGTCAAAAACTACAGCTATAATTCTTAAAATTACAGAAATAGAAGTTCAGTACATGGTCGACATTTGACAGGAATTTCGATGGAACTGGACTCACCCTTTGTCCGTTTTGCACCACTGTCCTTCCAGCGGTCGAGACTGCCCGATACAGAAGGGACGCCATTTTGGATCTCTTCTGTTCTACCGCATACACACGTCAAAAACCCAAACAAAAATTTGTTGTAAAGTAAAGGTTTTCGTCAGAAAATTAACAGAATCGTCAAAAATACAGTAATTATATTATATAAATGCTAGTATACGACACATATTACAAGTATAATGCAAATTTAGGCTATATTTAGCTAGAAAATTGTATTTTGTTTGGTTGTTGTCTCATTTATGACGCAACCAGCTTGCCCTTTCACCTCTGACCAGGCAAAAACTTGTGCGAGTTCCCGCATGAAAAATCTGGCAAAAAACGAAGAATTCTGACTCAAAGGTACGTTTTCAGGTAAACCATTCAGTCAAAAGTTGTTAATACATATATGAGAATAACAAATTTTGAAGTCGTAAGTTTGGGTTGTACCAAATAGTTTGTAAATAGCTTGCAGAACTTTTCTTTCACGTGAGTGGAGAAATGCATGGGGGAGGGGGGTTACCGTTACATGGCATGTGTTTCTGTTCTTTCTTCACATGTTTGTTGTCAACTTTTGTGTACAGCGTTACTAACGACTATTGTACATGTTTCAGTCTTGCGTACGATACAATGCACTCCGAGGTCGACCAGGCGAGGCCACTACGAGTGGTGGAATTCTACAGTGGGGTGGGGGGCATGCACTATGCTATCCTTGAGAGCAAAGTGCCTGCTACTGTAGTGGCTGCACTGGACATAAACACCACTGCAAACGCCGTCTACAGGCACAATTTTCCACACATCAACCTCCTCCAACGGGACATAACTGGCATCAAACTGCCAGAATTCGAGTTGTGGAACGCGGACGTATTTATGATGAGCCCCCCTTGTCAGCCCTTCACTCGTGTGGGTCTGAAAGGGGATACCGCAGACCCCAGAACTAAGAGTTTTCTGTACATCTTGGACATCCTTCACAGGATGTCCAATCCCCCCAATCACATCCTCTTGGAAAATGTGAAAGGGTTTGAGACATCAGAAACTCGAAATAACCTCATTACCACTCTAGAGGAATGTGGCTATTCCTACCAAGAATTCCTCTTGTCACCTAACCAGTTTGGAATCCCAAATTCCAGACTAAGGTACTTTCTCTTAGCAAAGAGAAAACCGCTCACATTTGCATTTGAGCAACAGTCAGAGATGATGACAGAGATGCCATCAAACTCTCTGATTGGCTCAGCAACACCAGCCAATCAGAGCTCTCCTTCAACCGAAGCAGCCAATGAAACTGCTTCACAGAACAGCCAGGAGATCCCCTGTCCATATAGTATATTTGATCCTGAAGACAGAGACACAGCAAATTGTCGAGACATCTCCGAGTTCTTGGCAACACACTCTAAGGAGGAAGAGGAGCAACTGCTTCTTCCAGACAAGCTTCTGGACCGCTACTGGAAAGTTCTCGACATTGTCACACCCAGTTCTAGACGTTCATGTTGCTTTACTAAAGCATATGGACATTACACTGAAGGCACAGGCTCTGTGTTGTTCTCTCAAAGAGACGTAGACGCTAAAGAAATCTTTCGTAAGGTAGCCAAATCTGAGGACCAGTCTGAAAGGCTGGATCTCCTACATCAGTTGAAGATGAGATTTTTCTCGCCCAGGGAAGTGGCTAGCTTACATTGCTTCCCACCTGAGTTCACTTTTCCTGAAGCTACAACTACTAAGCAGCGGTACAGGGTACTGGGAAATAGCTTGAATGCCCATGTGGTGGCAGAGCTCTTCAAGCTGCTAGTTAAATGAACTGTTACAATTCAAAACAATGTATTAAGATTTAGATGGCAGAGACAGTATTAGCCGATCTCTTCAACTCTTTTTTAATATACATGTAGATTTGCAATGTAAGTAGTAAAGTGTCAATCTAAATGGCACTGCAAATGATCCTTGGTATAAAATGTACATGTAAGTTTCTATTCTAATGCTTCTATGATTCATGTACAGGTCCAACAGTTGTTTTTACGTATGAAATAATTTTTATTCCATGGCAGATGAGAAATCATTAAAGGTATCAATTACAAGTACCTATGAGTATTCAGTATATACGTGTGAAATATATGTTCACCATTTGTTTCCCTCTGCAAGTAGGTAACCGTTCAATCTTGCATTCTGCTGTACAGAATGGATGCTAGTAGAAATAATTTGTAAGGCATTCGGAGGCTTCTATCATTTGCTTGTCACCTTAGTGTGGTTTTATAAAGGGCCAGTGTAGGATAGTCGCAGGTAGACATCAGAAACACCCACACAACTCCTGCTTTACCTGCACTATAAAGCCCTTAGCTTCACCATTAGATCTGGATCAGAAGAGTTCAAGTCTTCTGTGAGAAGGTGTGGGTTGAAAAACGTCCATGTACACTAACACACACATGCATACACACACACACACACAAACTGTCACACACACATACACCTGATTATTATTTACCTTGTACCTAGATCTGTACTTGATTGTGTTCACTGACAAGCAGGAGCTACAAAAGTTGCCCTTCATTGCTTGATTGAAATACTACTTAGTAGTGTTGTCTGCTTTTAAGTAACGTTATTAAAAAATGTTAAAGAAGGTAAAAGAAAATGTGTCTAATAATATCCAGTGTTCTATCTAGTAATGCATCTAATCTAAGGGTCTCTGCAATAGAGATGAAAAGTTTCACTGAACGATGGTTGATACTGATCATGTTCCTATTGCTTTGATCAGAATTTTCACTTCAGTTCATTGGCAGCACTTTCTACTGGACCCTTAGTAAGCCTTCGTACTCTAGATGCAGCGCATAGTCCTGTGCCCTACAGTACTTCTTGACTCTCCCACACCATACACAGTAATTCCTAAACAAAGGCCAGAGCCTGTCTTCATTCTCGCGATCTTCCCTAGATAGTCTCGTTGGTTTCGTAGACGGCCTTTCGGCAAGTTTACGATCCAGCGCATTACGTTCTGCATATAGCGCGTAATAGCAGTTAAAATTCATGGTGGCTAGGAGGCAAAACTCGTCGTCTATTTGAAACCGTTGGTTCCATTTGCTTGCTGGGACCACAAGAGGTGGGTTGCCAAGTCCTCGGTCGCAGTGATCGTGCATCTGCTTGTTCAGTTCTTTCAGCTGGCGGACCTCGTCCCAAAAGTCTGGCGTCTGTTGGCTGATACGTTCCCAAAACGTCTGGTTGAAATGGCTGTACAGCCCGTAGTCCACTGGGGTCCATCTCTTGTGAGACTGTACCAGCTCGGGCGAGATGGGTTCATGCTTGTACGAGTAACTCTGCGAGTTTTCCTTGAAGTACAAGATGTCCTGGAGGTCCCAGCACATGTAACGTCTGAATAGGACCATGGACTCATCAAAATGTTCCATGATCATCACCAAGTTGAAGTCCTTCTCGATTTGCGTGACGTAGGCGTTGACTATGGACTGGATCTGTTCTGGTGGATTCACATCTTTTGGCATAACCTATTGAAAAAAGAGGTATGCACCATCAGAAAGTTTCTGGCAATGCCTTGTGCAGAGGCATTCAAAAATCTTTCATGACAATTTTGGATTATGATTACTTCAAGCTTAGGTAGAATACTAGTACAGCTGTAACTTAAGACTTCATAGCACATTATTAGATAGGGCTGGAGATCTATGCTTACCTTCTTTAGATACTTGAGAGGAAAACCCAGGTCTATGGCCATTGAGTTTCTGCTGAAGGCCACAGGATACTTTCTGTAGTAGTTCAGCCTGGGGTCATATCTGTTTTGTGTAGGAAGAATATATCCACTCTTTAAATTTGATTTGTGCAACTTACATGTTTGTGGCAGAGACTGTATAGCTATAGCTGATGCTGTAGGATTATGCAATGGTCAATATTGTCCTATGGGGGTCATACAGTATCAAATTGAATATGTATTTCAGGATACTAGTACTTGTGTGTGATGGACTTACTTGCCAGGATCGGCTAGGAAAGTGGAGACTGGTGTATCCCCAGTTATTCCCCACCTCTCGGGCAGCCCATAGAAGTTCATTGTTGACTTAAGGTGGCTCAGCGGCTCTCGAAAAATGGTGATGTACACTGGACAGGGAGAGACATTCAACATCTTTCAGGTCTTACCATTCACTGAATGAGAGCTAAAAGTTAATATGATACCATACATTCCGGGTCAGTTTGGTAATGGTTGTTCTTGACTTTGGTGAAAAATGGTGATGTGCACTGAACAGGGAAAGACAGTCAACATCTTTCAAAACTTATAATTCACTGCATAAAAAGTAGAATTTATGGTATGGTAAATGCCGGGCCAGTTTGGCTTTGGTGAAAAATTGTGATGTGCACTGAACAGGGAGAGAAATCCAACATCTTGCAGATCTTATAATTCACTGCATAAAAAGTAGAATTTACGGTACTGTACATGCCAGGACAGTTTGGTAATGGTCGCTTTTGGCATTGGGTCATGATTATGCAAGCATTATTAGACTCTGTGACTAGGGGCCATTATCAGACTTACCTGGAATTGAGTGCTATTATTTAGGCAACCGTTCCCAGACGCACCTTAGAGACTTACCTGTGATTTGCTGTTGACATTGGTGAACCCCACTCTTTGTGAGTAAGGCTTGCATGTCTAACCCCGGGTGTTTTCTAAGCTATTAGGTATATTATGTCACTGCCGAAATATTTTGTCTTGAGGGTGAAAATTTCCAGACCTGTCTGAATTTCATCCCAATTAGCAGTAGCCAAAATGTAAGCTGAAATAAAGTGACTTAATGAAATAGATAAAAATTTAATATCCAGATAAGATATGCAGGAGGATGAACAAAATGTAAAAACTTTAGACATTCCAAACAGTGAATGTCGTATGTAAGCTTATCAGGAAACAAAGGACAGCCAAGATCACACATTCCTGTGTTATTATCTAAGGATCTGTTACCTAATTGGCTAAGAGAAAACCTGTAGTTAGACATGTAGGGATAACAAAAGTTGACTTTACCAAAAGCTGTAAATGCTTCCTGCAAAACAATGACTGGCGCCGTTTTTTGCCGAAAGCAACCATCACCAGACCAGCCTGGCATTCATAACAATAAATCACCTCTGTGCAGTAGGCAATACTGAAGATGCCAAGAAAGATTGGAGAAAGCTAATCTTAAAGCTTATCTACCCATAGGCAAGAATCATGACCTAGGCAAAACTTGTACACAAAAAGTCCAATGAGACTGTTTTCTAGGCTCCTTTGCAATTTATATGACTGAGGGGTTATACCGGGTACCAGCCTCTACCAGGCTTCAGGAGGCGACTGGAAAGAGTAGAAATTGGCTAAATAGAGAGATAGCATGCCGATGGATGCGTGCAGTAGCGGACCAACTCCCTTGGCATGTTATCTCTCTATTTGGCCAATTTAATTTCTACTCTTTCCAGCCGTCTCCCGAAGCCTGGCAGAGGATAGGGTTATACCTGTGTCTTCTGGCATGATTTGATGGAAGGTGGCGCTGTCATACACGGTATGGTACGTCAGGATGTCAAATGCGCCCCCCTGAGGCGGCAGGTAGGCCTCAGGCTTGAGGTTCCACGGGTAGAGCCCGCTGTTGTTGAAGGGGAGGGGCAGGAGGAAGGACAGGCGCCGCTTGAAGCCGAAGTGGTGCAGGACTTCCTTGATGGTGTTGCCGCCGACCTTGTGGAGTTTGGGGAAGGCGACGCGACGTTTTTCTACGCAAACTGTGCCGTCTGGTGCGTTCCTCTCTACCGCTATCGCCCTGTGCCAAAACGAAGTGGATGTCAGCTTTTTTATAGGTTTTGAAAGCAATGTGTTTTTCAGAGAATACATTTTAGGTCTACCAAAGCCATATCCATCTGCTTTGATGAAGGTTAGACATCTGGGTAAAAGTGTTCCAGAATTTTGATTAGCTAAACTCTGTTCAGCAATTTTCTTGTGTACTACATTTACCTGATTCATGTCATTGTGAGTCACAGTAAGATTATTAGCTGGACAAAACGCGTTTTTTCGTTTGCGCAAGTTTGTTGGTCAGTGCTATACATGAGCTCAGGTTATTTTGAGTTTCGGTATTCATTGTCTGAGAGCAACACCAAACAAAACCGATGGCAGCACCATCAAGGGAAGTACTTGCAACTAAGTGCAGTCAGAATCCTGTCCTACCTCGCTACTCACCCCAATGATTTATACATTGCATCATTAGTACAGATACAACTCTGGTGGTTTCGTTTATCCAGCTGCAGATTGCGTAGTCCATCCAATATTCTATGTATATATACATTCGGTAGCAATGTAACCAGAATGTGCATTAACTAACCAGGATGGTACCCAGTATTTGGTGTGTATAGATACACACTGCTTTATTTACAGAGCTACAAAGGGGGAATCCACAAATGAAGGAGTGCTATATGCTATTCCAGTAGGCACAAGCCCATGAAAATACTACTCCTATAACAAAATTTGTAAAGGCTCGTCTATAAAGGTTAGGCATCCAGATAAAACATTACATAATACAACTTAAATCGAGCAACTGAAACGTCTAGACGATTTACCCAGCTATTTGATTTGTCATATTACGTTATACTGTTTGTAAAGATATGAACAAGAAAAACAAAGTGACTTACTGTTCATTATGTTGAGGGGTGTCTGGTAGAGCTAAAGGTTTCATACCGATCTCTCTCCTGTCTACCTGCGCGTCGTCCTGTGTTCTGTGACCAGGGTGCACCAGGTAGTTGGTGGACATGTACAGCCTTTGAGGGTAGAATAGAAACAAACGTCATCCAAACTATGCATGATCGTATAAAATGGCCAATGAACGTGGACGTACAGACTGTAAAGTATCTAACACCGCGTAAAAGAACAAATGTTTCCCTTCAAGTTTCGAGTTATCAACCAAGGATTGAGGTTTTCGAAAATTGGTTTTTCCGCAGAAATATCGATGAGGGGAACTCTCAACCTTCAAGCGTAGACGTTTTTAGAAGGGCAAAGGCTACGCGTGACGGGTTGTTCGGTTGGAGAACGTATAGCCAGGTGTGTCCCTGCGAATCTGACATGGTGTGCTATTTTGCCGAAGGGCTGTTATACCGGCTGTACAGATACAGACCACGAGTTGTCTAAAACTTCTCCCCCTGCCCTTCCCACTCCGTCCAGGTTTTCCAGTCCTGACATGCCACCGATCTTGTGCTCTTCGGAAAGGCACTTAAGACCACTTTCCCCACTTAACTTAAGTAAAAATGAGTATTATCTGCCCTGCATTTGTTTCCATGTGTGGGGCACAACACCAGCAACAGCTGCCTGTGCCCACGTGTATTGCACTGTTTCAATGAACAACTGCAATAAATCAAATCAAATGAAGTTTTTTTTTGCAAAGTTGTAAAGAGCAGACGAACCTACCTGCTGTATTGTCGTCCGAAGATGAAAAGGGTTACCAGTGAAACCACCATGGTCAGGATCAGCAGGCGGAACATGTTGCGATGGTTCATGCGAGCCAGCCGCATCGAGACTCGCTCAAGAGTGATCTCGACGGCAAAAAGACAATCAATCATTTTCATTGTCAACGAGTATCGCTCACAAAAAAGCCAGCAAAGTTTGTCACCACGCACTGACAAAGTTGTGGGTACGTACGAAGCTTGATCTAGCTGTCCTATGCAAACTGTTGGGAACAGATCTATATCTTATAGGAAGGTGCCGCGCAAAATAGAGGATAGTGTTAAATGAACTAACAAAAAATGGGGAGGTGGCCGTACGTGCGACGTATACGTCTAATTTAACATTCAAAATATCGAGGGTTACACAACGTAATGAGCGATGCGATTGGTTGTTGAGGTAATGACTCCCCCCAGAGCAAGATCAGATTTACTCACTGTACGTGAAAGGTTTCTGGGGTCGAAATTGTGACGTCTTCAACTACCTACGTTACCTTTGACCTGATGAGTGTTGCACGTTCTAGCTGACATGCGTGCCTTCTGGGTAAAGTGCTTCAATCGACCTTTTAACTTTAACGGCTTATTGGAGCAACGGCTACATTTTTATTGTCGAGACATTGGCGTCGATAACAATTTTTTTTCATCTCTTGTCGATCGTTATAGGTACATTTTATACGGACCAATATATTGTCCGGAGGAGGCCATATTGGTCAATATCATTAACTCATACTTGATGTAATCTCCAATCGAATCTTTTGGTGGCTGCATTTTAGCATGGTAGTATCCGTTTTCCAGGCAGGCAGGTACGATTTGCCACCGTTAAAAGAGATCCCAGTCAAAAAAGAAAGCCCCATAAACGCCTAAAACACGTCAAAAATGAGCCAAAGCCTAAGCCTCCGCTTGGAGGGTATACTTGGTCTTATTTGTTCTGAACTCTTGAAACATGTACAGGTCAGTAACCATTGCTTCTGGATGCGCCTATTATGTCCTTGCTGGGGGGCTTTGTTTTGTTGTCTCCAGGGTTTTCTGGCCGCCATTTCTGATAATTTTTGCCCAATTATCTCCTTCCACCTTTCTAGTAGACAAAGACAACTATTTAGGAGCAGTACTGCTTCTTTTCATTTTGGTGCCAAAAGTCCCTAAAATCGGGCTTTAGGCCTTGGGGCCCTCGGGCGATGACTACAAGGTTAGGTGTTGCACGTGTATCTGACACCATAGCATGTAACACTGGGGATCTTTTCCTTCTTTTAGACACAAATTATAGACTAACGTACACACGAAAGAAGACATCCAGTAAAGTCGTTGCCTTGCTTCGTATCGATTGCGTTGTTTCGTTAAGCTTTCAAATCATTCACATGGCAAAAATCGGGGAAATAATAGCCCATGTTATCGTTGTTATAGGAGATTTGGATGACCGAAACGCTATGTGTACGTTTTCTGCTGTTATTGTCAAACGAAGTGTCCATTTTTAGTAACACATCCTGAAGGTATCCAACCTGTTCATTAACAGAATTCACCACGGATTTGTATCTAGCATCCGCCACGTTGGTCTTGTCCCTTTTTGACATCGTCTGTTGCAGTGTTGAAACCGACGAAAACACTTTTGAAATCGCCAATCTCTTAAATCTATGATGAAAGCAGCGACAAAGCAACTCAGCTAAATGACACTTTACCTGGAACTCTAGGAACTTAGAACGTGATAGACTCTTGTAGGTAACGGGCACAAGGTTTTGTGGGATTATGACTTTCATGTCAAACACTCTTACTTCCGAAGTAACAGATACCAAGGTACATTTCAACCACAACATATCCTTCCAAATGCAGCAAGACGGTACTTTAAGATAAGGACCTATCTGTCTGTGTACGAATGTCTTCCAACTGAGTGATGATTGATTGTAAGATTTAGAGGTCAACAGTTTTCAAGAATGGTGTAAAACAAAAGCCCACTTACCTACAGCCAGAAGACGATCATGGGTATCTCCTTCTAATGTTAAGACCACACATTTCTGAGCGATGCTGAAGCCTTGTCTTGGGTTTCCATTTTGACTCCGGAAATAAGGCGAATGTCAAAAGCCAAGAAAAACTGTCAACGTTTACGTTTGTGAGAATGTCCCGAGGTTAGAAAAGAACAGACTAGAAAGCTATGACGTAGGTACCGGACGGGCCAGTCCCAATTACACACCAATCACTTGTGACAGATGTTAAAAGCCGCTGCTCCTTTTTTCGTTGCTGTCATTAGATTTTGTTTAATGTGGACTAACAAGAAATGACAATCATTAAGCATCTTTTTTTGTCAATCGTGCACACCTTTAGTTACTAAACCTTTGTGACAAGTCATGAATAAGGTAGAAGACCTTTCACCCCAATTACAGCGATACTATGAATGATGGCTAGGGCGTCATCATTACACCTTTGACTTGTGCATTGTTGCACGGTCTAATTGCCTGCCTTCTGGCGGGATAGCGACCTTTTACTATGTGGGCTCTATCACTCAACACTCACAAGTTTCTTTGTACTACCAATGGGGTTTGATTGAGCCTCTGTAGTAATGATTACATCGTGGAGACTAAAACTATGTCAACAACGCGTTCAAATTTCCTGTCGCGCGTACTTGTAAAGACTTTCCCATTGACTACGAGAGGGGGACGGGTATATCGCGATTATGTGTATATATGCTGAATGTGAATTCCTTTAGCCCCCGCCAATATTGTGTAGTTCAAAAATTGTATTGTGAACAGGACAAAAAGATAGTCAGGACTTTGTATCTGAAATGTGGTTACATTTTTCGAGGTACAGATTGAAGTGAAAAGCTTGTTTGTTCTCTTTCCACCCCTAGGAATTCACATGGAATCTCCCTGAATGATTAAGTTCACATTTTCCGCCAGCCTGCACCGTAATGCTACCAGTTGAACCACTTGTGACGTCATTTAACACTGGTTACATTTGTAGAGCAATCGGCCTGACGAATGGACTGCTCAGTAGCGCTCTCTAGCGATGTTATATGTATTTGCATGTTTCAATTTTGGCGCGTTTTAGTCTTATTTACAAGTCGGTACGCTGGCTCTTTAAAGCCCCTTTACTGTTGCTTATACCTAACGTTAACTAAAATGGCATTGAAACAATTTTAGTACTTTTATATGTTGATATACTGATTACAAGAGCATTATAATATTGAAAATGAAACCAGAAAGTTAAACACATGTATGTTTGTAACTTACAAATAAAAGGGAAGACAACATGAGATGGACACAAGTACCCCTTTCCACGTTACCATCTTTATTCATTTTGTCCACAACTTTTCTAACCAGTTATATGAAATGCCACACCTAAAACGTACACAGTACACACGCTATATACCATATGGTATAGTCTTAAAACCATTGCTATTGCCTATATCAACCAGCTACATGTATGCTATTATCCTATAATCAACAGTACTGCGAAGTAGTTTAGTTATGTATATTATGTAAACTTCGCTATGCATGTATGGAATTCAGCTATGTTATATATACTGAATCAGACGATATCCCAACACCACAAAATAGCATATAAGATACATGAAATGTCCCTACTGGCCTAAGTTCGGTAAACCTTGAAAAACCTTGAAAAACCAAGAGTAGTATAATATCCGAAAGTCACTAAATAGGAATGTCATCATTATACCTACAGCAAATGCTACAAATAGCGTGTATTTGATATATAACATATGTAAGAAAGAGATAGTAGTAGTAGTAGTAAGCCTTTATTTAATCTCGAATGCTTGTTCGGTACATACCGCTTTTCAACAAGGTCGAGGGTGAGGGCGGGGTCACGGAATTACAGATCAAACCAGATCTCAGTTTTTAATTGAGATTTGTGCAATGATATGATAGACGTAACTTGTTGGAGATTCTCATACAAGTACAGCCTAAGATGATGTTTTTATGTAAAGTAATGGACATCATATTACCCTTCTTCGTCCAGAGGTAAGATTGAATTGCAGTCTTGATGAAATGAAAAGATAGTAGAACAAATCATACAGATGAAACGTTTATGCTAGGAATGTTATAAGCAATGTACACCTCAACCAAAACTGACTTATCTGCATGTATAAGCATGTTTCCTTCCTGTAGTGTAAAATACTTACCTTTGATACATACACATTTTTTTTAAATTTCCATGTCTTATTTTTTATCTATTTTAGATCTATTCCATATACGCCCTACGTTAATGTTATACATGACAATAATGTAATCTTTTACCTTTATTAAAGTTTAATAACATTTCTAAAGTTTCCATAAATACCATAAATAGTTTTAAATAATGAAGTTTCAATAAAGATCATTGATAACATTATCAATACTCTTTAAGTTCTTCCTTCACCTCGTATTATTTATGCAGTCCTTATGCCATCTAGACTTTGAAATAAAGACTCTTTTAGATCAAAGGCTAAACTCCTTGTTTCCTGAGCTTCCTGGAACTGCATTTTGCTGTCCCCTTGGCAAGGAACCCACTCTTCGAGGACTTCCGGGAGATCCAGGAGACATTCCTGTGGGACTTCTTGGACCCGCTCCTCCTGGTCCGTTTGGAGACGCTCTTCTTGGGCCTCCAGGGGACATTCTTCTTGGACTTCCAGGTGGAATTCTACCCGGACTGCCAGGAGCTCTACCGGGACTTCCAGGAGCTGCTCCACTTGGACCGTTTGGTGAAGCTCGTCTTGGACCTCCTTGTGGCAATCTTCCTGGGCTTCCAGGGGCGGCTCTTCGCCCTGGACTGCCGGGGCTTGGTCTCTGTCGCTGGGGGCTTCCCGGTGGGCTTCTAGACTTGCGTCCGTCCGATCTCTTCAGCTTGGGGCTCCCCGGAGGTGTTTTGGGGCTGGATGGTTTGCTGGATCGCTTCTTCTTCTCCTTTTCTTTGTCCTCGTCCTGGATGCAGAAGAGAGCGCTGGCGAAGGACGGCTTCTTCGGACGGTTGGTCACTTCTCTCGGTAAGGAGAGGAAGCACTTTCGACAGACTGGACGGGAATCCAGCTTGAAGAATTTGCTCCTGGAAAGAAAATGTGCGACTTGTAGAGAGATCTGAAATCAGACTTGTAACATCAGAAAGTGCTGCTAATCTACTCCGGACAAACAGACACACAAACCCACAGCTCATCCACCCAAATACTTTGGAAAGTCGTACCCCAAAATGAAAAAACAAAACAAAAGGTAATCCATTCTCATAATAACAAGTTGCTGACCCTCTCGGTAATTTTCATGTCTATCTCTATTCTCATATGTAACTAAGAATTTAATGATTGTTTTAATGCATGAGCGTTCTGTTTGTACAACAAGGCATAATTCATCCTAGTGGCTACAGTCTCTTTTCTTTTAAACAACAAATCGTTTGATTGATTGATATATTAGGACCCTACTCACTTGGGAGTGAACTTGATGTAGCACATGTAGCATTCGAAGTGCTCCTCACACACGTGATGCCCGAAGACTCTAATAGCGCCTATAATATGAAACGAGCAGAGAACTATGATGTAGCAAACCGTAATAAAATGTAAGGAAGTTCACACTCACTCCTTGTCGAATTTTCTTTTGCAGATCTGGCAAGAAAAGTGTTCCTCGCACACGTAGGTGTTGAAGACACGTATAGCACCTGGATTGGCAAGACACAATTTACTTCTGATGACTATACAGAGGACAAAACAGAAAAAGAAGGCCACAAATATGATAAAAGCTGGTTTGCAGTAGTTATTTTGACATTGTAGAATGATAAAAGTACTTACGTTTTCCCTGGATGTCTTGATGGCATACATAGCAATTGGTTGCTTCCGCCTGCATAAAGAAACATTGATGACTGTTAAGGCCAATATATGTAAGTACAACTAAACACATTTTACCAAAATGTGCTTATAACTTTTCATTATTTCTACTACTACTACTACTACTACTACTACTATTTCATTACAGTATATTGAAACAGGCCTGCAATGCAAATTTGGAGATGTATGGTTTTCAAATTGCAATGTATGACCATAGGTTGCGACCTCTCCCTCTATCTATCTTTCGTTCTCTCTCTCTCTCTCTCTCTCTCTCTCTGTGTGTGTGTGTGTGTGTGTGTGTGTGTGTCCCTCTGTCTCTTTCTCTGTTCTTACACTACTTACACTACTCCAGATGGAAGCAGCATATGACAGCGCTCCTGGGCTCTTCGCGTCTGCTGGGAACGGTGAGACAGGACTGGAGGGCGGCAGGCTCATGGGCGATGTCGGGGGTGGGCTGAACGGATCTCGGAACGACGTGGGACCTGCAATAAGAAACGTAAGTATCATCCTACTGACTTCTGGTGACGTTACATTATTTTAAACATGACTGAGTGAACTGGTTTATCTATCATTTACAACACATATACCATTGCAGCCTTACATGGCTGAATTGGGGCATGATACACATCGAAATCTATCAAGAATGGTTCAGCAGCTCGACAATAAAAGGTAAAACACTATTCTTGAACCTAGACCGTATACGTCCTGCAGCTAAACTGCGTGAAGTTGTCAGTTCTCTGCCATGTACGCTTCCACGTTTAGGAGGTAACCAACTGGAGAAGTTGGGAGATTTTAGCTACAGACATTGCAAAGTTCACACAGAGGTTACGGCGTCTCAGATACAAAGTTGTGAGTGTTATCTTGTTCAACATACAATGTGTGCAGAAAAGATGTATCAAGCGATTGTTTGCTATGATGTAAAAAAATAATGACAAACTTACTGTTGATTGGTGATGAAGCCAGCGGCTTTCTTGTTATGGTCAAAACTGGCGGGACGTTCTTCGGTTTCTTCACCTTGCTGTAAGTAGAAATCCAAATATAAGGCTGAGATCTTTTTTTTTTTCATTCTTCTGTATAATTAAAGTGACATTTGGAGGTACTTAACATAATTAACAGTTGGTTTTGATAAAGAATAAAACAATTTACTTTACAACTTTTACATTCGCTTTTATTTATGTTTGCATAATTATTAAGACTGAAATCAAATCACTGGGGAATGCATTAGTGCAACTTCAGAGCGCTAGCTTTTGCCTCCAAGGCATCGCCAGAAGTATGAAACGAGTGGAGCTTGTTCAACTTGAGCTCAACTCATGTTGAATGTCTGCCCAGCTTAATTTCTGTAGCCCTTTGGCCACCGTGACAGTTGTGTGAGCACTACAGTAGCTATAGTCCACTGTTTGTGCTGCATGTGACACATGTAACATTATGTGTGAGAAAAGGGAAGAGGTCTGATGATTTTGTTGACTTACCTGTAGCACGTTTTGTGGCAGTATAGACTGTTCACGCAGATCATGTCATCCGGAGACTCAAACGGCTTCGTGCACTGGAAACAGGTGTTCTCAGAAGCCAACCTGGTCTTTCGCTGCTGCCTGCAACACATTCCGCAACAAAGACAGTAGATTATCAAATATATCGAATAATTCTATTTCGTATTTAGCTGTACCTATGTACTTATAGGCCTATCATAGGCCTTTGCACATTGCAAATAAAACACAAAAGAACAAGAATATTTCAGGGACCTCAGGCAGATTAAAGCTGTAAAGTGGAGAACTGACTGCCCCTACTGCTAATATCTATGGGAGTGAGTGAGTGAGTGAGTAATAAATACATGTAACTAAAGTTTGAATCTACTGAAGGTGCCTTTAACGTATTTTATACCGGTATGTCTGTACTCACCTTTCTTCGTCTGTGAGCGTTTTAGATGGTCGCGGTCGCGGTAGGGTGCTCGGGATAAACTGTTGCTTTGGCAGTTCATTGACGTTGGGGGTAGACTGGGCATGTATCTGTGGTTCATGCCTCCTCCGCGACTTCGCCGCTGCAGTGCCTACATTGATAGTGTTGCTGATGGACACAGACTTCTGTGGTTTGTCTTCTGGCTTTATCCACACTGGTTCTTCTGCCTTCTTTTCCTTCTTTTTCATGCGAGGTAGAGTGGTGGGTTCCTCCCAGGTTTTGATCTCGTCGACCATTTTGGGTTTCTTGGCGCGTGGCAGTGTACTGTACGGTAATGTCAAGAAATATACGCTGTGGATAACCAAGCAGAGGGAAGTTATGGCTAGCACGGCGCCCAAGCAAAGCAAAGCAAGCATCGAAAAGCAAAGAGATGACACCACTTGCTTGATTGTTTTTCTGGGTGGTATATTAATTGATTGTATCAATTATTGCTAAGTTAGAATCAAAGCTGCTATAGCTTAAAACCATTGTCTATTAGCAAGTAGACAAATTTGAATTCCCTTATTGTAAAATCCCTTAAACAGAATAGTTATGCTTATGGATGACTTATGGAATCGAGCTAGCAACTTTGAAGGACACTGCATGCCAGAAATTAGATACTACATAATCTGTCTCTGCATTGTTTACATTTTTCAGCACATCTGACCCGGAACTAATTGAAAGGGAGGTCACTTGCATTGGTTGGAAAGGTGTGCCCCTCCCCCTTGAAAAGAAATAAAGATCTTAAGGATTTCGGCTTAATGACAAGTTTGGAAATAATGAACGGTTGTCATTAGGAAGACGGATATTTGAATTGTTTAATGTATTGATTAAATATACATGTATTTCAGATCCTATGAGAACATGATCAATTTTCCATATCTTTGGGAATAAAACTTTTATCTTGGTATCTAATATGACCACCGACAGGACGTACTTTAAAAGGGCAGTTTATAAAGTGCCTTTGTAAAACAATTTGCTTTGAGCACATGCCAGAGCATTTGATTGAAACCCAGCGATGTATGAAATATGCAGCTGATTACATCAAGGCCACTAAAAGGTGAGCTAGATCCATTTGACACCCAGCAGACGCATTTCATGCTTGGCAGCGATACAACATACAGCAACAACGACCACAAAACATATTATTAGTTAATATACACCATATACCGTCTGGCAAGACGACAAGGGCTCAAGAACCATAAGACGTAATACACTTCGTTAATAAAAGTGTAAACTACGTACACTATGCATTGTAAATAGGTGTATCTTAGCCACATGCACAGGGAACCTTTCGGTAACCTTTAAGCTACCGTCCTTGAGGCTTAGGGAATGACTGAACGACCGAATAACGACTTAAAATTGGATTTGTCTGAAACTTGAGTTCATAATTGGAATATGACCTACCAACCTGTTTAAGGAAATACACACACACACAGGCAACAGCACTGAATCGTAAGGTTGTAGTCTTGTCTGATCCATATGGTCTGACTCACGGATATGGCAATTTCATACGTCAATGGCCCTTCAAGTTTATGTGCTAAATGGCCTGAAGCTTACAAACAGAGAAGAAAGGTCACACTTACTTGCTCCCAGCTGTTGCAAGATGAATCTTCAGGGCGTCCATGTTGACCGTCGCTTTGTTGTCTGGAATTGGATCTTCAGACACCGACAGTTTGTGTTCTGTCTCTTCCAGCTTCTGACGAAGTTGGTTCAGCTGCGTGTCTCTCGTATACGGTTTCTTCTCGGGCTTGTCGTCTTGCTGGATTGGTTGCACCGTGGCCATTTTGTTCTTCTTGCCCTTTCGCGGCCATGTCGATGTATCCGCCAGGTTTTCCTTCTCGCTGTCTTCTGGCTCTGGCTGCTTCTTCAACATCTTCTTCAACTCTCGTCTGTCGATGGTCGCGTGTTTGACTTCTTCTGGAACAACATCTTGGGTAGGTTTTTCCTCGACCGAGTCTTCCGATGCCGTCCTCTCCCTCGCCCTGGTGTTGGCCTTCTTCAGCTCATGGGGATCAAACGTAGCTGACCCCATGTTCTTGCGTTCCATGACGGGACTAGTTGGTTTTAGGCACTCCTCTGGCTTAGGGCGAACTTCTTTGGCGGGGGCAACTTCACGTGTAACCGGCGGCTCTATGTCCTTAGGGGAAACGTGTGGATATTTGGGCTCTTCTTTAGTCGTTTCTTGTGGTGTTGCAGGCGTCACTTCTACCTTGGGTTGTGTCTTTGTAGCCTTCGTTGGTTTTGTAACCTTCTTCTCGGTCTCTGTAGCCTTGGGCTGCAGCAAGAAGGGCAACAAGTTGTCAATCATTTTAGACGTTATGTTTATTAGCATGCCTTTGTCGCAGATACACTATCAGTGGTATGGTGGTTTGTCACATTATGTAATAATGCAACGTAGTGTCCTTTTGCTAATCTCTCCTCACAGAAATTATATGTTCAAATATTCTTTAGACACATGACTAGTCTTAAGGCCCAACTTTACCAGAAAATTATATGTCCCATAAAGAAACATGTATGACCTACTTTGCAAGCACTGGGACTAAATTTTACTTTGTTGTTTAATGTAATAGTTTCCAGTCCTACCTCTGGAGTAAGAAGCTCCTCCCATTTTTTCCTGTCGGGTTCCCACTGAGGCTGTTGTTCAACTGGCTTCTCTTTCTTTGCAGTGGGTTGCTTGGTCTTTGCCTTTTCCTGAAGTACAAAACACAATTCAACAAAAAAAAATAATGTGGCAAACAAGATGCTAAAATAATAAGAGTCAGTAGAGGCATCAAAGCAAAGAAAGGCAGTGGCTGTAAAGTGAACCTAGGGCGATGAGGAAAATCAGTTCTTGCAAAAAGAAAACAAACTTATGACTTACCATTTGCTCAGATGCGTGCTTTTCTTTTTGCTCTTTTGGTTGAGAAGTGTCTGGTTTAGAGGCCTCTTTAGCTTTCTCGCGTTCTTTTTCCTAAGACGAAAAACAACATAACATGACACCCCGACTCCTGGCATAATGTGCACTTGAAAAAATACATATTAGCAAAATAATATTTTCCAGTCATAGCCATGCATTTGAGCCATCTCATAGTATCGAGTGGTGTAGTGTGATGGTCTATGCCAAAGTGCAAGATTCTCAAATGTAACGTCGGTAAACTCACCAGCATCCAATAAGCCAGCTCAATACTCTTTGGTAGTATCGTCTTGTCCTCTTCCTTGGGTTTCTGTTGTTTTGTTTCCTGCTGTATTGGCTTTTCTTTGGCCACTGGTTCACGCACTGGTTCTTTTTGCTTTTCTTGCTTTGTTTTGGGTTTAAAGGGTACATCATCGAGGTTGGTCTCCTGTGGGATTTCTGGCTCTAATTTAGGTCTTGTTTGCTGATAAGGAATTTCTTTAGCCCTGTGCGGTTTGTTTGGGTTGTTGACCTGTTTGTTTGACGACACTTCAGATTGTCTTGGAGATATCACTTGTGGTTTGGTTTCTTGAGCCTTTTGTTGAGTAGGTGTAGGTTCTTTCGTTGACTTTGTAGGTGCAGGTTCTGTCTTGGTTTGTGGCGTCTGTCGAGGTTTTCTTGGAGAAGGTGTGTCCCTTTGTGCAACTTCTGGTTGGGGTTTGGAAGATGGCATTTCTTTTGCCTTTGTGGGTAGGGGCTCTCTTTGGTCCCTCTGTGGACGTCGTTCTGGTTTAGTGGAAGTAATTTCTTCCTTTGGTTTTGAAGGAGTTTGTCGAGGCTCTGGTTGTGAGGGGGCCGGTTCCTCTGTACGTTTAGTGGGCACACGTTCTTCTTTAGGTTTTGCAGGAGCGGGTTCTTGCTTTTTGGGTGCAGGTTCTTGCTTGATATTTGTAGGTGCAGGTTCCTCCTTAGGTTTTGTGGTTGCTGGCTCTTGCTTTAGTTTTGGCTGCGCAGGCTCTTCTTTTGGCTTTATCGTTACCTGTTCGTCTTTGGGTTTGTTTTGTTGAGGTTCTAATTTTGTGGGGGCAGGTTCCGTCGCACGTTTAGTGGGAATGGGTTCATCTTTGGGCTTTGTGGGAGCAATAACCTCTTTCGGTTTCTCTGCGGGTTTAGTTTGCTGAGGCTTCTCCTCCGGTTTGGTAGGTGCAGGTTCAGGTTTCCGGTCCTGTTTTGGCTTACTTTCTTGAGGCTTTTCCTGTTTGGCAGGTTCTCTCTTAGGCTTAGTACGGACAGGCTCCCTGGGCTCAATGGGTGGCGGTGCTTCGAAAGGTGCTATGAAGGTAGGCGGAGTTTCTTTCTTGTTCTTTGTAGGGGCTGGTTGCCTCTTGGGCTTAGCAGGGGCCGCTTGAACTTCTTGTGGTTTTGCTGGAACGGGTTCTTGCTTAGGTTTTGTAGGTGCAGGTTCCTCTTTGGGTTTTATGGGTGCAGGTTCTTCCTTTGGTTTTGTGGGCCCATCAGGACGCTTTGTGGGTGCAGATCTTTCTGCTGGCTTTGTGGGTGCAGGTTCTTTAACAGACTTTGTAGGTGCAGGTTGTTCCACTGGCTTTGTAAGTGGCGGTTGTTCTGCAGGCTTTGTAGGTGCAGGTTGTTCTGCTGGCTTTGTTGGCACAGGTTGTTCTGCTGGCTTTGTAGGTGCAGGTTGTTCTGCAGGCTTTGTAGGTGCAGATTGTTCTGCTGGCTTTGTAGGTGCAGGTTGTTCTGCAGGCGTTGTAGCTGCAGGTTGTTCTGCTGGCTTTGTAGGTGCAGGTTGCTCTGCTGGCTTTGTTGGCGCAGGTTGTTCTGCTGGCTTTGTAGGTGCAGGTTGTTCTGCAGGCTTTGTAGGTGCAGGTTGTTCTGCCGGCTTTGTAGGTGCAGGTTGTTCTATTGGCTTTGTAGGTGCAGGTTCTGCTGGCTTTGTGGGTGCAGGTTGTTCTGCTGGCTTGGTAGGTGCAGGTTCTGCTGGCTTTGTGGGTGCAGGTTGTTCTGCAGGCTTTGTAGGTTCTGTTGGCTTTGTAGGTGCAGGTTGTTCTGCTGGCTTTGTAGGTGCAGGTTGTTCTGCAGGCTTTGTAGGTGCAGGTTGTTCTGCAGGTTTTGTAGGTGCAGGTTGTTCTGCTGGCTTTGTAGGTGCAGGTTGTTCTGCTGGCTTTGTGGGTGCAGGTTGTTCTGCTGGCTTGGTAGGTGCAGGTTCTGCTGGCTTTGTGGGTGCAGGTTGTTCTGCTGGCTTTGTAGGTGCAGGTTGTTCTGCTGGCTTTGTAGGTGCAGGTTCTTCTGTTGGCTTTGTAGGTGCAGGTTCTGATGGCTTTATAGGTGTTGGCTCTTCTGCTGGCTTTGTGGGTGCAGGTTCTTCTGTTGGCTTTGTAGGTGCAGGTTGTTCTGCTGGCTTTGTAGGTGCAGGTTGTTCTGCAGGCTTTGTAGGTGCAGGTTGTTCTGCTGGCTTTGTAGGTGCAGGTTGTTCTGCTGGCGTTGTAGGTGCAGGTTGTTCTGCTGGCTTTGTAGGTGCAGGTTGTTCTGCTGGCTTTGTAGGTGCAGGTTGTTCTGCTGGCTTTGTAGGTGCAGGTTCTGCTGGCGTTGTAGGTGCAGGTTCTGCTGGCGTTGTAGGTGCAGGTTGTTCTGCTGGCTTTGTAGGTGTAGGTTGTTCTTCTGTCTTTGTAGGTGCAGGTTGTTCTGCTGGCTTTGTGGGTGCAGGTTGTTCTGCTGGCTTTGTGGGTGCAGGTTCTGCTGGCTTTGTGGGTGCAGGTTGTTCTGCTGGCTTTGTAGGTGCAGGTTGTTCTGCTTGCTTTATGGGTGCAGGTTGTTCTGCTGGCTTTGTGGGTGCAGGTTGTTCTGCTGGCTTTGTAGGTGCAGGTTGTTCTGCTGGCTTTGTAGGTGCAGGTTCTTCTGTTGGCTTTGTCGGTGCAGGTTCTGATGGCTTTATAGGTGTTGGCTCTTCTGCTGGCTTTGTGGGTGCAGGTTCTTCTGTTGGCTTTGTAGGTGCAGGTTCTGATGGCTTTATATGTGTTGGCTCTTCTGCTGGCTTTGTGGGTGCAGGTTCTTCTGTTGGCTTTGTAGGTGCAGGTTGATCTGCTGGCTTTGTAGGTGCAGGTTGTTCTGCTGGCGATGTAGGTGCAGGTTGTTCTGCTGGCTTTGTAGATTCGGGTTGTTCTGCTGGCTTTGTGGGTGCAGGTTCTTCTGCTGGCTTTGTAGGTGCAGGTTGTTCTGCTGGCTTTGTGGGTGCAGGTTGTTCTGCTGGCTTTGTGGGTGCAGGTTCTGCTGGCGTTGTATGTGCAGGTTGTTCTGCTGGCTTTGTAGGTACGGGTTGTTCTGCTGGCTTTGTAGGTACGGGTTGTTCTGCTGGCTTTGTAGGTGCAGGTTGTTCTGCTGGCTTTGTAGGTACGGGTTGTTCTGCTGGCTTTGTAGGTGCAGGTTGTTCTGCTGGCGTTGTAGGTGCAGGTTCTGCTGGCGTTGTAGGTGCAGGTTGTTCTGCTGGCTTTGTAGGTGCGGGTTGTTCTTCTGTCTTTGTAGGTGCAGGTTGTTCTGCTGGCTTTGTGGGTGCAGGTTGTTCTGCTGGCTTTGTGGGTGCAGGTTGTTCTGCTGGCTTTGTGGGTGCAGGTACTGCTGGCGTTGTAGGTGCAGGTTGTTCTGCTGGCTTTGTGGGTGCAGGTTGTTCTGCAGGCTTTGTGGGTGCAGGTTGTTCTACTGGCTTTGTAGGTGCAGGTTGTTCTACTGGCTTTGTAGGTGCAGGTTGTTCTACTGGCTTTGTGGGTGCAGGTTCTTCTGTTGGCTTTGTGGGCACTGATTCTGATGGCTTTCTAGGTGTTGGCTCTTCTGCTGGCTTTGTGGGTATAGGTTCTACAGGCTTTGTGGGTGCAGGTTGTTCTGCTGGCTTGGTAGGTGTTGGCTCTTCTGCAGGCTTTGTGGGTGCAGGTTCTTCTTTTGGCTTTGTAGGTGTAGGTTCTTCTGCTGGTGTTGTAGGTGCAGGTTGTTCTGCCGGCTTTGTAGGTGCAGGTTCATCTGTGGGCTTTGTAGGTGCGGGTTGCTCTGCTGGCTTTGTAGGTGCAGGTTGTTCTGCTGGCGTTGTAGGTGCAGGTTCTTCTGTTGGCTTTGTAGGTGTTGGCTCTTCTGCCGGCTTTGTGGGTTCAGGTTCTTCTACTGGCATTGTGGGTGCTGGTTGTTCTGCTGGCGTTGTAGGTGCAGGTTCATCTGTGGGCTTTGTGGGTGCAGGTTCTGCGGGCTTTGAGGGTGCAGGTTGCTCTGCAGGCTTTGTAGGTGTTGGCTCTTCTACTGGCTTTGTAGGCGCAGGTTCTGTTGGTTTTGTAGGTTTAGGTTGTTCTGCGGGCTTTGTGGGTGCAGGTTCTTTTGGCTTTGTAGGTGCAGGTTGTTCTGCTGGCGTTGTAGGTGCAGGTTCATCTGTGGCTTTGTAGGTGCAGGTTGTTCTGCTGGCTTTGTAGGTGCAGGCTCTTCTGTTGGCCTTGCAGGTGCAGGTTGTTCTGCTGGCTTTGTAGGTGCAGGTTGTTCTGTAGGCTTTGTAGGTGCCGGTTGTCCTGTTGGCTGTGTAGGTGCAGGTTGTTCTGCTGGTTTTGTAGGTGCAGGTTCTGCTGGCTTTGTAGGTGCAGGTTCTTCTGCTGGCGTTGTAGGTGCAGGTTCTTTTCCTGGTTCAGTTGGCGCAGGTTCGTTGTTTGTCGTCGGATCTGGGGAAGTTGGTGCTTTACCGGGAGAAGCTTGAGCAGGGTCATCAGATGGTGGAGGTGCCTGGCCGGGTTTCTCACTTGGGGGGTCACTAGGACCATTTAAGGCAGGTCCTTTGTCAGGATTTGGTACATCAGATGGTGTAGGTTCCGGGGTGGGTTTCTCATTGTCAGGCTTTGGGATTGACTGGAGAAGACTCTTACCAACATCGCTGATTTTGTCCAGATTCATGTTTTCCATCTTCGTCAGAGAATTTTCCAGTTCTTTAATTCTCTTCTTCAGGTCGTCTGTTTGGCTCTCAAGAGCTTTCTTGGTTTCCACGAGCCGCTGTAGCTTCGAATTGACGTCGCCGTCTCCTGGTACCTCGTCTTCTAGCTTGGCGTGAAGTTCGTTGTAGGCGAAAAGAAGATCGTCGTGTTCCTCTTCTAACTCTTTGAGCCGATCCACTTGGTCTTTCAGTCGGTCGAGCAGATTCGGCATCGAAACGACTCAGGACTTAATGAACGCTGGAGGGCTGAAATGAAATATGGACAGGAATTTTATCAACAGAGAATCAAAAATCGCCAGTTTCTGAATTAAGCAGTCGCACTTAATGTGTTCTGTATCTGTTGTAACCAACATACAAACATTTGACATGGTGTTTTTGTATGGTGAAGTGTATTGTAGCATTATAATGACTACGAAGAAATGAAGAAGAGTTGAGCTGACAGTAGGTGACCTAATTTCGCGCAGGAATTATACTGTTGTAGTCGTACGTGCGTATGAGAAGCCCCGAGCATGGCGTATTGTCATTACTCGACCAGCCATGTACGTAGGATCTACAATACATCTGTACTTCATTCTGTTGTTTACCGACCTTGGCATACCTTATCGTAAATGGCAACACACGATACGTGGTACTTAAACTACAAGCAAGCCTCAGGGATATCAGAAGAAGAAGTAGCAAACGACACTCGCTTGTTTCGTGTTATTGAGGAACTGCTTGTAGAGAGGAAGTGCAGCTGTACGAATATGTACAGAGTAAAACCCCGTGTAATCTTTAAGGCACAACTGATCCTATACGATCCCTAGCTCATAGTGTGCCATTATCACAAAGCTGGAACTGCAAACAAAATAATGGTCCCTCCTACTGTGTTTTTCAGAACATATAATTATTTAGACGTACCGTAGATAGCCATCGGAATAGCCATGACAAAAACAACGCCTATTTGTATACGTATGATACGGTGTACAAAATACAGTCCAATTACTTGTCTAATTTAACGGAGTATGTTGATTACAGCTTAATTCGCTGAAAGCGTGCACACAAGGTGTAATAAAGATTTAAATGTGGCAAGGAAATTCACACACATGGTGCGTATTTGCCTGTATTTACCCTAATACTCGTCAGTACTAACCCGATATTACAACCCATTATTCAGTGAGCCCTGTGAAAACAAGATACAAGTAAACATGGGATTATATGGGATCGCTTCTTTTTGGGGTCACGACAACAGTCTTTGTTCCTCTGTAATATAATAATGTAGCAAGAATTGGAATTCGTACTTACGTCTCGCTCCAAACATTGTCGACAGCCCAATAATAAGTAAAACTGGCGCACAGCCCATCGAGGGTGAAAGTTCGGGGGTTACACAGTGGAAGAAAGACCGGTTGGCCTAGCAATAACCTGCGTTTTAAATCATCCCCGAGGTAGTCCCCGAGGGTCCCGAAGATAATGTTCTTATTTTTATCATCTACACAAACTCCGCTTGGAATAGGGTGCACTTTATAACTTTCCCAACCGCTATGTTGATGTATATGGTAACATCTCAGCATCTTGCTAAGCTCGTAACACTGTTGTTGTTTTTATTTTCAACAACACTACATCATATGGTCCACGCTTGACAGCTTGAATGTAAATTGATCCGCCATCAGCCATACTGGCGCTGGTTTACGTTCCAGCTAGCCACAAGTACTTCAGGCAATCCACGCTTTGGTGCGTCTTTTAAAAGCTTTTAATTTGTCGTAGGCGTTCCTTTGATGCTACTTTGTTGACAGAGGCATAAGAATAGAGGAGAAACATCTGCCATTAAAAGCATAGCTTAATTTGTGCTATTGTATTGCTATGTTTCAAATTTTGCGCGTGGCAGATGCATACATGCACCACAAAGGTTTGTGAGAATTATTTTTGATCGAATCCACAGGTAACAAACTAGATAGTGAAAAACAACGCCGCTTCCAATAATATCTACCAGATGCTATCATTAAGACTGTTTATACCTCATGAAGTGATTGACATGACAGAATGATTACATAAAGAATATTTGGCATACCATTTTAGACAGCTAGTAGCAATTTTTGCCAGAACGTTAGGAATAGCATATCTTATAAAAAGCTTGAGGTACTTACCAATTGCAACTTTTTGTAGCTCTAGCTCTTATCCCGGTGTCGGATGTCCAGAGCTGGGGCCATGAGCGTAGGTCTTTGGGAGAGGTATCAAGTCGACGAGCGCTACAGTCAGCGACTGCCTATCGACTAAATCGCACAAGATAGTCACGTACAAATCGTCGCATTCGATGCGCCTTATTCACATGACTATTGTATATCTCCATTCACAGTAACCTACTCTCTTACCCATTTCGTACGCTATTGTGGACCTCCATTGACAGGTACCCTGTTCATAATTATAACCTGCGGGCACCTAAGATTTTCCCGCCTTTTTGGTCCCAAGTGACCATCTTGCATGCGAGTATGGACGTCACATGGGGGCCCGTGTGACGTCTTTGTCCACAAAAGAGGGTGTTAAATCACAAGAGACTACAAAGCTCAAGAGATTATCTCTAATGATTAAGGTGCCATTTCGCTCAGCTTGTTACAACGAAGAGTATAATTTTCCTACCTAATTGTGCAATGTTTTATTTTTAAACCTTAACACACACCAAAAAAACGGAACGAAAATCTGAAATTGTCTATCTGATGTTTTGACAGGATCATTAATCTTTAGTTAATTGTTTTCGTGTGGCGACGATATCAATAGCTGCATACAAAGAAATTATCAGTACGGGAGGATTGTCTACAATTTAGGCACAGGTGTATCGTATGAAATGCCCAGTAACGCCTACTGTGCTATGAAATGCGTTTAGGAGCTTCAACGAACGTACCAAATTTCTTAATTGTCTATCAGCAACATCTTGACAGGGTCATTTATCTCAATTTCTCTTGTGAGGATGGTTTGTCTCAAAAGTGGTAAGCAAACAAAGAAAGTCATTGATTGAGCACTGTCTAAAATGTAGATAAAGATGATATTTGAAACCACCAGTAAGGCCTATTACGCACTATACGAATTGCTTAGGAACACGAGCGTAAAATTTGAGTTATTTGACACTCATCTGCAGAAATTAAGAGCCCAAGGCGACGAAATAGTTGACATATGGGAGACGCGTAGAGAAGACAACGCTCTATCCTTGCCTGTCAATCATAACTAACTGGCGCCATTGTACAATTGCCGCCATTATGGCTCAGGCGACCTTGTACGGTTGATTGGCGCCAAACTGACCGTACTTTAACAACCATTCGTACCGAGGTTGTTGGACCATTTTACTAATTCTTAAACAGCTGCTTCTTTGTAATTGCCTGCTTTAACCATGGGAAACACATAACCTTGTCCCGTAAGCTCTGTTGAAGTTTTTGTTTGTCTGACACATGTAGCTGTCATGTAGTTATTTGTCATTACCAATAAAGTATCCGGCCGTATTGTGTGTACGAATTTCTTTCTATAGTTTCTATTGATTCTATCGTATGATAGGAACCATTGCTGTTTGAGAGATTCTACTATATACACTAATCTAATCTAAATAATCTTTTAAACTAGTAAAAGCGACCTGCAGGCTTATTTGAGCTTCTCATAAACAAAGAATGGTTCAAACAAACAAATATGAATGGCTGCTTGCTACCTGTAACTCATTTAACCACCATAATGAGTACACTGTTATGAAGATCAACATTTCCAAAGTTTATTTGCGTGTAATGTGCGAATCTTTGCAACATCTAATAAAGTAAATATGTGTTGCATTGCGCTAAAGCCGTAATTATGTGGTCAGATATCAGCTGCCTAGGGACTTTGACTTGAAGATTTGCATAAGGAAGTTACAAGACTGGCCAACATCGATTGATTTTGATACTCACTTTTACAATATTAAATTGTTAGAATACACATTACCGATAGGTTCATAAAATGAAATAGAGTACGATGTTAGTATTACAAAATGTTTAGCGGTCTCGAAATAAATACTAAATAACACATTCATGCCAGAACTTGTCATATTTACAAAATTCCATTCAAGTTTAAATAGTTACATTTCTTTTATATCAGAATACGTACTTAAGTTGACCAGTAGCTTTTCTGTAGCAAGCCATGCATGGTAATGTGTTAATGATTTTAATGCAAGAATTCAAAGGAAATTACGAACATTCTGTACCCTTTACCAACCGGTCTACATTTTTAGCTTGTTAGCGATACTCTGGAGGAGGCTTCAGTTCATACTTTTACTACCTTGCTTAACGTAAATATCGCGATAGAATTTTTGAAAATAGAAATACTATAGTAACAGAAATTACCAGCTATATATAGAAGAATCACTCATTGAACAATTATGACTTGCGAAATCTACATTCTAAGCCTTCCTGACATGTGTTTTACACGAAGTACTCGTTTGGATTTTCCGGTGGACCATTTGGTGAAGTAGGTAAAGATGGGGCACTTGGTGACCTTGGACTTCGGACCATGTCCTTGATGGTATCAATGAGCGTCTTCTTCTTCCTTGTTTGGAGCAGAGATGCGGGCACCTTGTCTTTACACCGTTTGCAGACAGGACGACTATCACAGGCGTAGAACTTTTCACTGTAGTCAGAGGTAATGACAGTACAGAATCAGATTAGATATTAATGATTACGACTCCAATGAGGTATATCTTACTCTTACATGTGCATTCTTGATAGTATGGATAATACAAATCTAACGTGTGAGTCTTGGTAATCTAATAACATTACATGCCTTGATATTAATAGGATATCTAGACATATATATGTATCAAGAACTTGTCAGTTTGCATATTATGAAGTGGTATACATGTAATTGAAATATATTTTTCATGGCATACTTTTTCTGTATTATTTACATAGCTAACACTTATTCTATAGTGTATGCACGTAAGTTACAAGGGTAGTTGTTACACTATAGTAAATTATGTATTGTTAAATAAGAGGGTAGTAGTGTTGAATTTATACTTACTCCAGTTTGATGTTTTGGTTGCACATGGCACAGGAGAAATGCTTTCTGCACCATGTCTTGTTCATCGCACAGATAACTGGAAAGGAAACGCACAAACAAGTCTTTGAACAAGTCTTTGAACAAGTCTTTGAACTCAAAACCATGCAGCATGTTGCACTTCATATATCTGAATAGATTGATCATTATTTCAGAACATTGAAAATGTAGAAAGGTATCGGAATTTTCCTTACCTTCGTCCGTTATTGGCTGGTCACAGGCATAGCAGAAGTCACTGAATAGCTGCAAAACCATACATAACAAAAGTTAAACATTATGCAAAAACGCTTACACAGATAGTCACATGACATATCTTATATCCTCGTATGATATAAATTTAAGAAACTATACAGGAAGACAACAGTTGTGATATACAAAGCGGCATACCTCGTGGAAGTGTGGTTCGCAATAGGCTTTCCCGCCATGCTCGTAGTGTGGAAGTCCAACCGTTTTGAATGGTATGCCGCACCTCGCACACCGGAAGTGCTGTAACAAACTTAATCATCAGCTAGAGGAATCAAGTGATGTATCAGTTCATAGATTTTAGATATAAATCTCATGAAAGGAACCTACTATACTGTAGTTAGAGAGTGTCCATACATTTGTGGAAGCACTACAGCAGTGTTCTAGTAATGGTAGTGATATATATATGTTTCACTGCCGTGTTCTTTCTCACAAGTACTCAGTGCTAAGCAGTGCCTCGATCGAGGATCAAACAATGGTTGCTGTCAGGTACCTACCTGTGCATGCCAGTATCGCCCCATTGCAACAATCATCATTCCGGTGATCTCCTCTCTAAGGAAACAATATTCAAGGATAGAGTTATCATAAACAAAAAGTAATAATCATTTCAGGTACCATTAGATGGAGACGTAGCAAAATAGAGTTTACACTGGGATGAGAAAATCCAAAAGTACCTTTTAGTTTATGCTGGTATAATAATATCTGTATTGACCTTTTGACATTGGTCTTGACACTGTTGGTTAGAAACTACTCTAAAAGAAAGGGAGAACTTTTTGATATCCGTCTTACCCGCAGACCCAGCAAGTGTTAAAGATCTTATCATCGTCATCTGTCGGAGGCTTTTTAGGTGTTTCATCTGGTTTGTCTTCAACATCAGGTTTCGGTGACCTGCGGGGACAAAGTATTCAGTAAACACGTAGACAATTTCGTCCAGTTGGAAAGTCAATATAATCTGGATCCTTAGAGATATAAAGAGATATGAAGTGGTTTACATAGACTTACGTAGCATCCTTTGGAGCCTGCAGGGGTTCTTCTGTAATTAAGTCAAAGAGTGTTAGTGTCAAGTAAAAGCGTCTAATTAGAATTGTTTAAGTGTTAAAATGAATCAAATTAATGTAAAAAAATGAGCACTGAAATTACAGTAGTAAACATCTGTTGATACAGTTTACTCACCCTTCTTGTCTTCTTTTTTCCTAAAAGAAAAAAAGAAAGATAAATATTTATTTCAACAAACGTAGTAGCATCAGAATAACATGCAAGAAATTGCTACCACTGGACTTACCATAAGATCAAGCACACAGATTGTTGTACATAGGAGCAAGAGTTGAACCCACACAATTTCTTGCTCCGGGTAAACATGTCAATTCCTTTTAAAGTTAAAGATTTGTTTCACTTAATCCAGAACTGTTACTCAGTCCAGGAAGAGAGTTTTTATATCTAATTGTCATGGTTTGTACAAGAAATATGAACACTTACGACATGCATGTCTGGTGAAGGATGAGACCGTTGAAGTTCACGACGACATCAGAATCCTTGAGAACTTTGTTGCACTTCACACAGGTCTCCTCCAAGGGCTTTATCTTCTCCCATATCGGCTCTTCCTCCTTGTCTTTTTCATCGGAAGGTTTCTCTAAATCTCTAGATGAAGGAACAGATAAAACGACGATTCATTTTCCACATCCATAGTTGTATGATCTCATTTATGAGATATTGATATTCTTTTTTTGCAAAAGGTTGACAATGCAGAAGGAAACTGGACTTACTTTAATTTTGGCGGCAGCTTTGGGCGAACATCTGGATCATCCACCAGCGGAGACGGTGCATCATCTTCAGGCTTCTTCTCCAGAATCGGTGAGCTGAATACTTCACTTGGGTCTTCCTGTGGTGCCTTTTCGGTATCCTTGAACCACGGAGACCATGCTTCGTCAGGATCTTTAGTTGGTTCTTCTGCATCTGATGGTTCCTGCTCTGGATCTTCCTTTGCAGCAAAGTTCTCAATTACGGTCGAAAAACTCTCATCGGGAGAAGTGGGAGATGTTAAGAATGAGGGTGAGTCTGGTACTGCTTCTTCACTTTTGGGAGCCTCATCCTTATTTTCGTCTTCTTGGGCGGGCGTTGGTTCTCCTTCTTGATCTGACTTTGGGCCATCGTCACTCTTAGACTTCATTCGTTTCTTAAACGAATTTCGGAGTTTAGACAAGTTCCGTGGGAAGTTAATCTTCTTCTTTTCGGGTTTAGTCGGTGCCTCATTTGGACTGTCGATGTTTTCTTCATTGTCTTGACTCGGCCCCGGTGTCGCCATGTCCTCCGGATCGGCTGCCTTTGGGATGACAGGTTCTTCTGGTGCCTCGTCACTTGGTTTCTTCTGTACGTGAGGCGTGAGTTCCTTTTCGCTGTCAGATAACAGCCCATCTTTCAGACCTCGAAGTTTAGAAAGAAGTGGCTTGCTTTGCTTCTTAGAATGAGGGGCATCAGGCTCTTGAGGCGAAGATGGTGTGTCTACATCTCTGTCAATATCTTCTGGCTCATCTGGTTTATCCTCATCTGGTACTTTAGGGGATTTTACCTTCTTTGCCTTAGACAGAAGGGACTTGAGTGGATTTTTAGGATGGGGAGCATCAAGCTCCTGGGGCGAAGTCGGTGTCTCATAATCTTTGTCAATATTTTCCGGGTCATCTGTAATTTCTGGTTTATCATCAGTTGGTGTTTTAGGTGATTTTGCCTTCTTTGCCTTAGAAAGGAGGGACTTAAGTGGATTTTTAGGATGGGGAGCATCAGGATCTTTCGGCGAAGATGGCGTGTCTTCTGTCTCAATATTTTCTGGGTCATCTGTTATTTCAGGTTTATCCTCATCTGGTGATTTAGGCGATTTACTTCTCGTTGGCAACGTTGCTTTAGAAAGAAGGGACTTGAGTGGATTTTTAGGATGAGGAGCATCAGGCTGTTGAGGCGAAGATGGCGTGTCTTCTGTCTCAATATTTTCTGGGTCATCTGTCATTTCAGGTTTATCCTCATCTGGTGATTTAGGCGATTTACTTCTCGTTGGCAACGTTGCTTTAGAAAGAAGGGACTTGAGTGGATTTTTAGGATGAGGAGCATCAGGCTGTTGAGGCGAAGTCGGTGTGTCAACGTCTTCGTCAATAATTTCTGGCTCATCTGTGATTTCTGGTTTATCCTCATCTGTAGATTTAGGTGCTTTACGTCTCGTAGCCTTATCCTTTAGGGATTTGCCCAATGCCTTCAGACGATCCCGACCTGCTTTGAATGAATCTGATCTCTTTTTTGGTTTGACGGGTGCAAGTTCGTCCGGAACGATTCCTTCCTCGTCCTCTTTCGGAGCATCATCGTCGCTCCCCTTGCATGGAGCATTCAAGACATCATCCGGGCTGCTGAAGATGTCGTCCAAATTTGTCTGAAGTGGCGGTCTACTCTTGAAACTTTCAGGATCTTCATCAGGGATGACGAAAATATCATCTACGTCTGTCTGCAGTGGTGACTCATCTGAGAAATTAATCTCTGGATATTTGTGCTCATCCACCGGAGATGACAGCTGGCTCTTCTTCACGGGTAGAGGAGGTGGTGCAGCCTGTTCGTCGGCTATGATCGGTTCAACCTCATCTGTCGGGGCAGTTTCCTTTTTGCTTTTGGTCCGCCTTGGGGGTAGTGGTGGTGCCAGTTCTGTTGGTACACTTTCTGTCGGCTCTGATATCTGTTGTTCTTCGAGCTTTGGTTCATCTTTCGCCTCCTCTTCTGTAGGTTTTTCCTCAGCATCTTCCTCTTCTTTAGGTTTTTCAGGCTCGGCCTCCACCGGTTTGTCTTCTGTGGTGTCAGGTTCTTTCTCTTCCTCTGTAGTCTCTTCCTTTCGTGGAACAGGTTCTTCAATCGTCTGAGGCTTAATCTCCTCTTCCTTGTCCGGTTCTAGTTCTTCTTGCAGCTGTGATGGCGTTGGTGTTTCAGGTTCAGGTTCGATTTGTTCCGGCTCTTTCTTCACCTCCTCTGGCTGCGGTGTAGCTGGTTCAACCGTCACCGGAGTCACGTCCTCCTTCTCGTCCGGTTTTGGGGGCTCCGCTTCCTCTTGTGGCTGTGGTGGTGCAGCTTGTACAGGCTCCTGAACAACTATCTTTTCTTCAGGCTGTGGTGCAACTGGTGTAACCGCAACCGGTTTCACTTCCTCCTTCTCCTCTGGTTTAGGAGGCTCCTCTTTCTCCTGTGGCGGTGGTGGAGCAGCCTTCTCTGGCTCCTGCTCCTGTACTGTTTCTGGTTCTTTCTTCTCCTCCTTCGGTGGTGGCGTTGATTCCGCTTTGACAGGCTCCTCGTCTTCTTTCGGTATGGGCGCATCTTTTTTGTGCCGGGGCGGTGGTGTTGGCATCTTCATCGGTACCTCCTCGGGTTCTTCTTTGGGAGTTTCTGGTGCCTTCTCCTCTTTCCTCTGAGGTGGTGGTGACATGGATCTGTCCTCTCTCTTTCTCCTTGGTGGTGGCTCTACCGTTTCTGGCTCCTCCTTTTCTTGAGTTGGATCTGGTACCTTCTGCGGTGCCTTCCTCTTTGTTTCAGGAGACTCGACTTCGTTGTCCGATGAGATGTCATGCGTTAGTCCGTCTTTGAGCTTCTTGAGTTTGGAAAGAAGTTTGCTTGGTTTCCTTGACCGCGGACTGGTGGGACGATTCTCCTTTGCTGATGGAGGCGCAGCAAACACAGGTTCATCCTCTATCTTTTCTGGAATCTGCGGTGCTGGTGGCTTAGCCTGTACAGGTTCAGCCTGTACAGGTTGGACATTCTCAAGAAAAACTGGTGGCTCTTGAGGTTGCGGTGGCTCAGCTTTCACAGGCTTATCATCAGACTTCTTTCGTGATTTTGATGCCTTATCTTTTACTGGCTTCTTGTCCTTGGTCTTCTTCTTTGTAGGTTCGTCTGTAGGCTCTTTAGTCTTGGACGATTTTCTTGTCTTCGGTGATGGTGTCTTTGGGGCTTTCTTCTCTTTAGTTGATTTCGGTTTTGGAGAAGGCGGAGCTGCCTTATCTTCGGAAGGCTTTTCCACTGTAGGAGGCACTTCTGACGGTTTTTGTTCCGGAGGTATTTCCTTGGTAGGTTCTTTTTTCGGCTTTGCTGTATCCTTGGGCTGCTCTGGCTCTGACTCCTTGGCAGGCTTAGCTGGTGCAGGCTCAGTTTTGGGCTGCTCGGTCACCTTGGCAGGCTCGGCTGGTACAGGCTCATCTTTCGGCTTTTCGGTCACCTTGGAAGGCTCAACTGGAGCAGGCTCTTCTTTTGGCTGCTCTGTCGCCTTCGGAGTCTCTTCTTTTGGCTTATCTGTCTTCTCGGCAGGCTTAGATTCTGCTGGCTCATCTTTGGGAGGCTCAGTTTTATCCAAAAGTCCCTGTAACGACTTGACTGCTGGCGACGGTTCCTCCTTTTTAGTTGGAATAGTTTCGCTCGGAGCAGTCTTCGGGCTTTTGTCCTTAGGCTTGGTTCCATCGGCGGGTTTTGGCGCATACTTAGGTTTAGCTACTGGTGTTTTCCTATCTTTCGGACGACCAAAAACGTAGTCAAGAATTGAACCTAAAGTATCTGATTCTTCTTGTGGGTTCGACACGTTACCACCGTTCTGGGAAAAAAAGAAAATGATCATCATCAGTAAGTTGACACACTGAAGCAATTTCAGGGTTTAGAATGTATTCAGACAGATATCTGAGATGCAATCCGACACTCATCTTATCTGCCCCAAGTCCCACAAAAATGTGTCTCCATTCTAGTAGAATACGACATGGATCAGACTGATATCTATTAACAAGGAAGATGCCAGACGACACATTACAAACATGGGCAGGACAGCAATACAAATACAGATTATACACAGACACTAAGGTTCTATCCTACAGTGCACGACCCAGTATTGTTATATTGTGTTATAAACGCCACCTACAAACTAAGTAAGAACAAGACAACGCCAAAGCTTGCCGTTTTACAACACTTTATAAATATAATAAGAAAGTGTGAATTGTTTGTAATACGTCTGTTTATTTGTGGTAAAAGGCAAGCCTTCGCACCCTGTCACACTTGAACACAGATCTACATGTACATCAATTAATACTACAGATATGGGGATTGCCTGGTATGTAGGACCTTTGTGGTGACTGTACTTGTGATTGCAGATGTGCATTTACCTTATCATCGTTTGGCTTCTTTTTCTTCCTAGGACATGGAGGGGTCAACGCCACATCCTCAAACTCCATTGGAACTATTCCAAACACGAGCATTGGGTTCTTGAGAGGTGCACTGTTAACCTTTGGCTTTGATCCTCCATTCTCTTTGTTGTTGCTTTTTGCTTTGTCTTCGGGTTTCTTGCTTGCGTTTTTCTCTTCGCCATCCTTTTGTTTCTTGTCCTTCTCTGTTGGCTTGTCGATTGGGAGGGTTGTAGGCCGTTTACGTGTACTCTTAGTTCTTGGTGGTGGTGTCGGTGCTGGCTCGTCTTTGTCACCTGGCACTCTTGCTGGTAGCGGCGTCTTTGGCGTCTGTCCCTCTGACAGGTTTGGCGATTGGTCACTAGGCTGATCTTCAGGTGATGACTGTGTCTTGTTGTCTTTGTCCGGTATCAGTTTCTTTAACATGCGGCCGAGGACGCCTTCAGATGGTTTCTCTTCTGTGCTTGGCGGGTTGTCTTCTGTCTTGTCAGGTTGTGTATCTGAAGATGATTTCTGGTCACGGCCTTCGTTTTCTGTTGACTTACTGTCTTCTTTGCTTGGGTTTTCGTCTGTATCTTTTGGTTTTAGTTTGCTTAACAAGTTGTCCAGCAGACCTGGTTTTTCATCCTTGTCTACATCAGTTTTGGGTGCGTTATCTTGTTTTGTTGATGAATAATTTTCGGCAGGCTGTTTTCCACCGCTGTCTTCTGTGCTTGGGTTTTCATCTGTATCTTTCTGTTTTAGTTTGTTTAGTAAGTTGTCGAGCAGACCTGGTTTTTCATTCTTGTCATCCCCATCATTTTTAGGTGCACTATTTTGTTTTGTTGATTGATCTTTTTCGACGGGCTGTTTTTCGCTGCTTTCGTCTTTGCTTGGACTCTCTTCTGGGTCTGTTGCTTTGGGTTTTAGTTTGTTTAACAAGTTGTCAAACAGTCCTGGTTTGTCACCATTGTTTTCTTCAGTTTTAGGTGCAGAGGCATTAGGAGTTTTAAGATCTGTGGCAGTTGTTCCTGGTTTCTTTTGATTTGTTGAGGAATCTTCTTTGGTCGGCAGCTTTTCATTAACGTCGTCTTTCCCAGCGTTTTCTTCCGGATCGGTTGTCTTGGGTTTTAGTTTGTTCAACAAGCTGTCAAGCAGGCCCGGTTTCTCGGCATTGTCCTCTTCATCTTTAGGTGCAGTTTTCGGATCGTTGGCACCAGTTCCTGGCTTCTTTTTATCTTGGCCTTTTTTGTTCTTCAACAAGTTACCAAAGAAGCCATCATCCTCTGGTGCAGTTGTTGGGTCACCTTTGGGTGCAGTGGTGCTCTTCGTGCTGGAACTTGGTTGCTTTCTTCTCTTCGATCCATTGGAGGGTTGGCTTGGCGCTGTATTTGAGGGTGCTGCATCATCCTTTTGCACTGGCTTGGATGATTCCTTTTTGCCAGGTTTCTGAGACCTCGGTGGTGGTATCGGTGCTGGGTCTGTTTTAGGAGGCACGTAATCGTCTTCAGGTTCAACTTCTTCATCATCAGGTAAAGGACTCAGCGGTCTTTCTCCATTAAAGCCAGGTTCATGTCCGATGCCACTTTCCGCCTGTGATCTATTGTCTTCAGGACTACTCGTTCCCTCTGCAGTGCCTGGTGGTTCATCCTGTGGCAAAGCGCTTAGCTTTTCGTAAAATGATGTTGGGTCCGTTGGTATGCTGTTCGTCGGCTGAGGATCTTGTGTCTTGTCAGGCTTAGGTTTCTTTGCTTTCTTGGGCTTCGGACTTGGTGACAGTGGTACTCCTTCGTCGGAATAAAGAGGTTCTACTTCATCACTACTCTCTCCTTTGGCATCTTCGTTGTTTATGGTCGCTGGTGGTCGCTTCTTCTTAGATTTGCTTGGTTTCCTTGGTCTGCCTACACTATTCAGGGGTTCGACTTCGTCGCTGCTGTCGGTGTCCACCTGGTCATCACTTCGTCTTGGTGGAAGTGGTTTTGTGAAGGTGTTTTGTTTGCCAACGCTTGTGCCATCGTCGGAGTCTGATATTACACCTGAAAGACGATGTTTTAGGATGAGTGTTTTGCTGTGTAGATAGCCAAGGAAGACAGATTATTGTATTTGAATGTGTAAGAAGCTGTTGACGAAATCGAAAACAAAACTTATGTTAGCGATAGGAGCCTTGCCTCGGAGAGAGTTAAAAACAAAATTGTACGAATTTATAACAGAGACTAAGTTAGAGTTAGAGTGCATGTGTATGATTATGTGTGTGCGTGTCTGCACTTTCCAAATAGGCATTCTTAATATTTCGGGTTTTTTTAAGCGACCCCATGTAGTGTTCTACTTGTCTCCATGTTTGTTTTTGTTTTCCTCTGGTGAGCCCACCTGACTCAGACGACATTGTCGGATCACTGTCCCGCCAGAAGTCCTCTTCCTTGATAATTTCCAGTTCTGTTCCTGTGTCCTCGAGTAACAGAAGAAATTCCTTGGCTCTTCTCAAGCGTTCTTCGTCCGTCAGTGGTACGCTAGTTTCCTCTTCAACTTCGTCCTCCAACGGTTTGCTCTCCGGCTGTTCAACGAAAAGAGCATTTTCAGTGTTCACCTCAAATGCTTCCTTTTCTGTCGTTACCAAGGGGCGACATGTGGGTAGGGTCTGGCAATTTTGGCCTTAATCTGTTTACCCAGGCGCATCCTCCAGCCCAGTACTCAATTATACGTTAGTCTTAATCGTTGCAAAAGACTGAATAACAGAGCCAGGGTGGTCTTTTGCCAGTATATCTTGCGTTGGTGTACCCTATAGTCAGTTACACTAGTGTTGGTAATATTTCTTGACAGGCATATGTAATTAGGACGCATAAACTCACAACTGCCATTAAGAATGACCTTTCTGTATGCTGATAACATCAGCAACAGATACGCGGGTCTAAACGAGGAGTGTTGAATAATTGATGTTAAGTCCATCATAAATGACACTTTCCGGACAACAGTCAAAACAGGGTAATACAATACCTCAGCTCCAACGAAGTACTTAGCCATAATTCACCGTGACATTTTTCATGTGCCCTTTGGGGACCCAGAGTCCAAAACAACCCACCTGGCCACATTCTATATTTCCAACAATGGAGTGACCTCGATTTTAATAGAATAGCAACACCTGCTTGAAATTTGGGCTATTAAAAGCAGGTGTCGTTGTTGATATGTCAACATTTATCAATAACTCAAATGACAATGCCAGTATTCGAGGTATTACACAAATTTGTGCACCACTACCATCCAAACTTGCGACGGAGGGCAATATTTGTTTATAGACCATTGAAGCATACTAGGGTTGTTTACCTGCCTTTGCAGCGTTTGGACAATTGGATGTTGAACTAGTTACTGATCCAATTGCACACACAAATACCTGGACTGGTATTTGAGCCAGTAGAATGTCTATCACATGCGATAGGTATAGAAGTTACGTTGATCAACAGCACCAACGTAACATCAACTCTAGGGATACAAAACGTTGTATTTTTAACTGCCCCCTAATCCTCGAGCTTTATAGTGTGTTATAAACCGATAAAGACATAAGTCTCTTCTGAGCCATTCAGAATCCACCTGATTCAAAGGACTAACAGACAAAGACGACGTTATATCTGCACACTAAAGTGGGACCATAAAGAAAGCTGTTATGTGTTAGATGTACAGGGACCCTGATACCAGTGCAAATGATAAGGTAGAGTTATGATTTACAATATTATAGATTTGAAAGAGAGATACATGTGCGCATTCTAAAACATGCGCATCTAATATATGATTCTATGCAAGAATGATGTAACGGAAAAAACGGAAAGTGAAAGGTAAATGTTACATTTTGTAGAATACAATGGTGGGTGGATGGGTGGGTGGGTAGGTGTCGTTTCCCTCATATCAACAACATATTCTTAATGTAAACGTAATGATACAACATATCGAAACATAGATATACACCCTGAATACGTACTGCACGGTAGATGTTATATTGCATGTACAAACACATTGTTAAACCACATGGCCCATTTCTTCCCAACAGTATTGGATGGGAACAAATATACAATCATAAAAGCATACCAAAACATAAGTATACTGCAAAATAATTGCTGGCAACCAATAGATATAGTTAATGAACAAACATGGCAGTGAAAATAGCGACCTCTCAATGCAAGATGGAACTAGTTACAGTGACTGCAATCTCCCAAGGTCGCAGAATTGCGCCAGTAGAGCAAGTTTCCTCGATAATTGTTCCCACACCACATATTAACGTATAAGATCCCATAGATTTCAACCATACATACATACAACCTACCAGATTTTATACTGCGTCTCTTTCTGACGTAAAAGCAGTGACCTGTACTGCACGTTGCCGCCCAAAAACTATGGTCTCGGTGACACTGACAGAACAGGACTACCAAGTAGGAGAGACGCACAAGATAATCTCCAGCGAACTATGACTCGAACTCTGACACACACCCGGCCGGTTTTGCCGCCTTGTCAGAGCGTTGGGCTTTGTTGTTGGATCCAATTTATTGGAGAAACCATTACCATACCCCCCTCCCAATACACTTGTCACAATTGCTTTAACATATAATGTACAATGAAAACATGATATCTGACACGATGTTTTTATCTACTAGGAGTTAATGAAGATGACACATTTTATCTGACAAGTCTTTGTTCCCATACAGTATTACTCCATATGCATTGCCAGATGTATATATGATCATTAGCGTGACCTTGTATAAGTGTTATAAACCAGATGTAAACTATCTTACTCTAAATAATCGGTCTCTACCCTAACGATGCAGACAATGAATATAAGTGTGTAACCCTATGCCCTGTGTAACCGTCTTAAGTGTACATTGTACACAAAGACATCTACAGCGAAGCCCACAGTGTGCCCTAACTCAGAGATGTTATTAAAAAGCTCTTACCACTGCAGCGATGGCTTCAACGGGAGTGATGCCGCCGAAATCCATTCTGTAAACAGTCTATTGCCAGCACAGGTCGATGAAAACTCCGATGGTCCCGTGTCTCGTGTTAGAACTGGGAGGGAAAAGTGGCCGCCATTTCACTCTTTCCCCCGAGGCTAGTGCTTAAACGTTGGGAACAGGAGGAGTCGGTCAACAGAACAGTTTGGTCATGCACCAATACCTCTGCAGTTTGATCTCAAACTGCAACGGATTCAAATCTAGACGACTGCTTTAACAAGCACAGATTGAAACGCTTTGGTATAGTTGGTGATATTGTATGCTACTTTTTGCGACCATATTGCAGATGAGTAAGTATGATTAAAGAGCAGGGGCGGAATCTGATTGGTCACAACTGCGTGTGACGTGAGCGCTGTACGTTGTTTGGGTTACAATGCCATGCTTGTTTTCAGCTGTTCAATCCATCAACCTGTATCTTGTTTGTTTCGAGCTGTTGTTTCTTGTTGTTTGGGACAATATCTCTTTGATAGTTGCCAACGTCATAATCAGCATAATGTCCTCTATTCATAGCAATATCATATCATATTCGGGGGGTTACTTTTTGGCGCGCATATTGCAATGAATCAGGTCAACTCCCAAAGGGTGTGGCCAACATTTCAATTTACCTTATCCATAATTATAAATTATCAGTCATATTCATCGTTGTATTATAGCTGTGAATATTTCTGTGAATCACTTTGGTTTTGTTAATTGGAATGTATGTAGTATCGCACAGTATCGTGCCCTTGTTTATGTTTGTAATTTGTAAGCGCTGTGAACTTTGACCCCTTCTTAATTGTCACTTGCCGCCATTGTTGTTTTGAAGTGGCCAAACAGGTCCCTGCCGATTATGTCATTATGTCCTCTGCAGCTTTTCTACCTCCTAACCTGTCCTTATGACACCTTTTTACCACTTAGAGCTAAATGGCAAAACGTAGTCGCACTGACTGAGCCCTATATCATATTGTGCTGTGGTCAATACTCTGAAGATATGATTTGAGGCTATGATTTATATTGAATTATTTAACGCCTTGACCTCCTTAATTTGGAAATCGTTAGTGCTATATATGTGTTTTCAATGCTAAATAATGACACAGTAACTGATCTCATAGTTAATCGTTAAATCATGCTCTGAGATAAGACGTTTGTGACCATAGAACCATGTTTATTCAAAAGAGAGAAAAAGAAGTGTTGCAGCATTACATAACTATGTGCCTCAGTGCTTTATCTATGATGTCAAATGTAATAACATAATCCTTTTCAGCCGCTGATTAATATTCATATTGGTAGAAAATAAATCTTAAACCCTTTAATAACATTATAAACTGTTTAAAAACCATCTAAACGAAAACCTCTCTGGTGTCTTTTTATTACCAGAATTCCACCATGCTATGCTAAATAGTAGCCTATACCCACAACTTTACAAAACCAGGCATCTGACATCACACATAGGATATCTATTGCTTTCAAGAATCTAGGAGACAATAAATATAGGTAAGGATCATTATTGAACGTGATCGATGGCATTGGCCGCCGGAAATAGGTGGCGTATTTGTTACAAAATGTCTTCTGAGAGAGTGAAATCAGTTAAGTCCTTCTTACATACTCTTTACATACTCGTGTCATGTTCTTGACACCTATGTGTGTAAAAATATTGTTGTCAACCGTCAGACTCCCTCCATAGGAACTCGTCATCTGACAAAGGATTGACCTCTCCTATAGCCACTTCTTCTGATTCCTGCCCAGACCTAAGTAAAGTACCAGGCAGGTGGACCTTCTTAGCATTCTTTCTAAAGCTCCGTACAAGGCTGTTAGACCTTTTGACACCGCTGGCCGATCCGGTGGACTTCATTCTCTCCAAGGTTGAGGATTTCTTCACCTCGCCACGTCCTCCACGTCCTTTCTCTGCAACCATGTAGCATCTCGCACAGACTGGCCGCAGGTCGATTTCAAGGAACAAAAACCTACAGAACAATTTGTAAAAGGCATAAGTCACACTATGTCACATTTAGGTAGCTTTTGTTACCTTGGAACGTTTAGACATCTGGCATAATGGCTTGCAAAATATGTCATAATTACTAAATAAATCAAGTACATGTGTAATGGCAAGGTTATGAAGATGCCAGTTTCAATGTAAAAAGATTCCCCCTTTCTGACAAGACATCAATATAAAAATAAAGGTCAATATGAAGAAGTTGATGTAGTTTTTATGTCAAATGAACATATTCACTCACTCAAGGGACAGCTCGTCGTTACAAAAGGCACAAAACAGATGGTCCTCGCACCACGTCTTGGAAAACAAAGATAAACCTATAGAAAAAGAAACATTACAGTTAACGTTGATTTTGGATTAACTATTAATTCTTACTTATAAATTTCACTTTATAGATGATTAACTGATCATCAACGTGCCTTGTTCAGAGACTGGCTCGTTGCAGTGATGACAGAGATCCTCTTTGGGGAGTTTCTGAAACAATCAATGTTATCAATATTGTTATATATATATGCTATGAAAGGCAGACATATTGAAACCCCCTACTATGCATTGCTCTGTCTATTAACACATTTAAACACACAAGCTAGGTTTATGAGTTCTATCTCTTATTTGTGTGTCTTGGGAGTGCATCTTAAAGCAACGAAGTTATTATTTACCACAGTGTCATAGAGAGGGCGTCTTCTCTCCCTAATCTTCTCGTAGCCCGGTCCAGGGTCATCATCGTCCATCGGATCGTCTGACCGTAGCTTCCAGACGTCCTCCTCCGTCGGTCTCTCCGGCGTCAGGGCGGAGTCGTACGAGCGACACATCTTCTTCAGCTCGCTCACGAGACGGAGGATCTCGTGGTGTTCCTCGTCTATCGTCATTATGCCAGGGGTCGGGCGGAAGTTTAGGAAGTGATCCATGGCTCTTTGGTGAACCGACTTTTCTGTTTGGGCTTTCTTCCTACGCATGAAACAATGAACAATTGTTGAATGTTACAAATGATATTGCAATCTTTGACAATGTGTACATATGCAACTACACCCTACACCTAGTGCAATATATTAAACACAGTCGATACCTTATTTTACCTCCCCCTTCATTGGCTTTGGTTTACCAATTCATCTTGTTACTAATGGTTTCCTATTATGTAGCGTACATGTATACATGTGTCTAGTAGTATGTTTAGTAATTTGTAATGTGTTTAAGTAGTAATGTGTTTAAGTAGTATGTTTATCTGTCGAGAATTGTGCGATACAGTATGCTCCCCCCTCCCCCCCATAAGCAACAGTTGATCATTATCGATTTGATACCAGTATCTGGTAATGATGTTGGATCCTAATTATCTCACTACGATATAAACATAATTAATGAATATATGACGCATATTTTACAAAGCATGTGCAGTCAAATACCCATAGAAATGTAGATACTAAACGGCCTTCAGGTAGATACATAGCAGACATATTGCTTACTTGGGTCTACTTTGGTCCTCGCTGGCAGCCTTCCTGAGCTTGTTGATCAGGACGCAGATTTCTTGGTGTTCGTCAAGAATGTGACCGGTCTGTAACGATATAAGATATATTTCATTTGCGATATCTATAAAACATCTTTCACACTAAAACACATAGCCAAGGTGGGGGAGGGGGGCGCCTGGCAATAACCTTGCATGGTGATAGTACCCTCCAAACTAACAAGTACACATAAATATACTTTTTGTTATTAGGTAACGTTTAAAGATCTTAGACTTTATGCATGACTTCCTTTTCATATAGGTGTCTATTATTCACCATACATGTTCAAACCAAGGTTATCGAAGTATGTACCTTACCTGTAATGACGAAAAGTCGACAATGTAAGACAAGATCGTTATCTGTTCTATTTGACCTTTACTGCCAATGCCATTGCCCTTGTCTGAACAATAAGGTTGTTGTACACGGGTCAATGAAGTGTAATACCTTTAACGGTAATGCTTATGTCGCACATATTCCAGATGTGAGTCTACTATCAACGAATACAGGGGTCGAATGCGAGAGACCTTTAAAGGATCAATCAAAATTTGACATATCTTTTGCATTTCTTTTAGATCATTAGACAAATAATCCGCCATTTTGGGTTAAAGGTTATTGTTGTTTACAATCTGTTTTCAAGGGTCATGAGGTTTACAATGTTCGCAAGGTTTTCATACCTATACAATCTTCTTAAGAACTTTCATACTATTCTTTCATTTACAGCATATGAAATACCACCGCAGCCAATTAGTGAAACCGTATGTGACACTTGTCGTATTTAAGACCATAGATTCACACACAAAACAGGGAAAAGTAATGATAAACTTTTGTTATCACATATAACCTATACCTCATTACCCACATAATCGTCAGCCTCCATTGCAGTCACGTTTTGGCATCAACTGTACGCAGATATCTTTACACACTGTTGGTTACGGCGAGGTACAGACAAAATGGCGGCCTTACTGTTGTGTGTACACAAGACCTCGTTACCCCCACTCTCACTGGTTACAGGTGGTTGAGAAACCGTCAATTAAAATCACAGAGAGAAGGGGGGCATTTAGACAATGCAATTACTTCAAATATTGGAACAATCACTCATACAACTGCATTGTCGTTCATAATTTCAATAATTTTTTTGAAGAGCTTTTGAAATGTGAAGGCTCCACCTTGGTTTAAGAGTTTTAAAAAGTTGTTGTTATGTACTAAGATTTCGCATTGTCTAACCTAAACATATGCATAAAAGCCTCTACACTATATTTCAGCCCTTATTTTCAGTAACAATTCTAGGTTGTTTCTGTAATTCAATAATGTATGTTTAAAACAGACAATCTCAACTATGCATCCTGTTCTACGTTTTTTTGGTTATCTTCACAAGAAATCAGATAATAACTCTTCTATATACACAACCCAACGCTGGCCCCCTGCCGACAATACGTGTGAGTGATGTGACCCGTGAACATTCTTTCCGAAGCTCCGCCCCCCTAGCTAGTACTCTTCCATCAATCCGTCAAATCTGACATGCGATGAGTCCTGAAAGCAGCATTGTTTAGAATGGAATGCCATCTATTCAGCTGAGATTGAAGACGCTCTTTGTTAGATAGCAGGGTTATCCTCATGTCAAGCATGTAAAATGCTGCCCTTAAGGCGGTGGATTCCTGCCCCCTTTTGAGATAAAAATCTCTGATAAGCTTTTATGTAAAATAGTTATAAGGAACGTAAGAATCTAGTCGTTGCCTAAGTCGACGTCGTATATGCTATCGATAAATATTAGTCCATACCTTGAGTTAGGATATCTAGCAGGATATAAGGATGTACAAGGTTGCGCTTGGTGACAAGATTCAAGTGCAATTGTACTTTAACCTCATATGTTATAGATCTTCAATTCGTTGTCTTGAGTGCAGCGCCACCTGCCTACTGGTGCTGACATTCCATCATTCTTCTTTTTACTGGTACTTCATCTTAGTGTCTTCACGATGCGTCGGAAGGTACACGTTACTTTTATGAAGCACCATAAACAAACGTTAATTATAATGCATTTTCGTGGATAAATACCAACTACGGATCCATTCTGTGTGTCTTGATAACGATATGCCTTAACTTAACCATCGTATCAGTGATAACAACACACCCAACATTCTCCGTGTAAAAATGTTTAATGGTACAGCCAAGCACATATATGTTGACGACAGTCAACAACATGCCTATGGCAATGGGCATCATATAATATTACCTGTTACTGAAACAAGGTTCTTCCTTTAGAAAATAATATTATGAATACTTAAATAAGCATTTCCACAATACCTGTTAAATTGCACTGTATTGTGTTTTTAAATGATAATACAGAATCCTGGTACATAGCAAAGATATACAGGATATTACCTTACCTGTAATAACAAAACTGTAATTGCACTTCATTTGACCATGCTTACATTTACATCAATGTTAGTTACCAATTACCAAATAAATCATTCAGCTTATACAATGTAATACATTACTCTACAACTATTTTCCCTCTATTAAAGCATAAAATAGAAGCCATCATGTATCTCCTACTCTAAATGTTATTTTGCTACTATTACTTTCTTGAACCTGACTAAGTCCTATAGGATACCAGCCTGTACATTGACTGCCTTGAATGATGAACTTTGTAATGTCTAGGCACTTTCTTATGTACCTATCATATCCATAAACAATCAAAGGATTACCACGGGTGAATATCTGCCACATTGACAGTATGATTATACACATCTAACGTCTATTGGGGATCTTTGCTACATGGTGAGTACATGTCTCATCTCTTCTTGCCACCAAATCCACAGATGAGTGGCATGAACGAGTTGGTGATGGTTGGCTTCTTTGGTCTGCCTGTAACCTCATCAGGTAGGCAGAGGTAGCAGCGCTTGCACACCGGCCTCATGTCGAACTCAAAGAACTTCGTCCTGTTTGAAAATGACAAAGAAGATATTACTCTAGTACGCTGCTATCAACCTATGCGATAGATATCTTATGGATACCTTAGCTTTACCGGGTATGCATGTTAACGCAAGCAAATAGCATTCCAATATTTATACATGCTTAAAGAAAAATACGTTTGATATTACACTGAGGATAAGGACAGATATATAACTGTTATTGTTATTATAGTACTCACTTTAACGTAAATCTGATGTCGCAGAAGGGACATGTGAAGCAGTCCTCACACCATACTTTGTTGAACACTTTCACGGCTGAAAAGGCAAGAATTTTCAATATAATCAGTTTTCATAATGTGGTGATTTTGTTAAGCTACTAATGATGCAAAGGCATAGTAGGGTCCTATCTTGTGCAAAGATAACATGATTCAAATGGCACCTACCATCCCCTGTGATTGGAACGTTGCAGTGATAGCATCTGTCAGCAACCAGCTGCAAAATACACGAAACTACATGTAAGTCAGTCTTTTATCTTTAAATAAAAGGCAGAATAGATTTAGTGCAGGTCCATGATTCCATGACTTTCCAATAGTCATAACGTCATATTATACGTTTAATTATTTTTCATTCCACGTTTCCAAAGATCTACATTTTCTTCAATAAGCAAATAATGCAGGGCATCTCGTACCTCGTCGTAATGCTTCTCGCAGTAGGGGACTCCCTCGAACTCGAAGTAAGGTTGGCCCACAAGTTCAAATGGCAGTGCACACTTTCCACATACAAAATGCTGAAAAAAATAATAAATAAAAGGTTACCTTCAAACATTATTGGCAAAATGCATACATGTTCCTGATACAAATTACTTTGCGTTGTATTACGTTGAGGTTTTAACAATAGGAATCTTACTGACATTAATATGTATTTAATTTTACCTCTCGATGCCATCTCTTGCCTGCTCCTTCCACAAAGCTCTCGGTCAGAATGCGCCTGAAATAGATTGTTATACGTCACTACTAGATCACGACTGAAACAGTATTATGTTAAAACTGAAATAGTATTATGTTTAACATACCGAGATGACAACAAACGGTAATGATTCTAATAGTCTCCTACCTGCAAGAGTGGCACTTGTGAGGCTTGTGATTGTGCTCACTTCGCCTCCAGAAGTCGAATGGAGACGAATGCCTGTGTAGAACACATACATGACATGATATGAATAATATTACAGGGGATATGATAATAGTTTAAAACGAGAACCAAAACATTAGTTTTGTTTGAATAACATCAACCTGTTACATTTGAATTGAGCCAATCATACATTTTATGAATCCTTTTATGTCATGACCACTGGTGATATGTTTTGCATGATAACTTACCGCTTCTTTGGAGAGTCATACATGAATGCATCTGAAACAAAGATAGGAGGTCTCATTAATTTCTTGTCGACATCTTTTAAAGCTAATTGTCGGCGACATTCATACATGCAAGACTAATGTGTGATCATAGCGAATGATGTTTTAAAACGTATAAACCTGCACCGAATGTCATGGGCACAGTCAAGCCTTGTTGTCATAAAATACAGCATGAAAAATAATATGAGGCTGAGCTAACCTGGATCCTCAGCTCCTATTGGGGACGGCCGTGAGCCTTTCCTAGAAAAACAAAAGAAAAAAAGCTCTTTATGAGACTCTATAGATCTTGCATGAGACCAAATCTTACTGTGACCAAATCTTACTGTGTGCTCGTGCAGTACAACCGTATTTTAGAACTTTTATGTAAGTGGCAAGTAAGAATTTGCATAGAAGATGCTCCAGCTATGTCTCTTTTGCGTATTCATAATAATGAAAAGAAATGAAACATATCTATTGGCCTTACCTCCTTCGTCTCCATAGATTAGATTCACTTATTTGGAGGTCGAATTCCTTTGCCTGCTTCTTTCGCTGGGGCGATCGTTGAGGAGAACGCTGAGATTTGCTTAAGACAAACATACAGACATAAGATACATGAAAATTTGCACAAATAGAACAAAAAGCGTACTACTCGATACATTTGAATATTTTGTATATATACAGGAGGTAAAAACGTCTTGAAACTTCTAGTTCTTTTAGGTACCTTCGTTGCACTGGAACAGTCAACTTGTTCTTCCTCTTCTTCAATAAGGATCGTGGGTCGAAGGAGGCTGCCCTGTCCCTGGTTATCCTGCGAGACATAACAAGTCAGTTACGCTTTGAACATTAATTCAGTAACTCAATAGTAGACAAATTGCGTGTGCGTTTAAATTGTATACCACAGATAGTTAAACATTAGACGGTAGTTAAACCCAGGATATAGTGATATAATCATACGCCTTGCTTTTACTCTGTTAAAACCACTATATTTACCTGTTTATTCATACTAAATAAGAAGATAATGCCATGTCATTACATATACTTGAATTCATTACTTGTCCGTCTCTAAGTGTGAGTCACCAACAGGTTGAAGTTGGACACCAAAACGCAAAGAAGAAGTAAAATTTTTCAATCTACCAACACTTGATATGTGATCTACAATACATGTACGTCCAATTGCAAATTATTATTGTTCAAATTTTAACGATCCTACCACGGTTCCTGTCCCGGAGACGACGTCGATGACGTCAGGCGTTGTAGATCCTTACAGGAGTCCTCAAGAGCTTTCAGAGACCTGTTCAGGTCCTCCCTGGAAGTGGTGATGTCATCTTCCTGCTGCCGCCGTTTCTTGTAGTACTGAGGCATGGAGCTGGACTTGCTGGTGTCGGCGGATGTGGGGTGCTGGTTGGTCCGGGGAAGGCTGGTGTGCCTGTTAGGGACGAAGTCGGATACGGGCCTGTCGATCCTGGATCTAACGACAGGACATTAAGGAGACATGTCTTTACGAATTCTTATTGAAATGCCCTTTAGCTTGATGGCTAGTCTAACAGGAATGACTTGGTAAAGGACTATAATTATGATTGACTTGGTAAAGGATCACACATAATGGCACAGAAACTAATTCATGGCATGAAATAACGTTATATACAATGTGATCATAGAGTTAACGTTGTATAAACATATAGTGAATGGCTTTTAACTGTCTTAAAGAAAAACGCATCCAACACTGATCCTGTAAAACACACAACTAGCAATGGACAACCTCATTTTCTATGTGCTTGCACAAATGTGTGGCCCAATGTTTACTAAAACAGAGATTGTCGCTGCGTTATTCACCTTATGATGTGGGTAAGCCCTTAGCTAGATTAGTTTAACTGCCCAAGTATCCAGTGTGCTACTATAGACCAAAACACCATGATACAGGGTATCTGTGAAAGTATCAGTAACAATTCAATACATACGCATAACTTGATGCCGCCCTTTGGTTTGCCACCATAGACCGTGTTTTCTCCTTGACTGTCGCGGCGCGGAGTGCGTACAGCAGCCGTGAGATCTCCTTGTGTTCCTCGTCCATGGTCAGAACTCTCCCGTTAGTCGGTGTGATGCAGTCCTCTTCATCTGACCCTGTGGATGTGACACTGATACTTGGGGAAGTGTAAGGAGCATTGCCGATGGTTGCCTCTGGTGTGAGCACGTGGTAGACCTTTTTCTTCTGCTGTTGTTGTTGGTGGGATCTGTATCTTCGTTCCGACATCTTCTGCTTCTTTAGTTGTTCAGCCAGATGATTAACGTCTTGATGTTCATCAACCATATCAACGATCTGAAGTATTATACAAATGTCTCGAGTTAATATAGGAAGTCTAGAGATCACTGTGAATAGACTGCTATCTATAGTATATTACTGGATATACAGGATGTGCGTTTTTTCCTTGAAAAGCGGAAGGGCATATCATGAACTACAGGACGTCGATTGTTCTTTTTTCAATTAAACCTTAATCTTTAAAGATTTATCTTTTGACAGGATGTTGACCGTGCAATTCTAAAAAGACGTGCTCCAATGTTCTCATTATCACGGTGTCCTATGCCTAATAAGGTTATGTTCATTGGCTTGTTCTCCGAAACGAAATAAACCCAGTCTGTACAGTAGCTTCGAGTGTTATGCCCATGCGCCCAACTTAATTTACACAACAAAAGTACAGCGACTTTCGTAAATTCATGTAGATATATAGACAAATACAACAAAATATACAAGACAATATATGAATCAACTCATACTACTTGTTCTAAGGTCTAAACATTCTTTGATATATTTACCTATTTGTAAGGGTTATTACCTTCTAGAATGAAATTTAATTTGTCTATAGCATTAAATGTAACAAATTCTGTTGAGCAAGCGGAGAGAAGGTTGAACAGCTTTGAGCGTTTATCGAGATATAGTGGACAAATTTGTTACCTTAAATGTAAGCTATATTACCCATATTCCTTGTGTTATTCTTAGCATGGAATATCTATTTTAATCTAACCACTACCTCGTGTAACATGTTTAAACCGTTGGCTTGAAACAGTACATACATGTGTAGTCTATGAAGAGGACACACTCCTGACTTCTTTCCATTTACACACTTACAGAGAGGTCGGGGGTCATTTGGCGGTCGCCATTTTTATACAGAAAACCGGTGGTGCAGGTACAGACTGCCAAAAGGTGTTTACATAGCCTTCTGCCCCAAATCACTGATGCGGTGATAACATACACGATTCTGTATCTTTGTCATTGTTTCAGTGTAGTAAAAGAGAAAAGAATGGTACTGTAAAAGTAAATTTCGTATCCTCTCGCAAAGGAGGCAGATGTTTTCTGTAGAATCTGTTTTTGATGCTGTGCCAATTGACACAGATCAGAATGTGATCTGACAAGGATGTGGCATGAAACACTCCCACCCTCGGGCAGGGCTCAGTGTAAGCTGGACGCGTGCCACATTGTACCAGTTCGTACTACCGTGCCCCAACCTTTGTCCTCCCTTTCAAAATATCGTTAATCAAATCAGCGAAAGCCAATAATCGATATCTATAAACGATTGTTCAATTAAGAGTGTTGTCGTAGAGAATGTTTATCATCCTAACCCCCCTCCCCAACTCCCTACAAAGTACAGACATGTCCAATCTTGTCCAGGTGTCAGGATAACTGTGGGTTAACCCAAAACCACAACAAAGGTGGCTTCTTCCTGCCGAGCCCTGGCACTTTCCCAGCCAAAAAACTGATTAAGCTTCCCAGAAACCGTGTGACAGAGTTACCAACGGATATGCGTGATAACGATCTCTCGGTTACTAGAAGTTGGCAGGTGCTGTGTCATGTACAACACCACATATCATCTTATGATAATTCTAACGATGCGTTTTCTATTGTATTCTGTATTTGCCATGTTTTAGACTTTATAACATCTGCTGCGGCGCCTATACAATATTGACTGTTTCAACTTTAAGCAGGGAAATTACCGTTACCTTCAACTTCTCCCATTAGTGAGTTTTTTTTTCTAACAGACTTTGCCGGAAAAGATCTAGACGTTAACAACGATTCCTCACACAAACTGGTGAAGGCTGTATATATCTATATCCAAGCAGACACCACCTACCTTGCTATTTAGACAAAAAATAGCATCTTTGAAAATGAAGGTAACCAATAAATCAAGATATATATATACTGTTAAGAAGGCCCCACCTACAGCACACCTACACACATGTGTGACGTATTTTACTTTTACGATGTAGGTGCGAGTTCACATACGCACACTGGCGTACGTTTGTGGTGACACGAAATGTTTCTTAATTATATGGGGAAAATTCATATGTACAGACGTCAATCTACACGTCTCGACATATGGGTCATTAGATGTGGATGTGGATCACATTTTAATTATATATTGCTCATTTTGTGTTTCAGATTGTTATAAATGACGTTATCTATCTACATGATAATTCCTATGGCACTAGAATTTTGTACAATTTATGGGCTAAAGAGGTAACCCGCCAGAAAAAAAAACAGTAACACAATAGCGATCAGCAACAAGTTGTAGAACTACAAATCACAAGTATCATGAACAATTGTAGTAACAAGTATAATCCAATTAACCCCGTCGGTCAAGTGAATGACTGGTAATTACTACCTTTGATAATCTCCTACCCCAAAGCGGTACAACTACATCAGACTTTTGAGAAGGGAGGGGGGTAGATTGATTTTTACCTCACGAAATCTCCCCTTACAGTATATTATTCAGCCACTATAGATCGCGTACATTGTGCAGCATATGGGTACACTGTTACAATGATAATGGACAAGACATTTATACTCAATCGCGATGTATGCATATACTGGGAAAGGTTCCCAAATTCTTACCTCCATGTTACGGAACAGTGTATAATGTACACTCCACTGGTTAGCTTAAGTATCATGACTTAAAAGCTTTATCCACACCAACGGCGATATCACAAAGAAATGGCTGTAAACGTACCTTCAAGTCTATTAGCCTTGAGGAAACGCGTGGTCCTTACACTAGAATCCAGCACGATATGTGGCCCATTCCCTACCTGCTGACTTTTTGTCACCGGTTGTTTTCTGTATATACAAATGAGTCAGGCAGCCTGTTGCACAACTTCCGGTGACCTACCGCTTAAACATATATAGGTGTCAATGGAAAGCACCTTCCTATTATACGAGGAAGTAATGACTATGAGTTAGTGTTGTAATGTTTACACCTGAAACAAGTCAGTAATACTCACCCACACACTTAAACCGCCCGCTGGGATCTGTACAGCTTGACTGAAGTTTGAACAATGCGCAGGTAGACCGTGAACACTTGCGAGCTCACCCTTGTCTGCCGTCGTGACCACAGTGTGTACTCGGCACTTGTTACCACTTCCGGTCGCAGTCGGACATATCGTTCGCACGCCCAGGAAGTGTTCTCACTAGTCATCGTCAATACCTGTCAATCATAAAACACTGACCTCATGGAAAATTTAAAACGTTTTTATGTTTTTTCTCTGTCATTTCCGGTATTGGGTAATAGCTACCAATCTTTTAAGGTAGAATATGTCGTTAAGGTTTGTACTAGGCGATCTCGTTTTCCATTTGACAACCCATTACATGTTTTAAACAAGCACGTATATGTACTTGAACCACGGTTCACGATTTTCCATGACAAGTACTAGTACTCTATTTAATAGATATGTAAATTTGACCTTTTACAGCCCCACACCTTGCCCACCTGCCTGATTTAAGAGTTAATTGTAGGGCGTTCTTGATTAATAGGTAGTACATACATACCTGTGGTTAGCAACACCTGCTAGAAAATTGGACCAGAAGAAAAGGCTCCGGAAAAGAGTAAATGAAGCATGATTCCTTGTCAGTATCTCATTATTGATTTCTTAATATATAGCTCTTTACACTTTTACCTTAAACAGGAGAAATGTACTTTAAACAGGAGAAATGTACTATATACTTATAGTTAAAATGTACAATATACTTATAGTTCAAGTGCCTTAGATATTAAACAATGTATTAAACGTGCCTTAGATATTTAAAAAATATTAAAAGTGCCTTAGATATCAAAAAATATTTTTAAAATATCTAAATTAATTCATAGCTTTCATAGCTTTTCTGTATCTAAAGTAACCAGACTATCAGCAACTGGAAAACGTACACTTATGATATACTTAGCGCTTGGTTTTATTCAGTATTTAGGGGTAATGCAGGCTATTGTAACATTCACAAGAACCGGTTGGTGCTGTGTTACATCATACTGTGTTTACTTTCATACGTGTAAACATTCGGGTCAAAGGTCGAATCGTTTAAACGAAGCTAAGTGTTAGATAAACGATAATTGACGGTTTCTTTTGTGAATTTTTCAAGTAAACGTAGCTCGTAGCTCTATGATCAATCCAAGTATTGCTGACAGTACCTTTGCTGTAGGTTGTATCAACATGCGCTGGTTTCCTTTGTGACGTGTCATACTCCTTTTCTTTGATCTTTACATTATACACATTGTTCTGTACGTACATTATGTATCTTTGGCAACGTTAAATGATTTTGTGTTTAGTAATGGATGTTGATATAGTAATAATGGTCATGATTGCCATTCAGGGATGGTTATTTGACCAGTAGAACACGTAGGGTGCGGCATAGTGCGTAGGTCACGTTGGTTCAACAGATTAACAAACACGTTAGGTAAAGAAACCTGGCATCTGAAATATTTGAATAATGGGGGTGCCGCGGAAAGGTTGAAGTGATATTTTTGGCCAGGAGCCAGACACAGTATCTGCTGCCAGAGACGCGAACTGTTGGTATAAGCTGCGCCTCCTTGCGGTTTCTTCCCAGATGTTTGTGCTTGTGCGAGACCTTTGTCGAGAAATACGCCAGTCAAAGCAGGCTTATACCATTTTAAGATTGTAGGGGTAGTATTTGTTAACATACGGTATAAGAATTAGAAGACGAATGCTGTCCCTCTCTTTCCACTGTCTTCTAGCTCCCAAACCGAAGTTAGGTACCTATTCACACATGGTAGAGCCGTTTTTACGTACCTTTCCAAGGACACAGTGTTTGGCCTGGAATCGAACCCGTGACATCTCCATCCCGTGTCTGTTTGTTAGCCTAACCGCTAGGTCATTGACACTATTTTCTGCAGAAAGACAACAGGCAAAGGACAAGTATTTCCACGAGATTATCTGATTCAACAGGTTTATTTCAGTTTTACGTCCAGTAGATAGGATACCGACCATACAGTATGTAGCTATTAAAACAGGTGTAACTGATTCTTACTATACCATAATGCAATTTTAGATTCTATTGATAGCTCTCTTATATGAAGAATCTAACTAACTAACTATGAAGAATCTCTATACTTGAAACCTAATTGTCGTGTGATATTTGTGTACTTCCTCATGTAACTTGTGGCTTATATCTATACATTAACCTGGAATCCAGACTTGTCAGGGCTAGCACAGGTCCCCTAGGAAGTTTTGCAACAGTCTCTTGAGAAAGGTGAATTGAATTCATACAACCAAAATTCATGCATTGAATTCATGCTGGTTCATGCACCCGGATGGAATTTAGTTGCCCATGTAGCGATACAAGTTTACCGTGAGCCTTGGAAGAGACTGGTGACCAGGTTACTTCAATCTACATCATCCATCTGTTATACTGCAGTGACATGTGTGACATCTTTACAATCTCCGTGAAATACAAGATAAAATATCATTTGTCGTTGGGTAAACACGAACAAAATCATGTATCTTAATAGTCCTAAATAAACAACTTTCGGGCTTCATTTTTTTTAGATTAAAACAATAAGTTGGGATTTTGAAATAGTAATACATAGTTTACCGTTTTAAGAGAACCATGTATATTGAGGATCCAACAATAGTTACTTTTAGATAGTACACCCATGTGATTTATTTCTCAATGAAAATATGCCTTCCAAGAAAAAATTGTTGCACGAAATGATGTTCAACTATTCTCTTACCATGTTGAATTGTAACGGCACTGTTTATTTTTTTTCTATTTCAAAAAGATAAAATAATCGCTGATTTTCACTTTTATTTCAATTTAGCTGCCTACCAAAAACATCATGATCTGTTGGTCACAGAAAAAATGGTATAATTGGTACATGTATCTTTTATTTGCAAATTCTAAAAGCAGCCCTCGTCTACAATGTAAGAGTTGTACATTGGTAGTTTCTTTAACAACCTTAGATATATTATCTTTCACCATGACTTGTTAATAGTACATTGAAACCGAGACATTTTCTTAACATTGAATTTATAATAAAATATCAATAACTTCTTATTTTGTGAAAGAAAACATTCGTCTGTGTGTCATGGTTCTATGATTATTGTTTCAGAATACATACTTAAATAAATTATTAGGCAATATGACATAAACCACAGTGCACACCCTGCAATTCGCTATATATTTCAAATGCTGCAAATCCGAAACTAGACATAAGTCATTCATCTATTCATCATTAGGTATTTATGGCAGTTAGTTTAAGCAGATTTCTCAATATATAAGAATCCATTTTGGAGCACTTTGTGCAAAAACGCTCCAAGTTCATCAAATAAAGGTACAGATCAAGAACTCGTCATTAACAGCATACTAGATGCACCATTTATGTTCCTTGCTAGAACGATTAGACTACATAAACTATGCCTTATTGCCCTGTACTTACCTAGTACAACATAGTGCCCTTGAATACGATACGTACTTATAACACCTCGTGATAATGAGTTAAACAGTAAAATGACAATGACATGTATTTCTTTCACCAAACATATAAATATATATTATCAAAATAATGCACGTTTCCACGTCACTCTTTATATAAAACGACCTTAGCCACAACGCTTTTCATACTCAATAGTCCAGTCATAGAAATTCGCTTTGCCCAAGAAAGATATATCTGTTTACATGACCAATATGTAATAAAGTTAAAAGCATATACAAGGTCTGCATTGTTGTCAATTTTCAATACAAACCAATCTACTAACCCTGCATATTTCTAACATGGATTTGCTTTCTTCTAGGCTTGTATTGTGTACATACAAAGGCGAGATTTCTTAAACATTTACTGCAATACTCAGGAATGTCTAGATTTCTAAACATTAGCTTTTTAAAGTTTACATTTTACTCATTAACGGAAAAGCTTGGTTTGCTGTGGACAAGCAATACACTTATCGATCACGACATTCCTTGCTTGTTCTGTAACAAATGCTTGACGTTCATGCTGTTACAGAAACACATTCTTTACATGATATCCTTCGCTACTGGCTCCTGACGCCACTGCCACTTGTCTCGTTTACCTTCTTCCCATGGTAAAGCCCCATTTCGAGTCGACTTCATTCCCGGGAAACGCCCGACAACACTTCTTGCACATTGGTCTTTCGTCGAGCTCATAGAACTTTTGACTGCAAAACATATAGTAGAAAATATTTGCATATAGTAGAAAATATTTCTTTATTACAGGTCCTCAAATGCTGGCTGGCGACTAAAATAGCTGATGACATGGGTATTGACATGGTCAATCTCCACTTTAAAAACACTCAAAAGACAAGTCACTGTCAAACAAATTTGGAAAGAAAACTTACCCTCGTTTGAATCTGCGATGGCAACAACAGCACGCGAAATGTCCCTCGTGGAACACCTTGTTGAATGCACCAACGACTGAAACAAGTTAAAGCAAAAGGTTTGTCAATTAACACAGGCTGTGAAGTTGCTGGAAAAAGCAAACAGCATGTCTAACTTTTCCTTTACGTAAAGTATGGTTGCAGCAAAGTAACAGAGTGGTCTGGAAGTGGTTAAAGAAATCAGGATATCCTGTACATCTGATACTAGATTTACAAGAGCGAAGATCTGCTTTAAGTAAAAATGTTTCTATCATAACTATGGGAATAACACTTGCAACACACGGTAATAGAATTAAACAAATTAGTAGTCCAAGGACTGTATACCATGCAGCAGTGTTAAAATCAGCCCCCTTACCTTGTCCTCTGATGGGTTTGTTGCAGTAGAAGCACATGAATACATCCTCACCCTCCTGCAAACAGACAAAGTATCTGTAAGCAACTATCTCCTCTATTCCATCCATAAGCCAGCAAACATAATATCGTACAACTAGTAACGTATTCACACCGATAAACAATGATAACAATGTAGACTTATCTTTAGGTCGTCATGAGAGGTGTGGCATAAAAAAGCATAAAAAAGGTATTGTTGATTTAACAACATCAACAGTGGTGAAAGAAGTAAAATACAACAGGACAATAAAGCTATCCATAAAAAGCGACGGAGGGCATTACAAATTATTTGCTATATTTGATCCAAAGGTAATTTTCTCAAGTGTTCACAAATTCATACAATGACATCATAGAAGCTGAAGATTCTTTCATTCATTGACACAGTCATTAGTGTCACAGATAAAAAAAAATGGTAAGTCCAATTCTTTGTGTTTGCCATTGTTAATCATAATATCATATGTTTGTAGCCTTACCACTTGTCTATGTTGACGAACCATCTCCATGGTGAATCCTGACGTGTTGGAGACGGCGGAAAACGGGGTGTGTGGTGTGACCTCGCCTCCCCAGGTGTAATGGGTGGACGTCGACACTACAAAAGACATTCATTTGGCATTGTTTTACAGACTTAGAGCAAATATAGGCGATCTTAAGAGACAACAGAAATAAAACGTCGATCTAAGAGACAACAGAAATAAAAAGTTCAATCTGCAGTAACTAGAAGTAACTAGGATTATATAGGCCTTGAGGAATTCACTAGAAGTGAAAATATACTTACTAGCACTGCCAGGCGTTCCAGGAGTCGGTGGAGGCAGATGTTGCATCCTTGATTGGGAGGTGCCCATCCTAAAGAAATCATAGTGATGTCTTATGATGAAAATGTTCGTGAAAAAGTACATCCAATTTTACTTTCTACATATCAGTTTCTATATCTGATTTAGTGGCCATTCCAATGTTAAAAACAGACAAATAAACCATAATATCAGATAATTTTGTTGATGTTTAGATACTCACTCAAATTTCCTGACCGATACAGAGGGACTTGTTGGGGCTGTAAGGAGATATTATGCAGCATGTTATCACTCTGTGTAGGCTAGCTTCATATACAATAGATTACTACTGATAAAAAGCAATATTTTGTGAAAGCAAAACTGTAAAATACATCTTGGTGAAAGTGTTGTAAATACAGTCTTGTACTGTGCATACTCACTTGCAGGTTCTTGGCTTCGTGATGACGACATAGTTCGGACTTTCCTACAGGGTCAATACAAAATCGATTATTTCTTTGTTCTGATACCTCTCTTCAGCTCACACATAATACCAAGTCCATGCCTTAAGCCTTTATCAAATTGCATAGTAAGGTTACCCATGTCTGAAGTGGCATTGTTTCTAAAAGTAAGGAAAAGACAACTGTTCCTCCTTTCACAACAAATATAGAAGAAGATGACAAAGATGCATAGGAGAAGGATATGTTTCTGTTGTGCACAAAGAAGACCAGCGGCCATTGCTAACTTGTAGTATTGCACTAAACCTTTATGAGCTGGCTTAGAGTCTCTATATCACAGACCATTACACCAATACCAATACTCACACCACTGCAGACAAGGCACTGCACCTGCTACTTAACAGTAGGTGGGAACTTAAATTCCGTGAATAACTTCATCAGGTTGATACACATCAAAATAGTACTAGTACTTATACAATAGAGCAAGGCCTTTGCAGATATAGGTTGTGGGTGGAAAGGATCACGACTAACAGGTTATATTGCAAGCGGTGATCATGATGATGATGGTGCTCGCATGAGATGTAGATACATATACGTTATTTTGTTGGATGTATAACACTTGGTGTGTCACTGGCCTTTATCAGTGGATTATTGATTAACTAGTTTGAAAGACTATTTCTGCAATGGTGTTCCAAAGATGATATACTGTCTTCTTTTGTTGTAGGGAAAAAGCAGACACGAGCAATGTATCAGAGACGGGATAAGGGTTTACTAGCATCTAGAGACCCAGGATCCAAAATAATGTCATTGTTTATGGGAATGATGTGGGGAGGTATACCGGAATTAGGCAAAAGGTTACTTCTCTAGCCTAGTGCTTAGTCCAACAAACCAAATCATAAAGGCTGTGTGAAAGAAAGACGCGATGGTTACCAGCCGTGAGCCAGGTGTAAAGGCAAACGAAATACCACAGCCCTAGTCTACCACCGACGGGCACCAAAAACAAACCATTAGCGAAAAAAGGTGTATTTTTGTTATCGGTTTAACGTCCCACCTTATTGAGGTATTCTGTTCATCAGTCACTTTGCTATAAAAGAGAAAAACTTTGTGAAAAGTGTGCATCCTGTTAGAAATGAATAACACGGCTCTTTTAAAACTGGTGAATGAATCAATGATTCATTGAAGAACCGTTCTTGGTGTAGTGAAAAGACGGAGACACATACACACATCAAGCTATGGAAAGAGCCATGATGCAACTTCAAGAAGAAGAGAGAACGTACTGAGATACAGACAAGCATAGAACGAACAACGTCATACAGACAGAATATAACACGGTGGTGGTAGTAAGAATTCGTCCAGGAAAGTAGTAGTAGGCATCCTTCTATAGTGAATGATAGTAGCACTATAGGTGTAGCGCTGTGGAAGTCTTCCGTGCGCTCAGCCATATCAGTACATGTGGAGAAAGGGCCAGAAACTTACGGTAGGCACATCTCATGGCAGGGCTTCCCGTTGAGTAGAACCATTTTGTCGTCTGGGTGAAACTTGATGTGGCAGGCAACACAGGTACTCGCCGGCTTCTCAGTAGGGCTATTCCTGTAAATACAAGTTACAGAACATTACAGAGACTCAAGATCGCTTTACTTGCTTCCATATTAATGACGCAGATTCTTCTTTGAGCTGAGGATATCCAACAGTGCATTGGTGATTATTTGAGTTGGACAGACAATATCTAGATGTCCTTAAAAGCTTAGTTACACTGGAACTCGAATAGGGACACCAGAATGGCGGCGGAAGTAGCTTCCAATGTTAATCACTAGCTTCTGCTCCAAACTACTTTATTGCTTCATGGTCACCATGGATTGTCTTTGAGATGGCACAGGAGAATATTGCCAAAAACACTCAGCACACAGCATTTTGGAAATGAGAGACACTCAGTACTCACGGCATGCATGTCTCGTGGCAGGGGCTGCCCCGGTAGGTGCCCATCTTGTCGTGTGGCCCAAAAGGACGCTTGCAGCTGACGCAGATGGTGGCGTTTAGGGCCTCAGATCTAATGATAGAGATAACACAATTATCACATTATCACAATATGCAATGATTTATAGCACAACTTCATTGCAGAACAATTGTATGTGATACAACATATGGAGACTGTTGATACTGAACAGAAGTTCTAGGAAACTGCACTGCGCCATAAGATACTGTGTATAGTATGGGTTATGTGGTGGTATGTCTAATACCTAAGTATTTTCCTATGTATTGTCCAATATATGCAGTCTGGTTACATATTGCACTTACTTCCCATCAATGCTGTTCTGGGAAACACTGCGATGCCGGAACGTGGAGACTTCACTATAGGCAGACGGGCGGAGGTGGGTGTCGTATCCACTGGCAGACGTTGAGACACTGAGCGATAGAAGTAAAACTTAACGTACTATTTATGAAGATGGCAGTGAAAGCTTATGAAATCTTATGGATTGTATTCGAGAGGGAAACGTGTTTAAGAGGGAGCGTCATAAGTTTGCAGTCAGGAGAAAGAAACCTTTTGCTGTAGAGGCAATTTGAAACAGAAATTTGAAAGGCTGGCCTACAATGAGCTCAGATACAGAACACAGTGCATCATCATCATTCAAACACGCAATCTATAAGGTCTAATGGAGGTCTAAACGAACTAAGAGGATTAACAAATCACCAATAAGCATAGTATTTTATTCAGCAGGATAGCAATTCAAAGGACAACTTCACGCAGTTTAGCTGCAGAACGTCTAGGTTTAAGAATAGTGTTTTACTTTTTTTTTTTTGTCAAGTTGCTGAACCATTCTTTATATATTTTAATGTGTAGCATGCCCCAATTCAACCATGTAAGCCATGTAAATAATAAATGAACCAGTTCATTCATTCATTCAAAGAAAGACGATGATGTTGGGCTCACCGTGACCGAGTGCTTCTCATGGTGTTGACGCCATGGAGCTCGTGGATGGACTGCTGCAGGTTCTGTACGGACCTGTCCACTTCATCGATGGACGAACCGCTGTCCACCCGGTAACTGCTACCGCCATCCAGTATTCTGGTGATAGGGAAAGATCAGAGTGCAAGGTTGGAGTGATTGTAAGTGAATTTCTTTTACGGTTGCCTAGTTATTCATGAGGATGTATATTCCGATACTTGAAGCAGAATCAACTCCCTAACACAAAGTAAAGGTCTGACAGGTGTTTTGGTTTCGCGAATACATAGAAAAAATCAATTTGTCGAAAGTCAACTGGCATAGACATGGTATAGTGCCCCGACCATCCAGACAAGGATGGGACAAGCTGAAGGTGAATACTACACACATATTTCGCTTCTTGGTTTTCTATTCTAATATTGGTCATTAAGGTAAACAATGCCATAAAGCAAAGAAATGTTTCATGAAACGTTACGATAAAGGACTTAAGAAACTTTTTCTACTTTCCCCTATACCCCGTACGAGGCAAAACATGCCTAGTAGTACCTTATTTGCTGGCCTCTACTCGGTAGAGTTTGGGTGCCCAGGAAGGCCTCAGTGGGCAGAAGGTACGCCTGCTGGGTCTGGCCCCTCGGCAGCGTTAGAGCTCTCATACCGCCATCGATGGTGGCTGTCGGCTGCGTTTGCAGGATGTACAACTGGGCGGACATATTGAACTTGAGTTTAGCAAGCTTTTCTCGCACCTTTGCATGTATAATACTATGTACGCCCACCACAAGTCAAATCCTGTCTTATTTATTTTATTTATTTACTTATTGAACAATGTCATGTAAATTATAAATTGAACATGTAAAATATTTTTGGTTGGATATTTAAAGTAGTGTGATTTTATGTGAATGTCTCTATTGATCGTGTGGCATCGGTAGCCAACGTGCTGAGGACTTGCGGACACTGGATCGAGAGGTCATGGGTTCGATTCTTTGCTAGATATTATGTCCTCGGAAAAGGCAATTCATACGCTTTTCTCCCTCCACCCTACACAAATAGCTCCTAATTATATGGCCTTGAAATGGCTACGAGACCTTTACCTTCAACAACTAATTAACCGTGCCCACAAGTGTGCGAGGACGTTTCCTTGCTATAGTGCTGTGATTATCACCCATTCAAATGTGTAAATTTGAAACTGAGTTCAAGGTTGTCCCATACTTACAACCAATGGCTGCCATGAAAAAAGCAGCAATGAAGCGCAAAACAATGTTTAATCATCTACAAATTTTTAGCACACTGCCAATTTTTTAAATACTTGTTCCAGTCTGGCTGTAACGTATTACAGAAAAACGAATTGAATACGAACAATAGCTGTGAAATGCCAGACTCTTAGTCAGATATGTATACGCCCTGGTAAGAAAACCTTCCTATGACGCACCGGAAAATACAACCCACGCATTCCCAACAACACAAAGGAGCGCTTAAGAAACTTCACCAGCGTTTAACGGCCTACCACAAACTATCATTAAAGATTTTAGAGATACTTTGAAGATTGCGCCACATACTTTATGTATTACATATCCCTTTATGTCTGTGTTATCATAGATAGAACATCTCCAATCACAACAAACAAGTATACACGTCCGGCCTTGGCCAGGGCCCTACTTTACGAGGTTTACAGGGTGACGTAGTGGCAAATATTTCACAGTCTGTGGAACCCTTTGTCGCAGGGCTATTTGTGGGGCGTATCATGATGAGTTGTATACACGAGTTGGGTCTTTAAACATGTGGGCTGAAACGTGATGTCTATGCCTGTGTTTACATGGGCTAGGTTTTTAAATGTGTCAGCTGTTACGTGATGTCTGTACCTACTGTTACATGAGTAAGGTCTTCAAATATATGAGGTGGAACGTAATGCCTGTTGTTATATTTATTTAGTTAATCTCCAAGGAGATCTTTCGGTGGCCACAAAGACATTATAGAATTGGCCAAGCAGTATCTATTGCCACTACGAAGATCTGCTTGGAGATTGGCATGAGTTAGGTGTCCAGATATGTGAACTAATTCTAATACGTGATGTCTATGTACCTGTTGTGGTTGAGATGCAACCGGCATCTGCTGTATATGCTGAGGTTGGATGGTCTGGATGACCTGTTGGAGGGGCACAGTTTGCTGGATGTACTGTGGCCTGGGGAGGGTGGCCTCAGCCACAATGATGCGGGGACTGACCGGTGCAGGAACCATCTAGATATTTAGAAGACCATTATTTTTGTAATCCAGACTTAATATAATGTCGTAAAGTACAAAATAAGGCTAGTTACTTAGGGACTACAATGAAGAGTGTACCGGTGTTAAACTTTAAACTCTAACTTTACGTTTGAACGAGAAAATAATAACATAGCATATGCATGTATAAGGTCATTGAAAACAATATTTAGCATTTAAAAATATTTAGGACCAAACAAGAGAACAGAGTTCCTGAAACAACAAGACAGGCTCTATTGTTTAGCAACAACTTAGAGCGTATGGATCTTTACCTGAAAGATTAAGCAAACTATTAAAGGTTCACATAGAATAAAATCTAGCTTCATAGGTATTGTAACAGGCTAAAATTACAGAACTACAACTTCACTGCCAAACCGGAACTCACTACAGCTGTGAACAATCTACGTAATATTAGACAAAGATTGTGATCTTTAGTTACCTGGTGATGCAGCATAGCCATACCTGGGGAGGTGATACTTGTACTCGCTGTTCCTGTTTGGTGATTTGGACTGGTGGTGGCTTTTTCTTCACCGGCTCGGAGCTCCACTTTACCGTTGAGGACCAGAAGGGCCCGTTCGGCTGGACTGGCTCGGGGACTTCCTTTTTGACCTTGCGAACCTTCCGCGTGGTCGTGATGACGCGATTTCCTGTGATCTCGACGTGTTTGGTGCCTTCCGTAATCCCGTCTGGGTCTTCTTCGTCTTCAGGAGGCGTGGCGGGGCGCGGCGCCGGAGGCGGCCCGAGATTCCAGTTGACTTTCCTCTTCCACTCAGGTGTGCCTGGAGGTGTCGCCTCTTCCTCCGTGTACTCGCTTTCGCTCTCTTCGCTCTCGATCGTGGTGGCAGTCCGGTACGTCACGTGTCGCGTTCGTTTTCGTGTACGTCTGGACGGAGGGTTGTGCTTGTTGGATCACCCTCCTTGTTTCTGATGTTGTCGTCGTGGTGCCGTTGCCATTCGGCATTCTTGGGTGGTTACTACTTCCGTTTACTTCTGCTGGCTTACGTCTCTTATCCTCGTTCGGTTTTTGCCGGCCTGGTCTTCCTGCGGTCGGTTCTTCGTCGGTTGTTTGTGGGGGTTTCCCGTGACGACCACTTGGGCCTACATTGTTTGAATACTCATGATCATTAACGGTCTGCGGTGGTGGCCGTCCTCTGCGTCCGCTCGGTACAACATTGGTCGGTATAACCACTTCGTCCACCATTTGTGGAGCCTTTTCTCGACGGTTACTTGGGTTGACGCGGGTTGGTACAATCTCTTCATTCACGGGTTGTTGTTGTTTTGGTTTCCCGCGTCCGCCTCCTGTTGGATTCACGTGACTCGGTACGATCTCTTCGTCGACCATGGTCGGCGGCGGCTTGCCTCGTCGTCTTGGAGAGTTGACATTGGTAGGTTCTATGACTTCGTCTACCATGGGCTTAGGCGGCGGCTGTATACGTCTTCCACTCGACCTACTCGGAGCGAAAACCTCGTCTGCCTTTTCCATGACTGCGTCTGCCATTCTGCCAGGCGGTCCACCGCGTCCACCAGTCGGCCTGACGGTACTTGGCGCTATCATGTCTTCATCTATGGGCTGAGGCCGCCGGTTAGACCCCCTACCCGCAGGTACTGGGTCCGCCGTTCTGCCAGGCGGCCCTCCCCGTCCTCCGGTCGGCCTGGCGGTACTTGGCGCTATCATGTCTTCATCTATGGGCTGAGGTCGCCGGTTACTCCCCCTACCCGCAGAGTTCCCGCTAGGCCTCCCACCCCGTCCGCCCGTGTACCCAACATGTGTCGGTGTGATGACTTCGTCGATCATATTGCGTGTCTAATATCTCTTCCCATAAGCATGAAGAAATCTTCTGTCTTTCCAGTTTTTCCTTCTTGTTCTGTAAGTCTCCCAGTCTTTCTTAGAAACTGATGAGACCACTGATATTGTTTTTTGGGTCACTTCATAAGTTACCGACCGGGTGTAATGTTACGCGGATCTTTGTCAGTTCGAAGCCCGTGGCATGAGAAATTTCCGGTACGCGCTTCCACGTTTTTTTCACAGACCGGTGACGCACTGCCCTGGTTATGAAAACAGATCGCCCTGTTTGATGATATTCCTGTCGGTAAACAGACAGACCTCACAACCGAGATTCCTGAAAAGATAGTGAAGTGGAACAGTGAGAAAACTATAACAACAACCACGACAACCACCTGGTGTTACGTTGTCGTGTAAACAATGTAAAAGACGAGATACATATCTGACCCAAAGCTTACAGTAGAAAGATTTCCTTACGCTGAAATATTAATACAAGTGTTCTGTTAGTGTTAGCACGCTGATATTTTGATTTAGTTACACTTTGCGTGTAGACACATTCTTTGTGGTATGTTCATTGACGTATACATATGTCAGAAGTGTTTGAAGACGCACCGGGCTTCAACAACATGCCTTTGTGATTTAGTTACTGGCGTGTCTTCTCACTGTTTGTCATTTGAAAAACAATACGCTCGATCACTGCCAAAGGCGTGTGTTAAAACCATTAATTCGCAGGCTTTCATCAACATACTACCAAAGGCGAAGGGACAACATGCCCGTATTTATCATGATACATATTTCACCACAAAACAATCTATACGTATACACACGGTTTGTGTAAGAATACAAAGGACATTTTTGAAGCATGTACTTCATCATCTAGGGCAAAGTAGGGTGAAGGTACGTTAGCATCCATGGCCAATTTCGACACAAACATCATGATGATAGACTGCTTGTCACACCATTACTTACTAAGTGCTGTGTATTGTATTACATCTACCCTCGGGATTATGTTTCACAACCTTGTATTCATTATATATGATATGAGTTAAGGTTAGTATAAAAAATTATGCCTTAACGAAGATGATAATATTCTGTTGTTATACTTATAGGTGACTTTTACATGGATTTGGCTCGGTACAAAGAATCCATAAATCGGTATGGTTGGCATGTAAAAGTTCAGTTTTTAAAGTGATAACGACAAGACCAAGGGCTGCATTTGCGGTAACAAACATACAATCAGTACTGTGTACTTGATTAGCCTCGGATCCATATTGACTATTCCATAGAACCTAAAATTGTATCTCTAAGGATACTACATTGTAATAGTCATATAGATGTGTATATACTCCGCATCTTCCCATGCGACACACAAGACATCAATGAGTATCTCTAACAAACACAGATGAAGCTTTATATATGTACTCACAAATACTGATTTTCTGTAGGACCATCGAAGAATTGTATCTGGACTATGAAACGCCTGGGCAGGTTGGGTGGGGTTCTAAAAACGTTGTCAAAAACAACGTTACGATCTGAATGTTTATTAATATTTAATCACACACACGTGAGTAGCGTATGCGTAGTGTCTGTGGTGGCAACAACAAGCGTCCGATTTTACAACTGCACCTGCTACCAGATTGTATCTACTCTTTGTGACGCACAATGTACCAAATTAGTCATTAATCAAGACTTTACCTCTCACATCAAGAGCAGGGTCTTAGAAAAATAAGATATATTGCTGAAGCTATAATCTTGTAGACGTTAGGGCTGTTACGAAAGAACCTGGTTCTTTGCTTGATGATTTTCAAACAGCTGCATAGCGATTGAGAAAATTGTCTAATTTGGTCCTACCAGCATCAAGTAGTTAATGATATAGCTATAGCTATGACCTTAGGCGTTTTTTCCGCGCCATGCACACTAGCCACGTTATTGAAAAACAACCAAACAGATTCTATTCTTATCCCCATAGCAGAGCACAATGCGGGTTGCCATGTTATGGCTGCGTAAGGTTGGACACCATCAATCATTTTAAATGTGTTTGAATATAAAGGAGAATTATGGGGTGCAATAAAGTCACACCAAGTATAATGTCCTTGGTCACACCTTGTTGGTGATATGTCATAACCATAAAACAGCTAAAAGAATGGATCTACTTGTGTATATTGATTGTAACAACAAGGCAACAAAAAATTAAAGTAATCTGAATTTTCTTGCAGAACATTTGCATCGAAAACTTTGGGTAAACGGGTGCCTAAGCCAATCTTACTGAATACCGTGTGATTGTATTAGTACACTCAACAACACTACCGAATATACCACAAATTTATTCGTATGCTAAGCTATTCTAATATTATATTTATCTACTTTATGGTATACTTACAAAATGTAGATCTTTTGAATGTGTTCGGTAGAAAATTTAGTAAACTGGCAAAGTTGCATTGTTTTGGTAAAACTGCCGAGCGTAATCACCCACCCCTTTGACGTAAGACAAATTTGCACCTTGAGGTAAACAACACATTTACATGTACTTAACGCGCCTAATAGTAGGATCAAATAACCCTGACACACATTATAGATAGGAAATAAGATAAAGTGGGACAAAGCTTTAGCATTGTTGCATAGGCTTAAGTAGGAAATAGTCCAGACAATGAACAGACTACAGAAACAACCGTGTCAAGGCAATATTGAAAATGCATAATTAATAATTCAAAAGAGAAACAGGGGCAAGGCCGTGACTTGGCTACATGTGACCTTGAATGTCTCGATCTGACCTTCAAACCGTAAAGTCCTTTCTTGGTAACGAAACCAACATGTACTACAAGAATTACTAACCATCTTATGACACAATTCCGATTGAAATCAGGTAGACTTCATCTATCCAAATTACAAGGACTGTAAAGTTGACTTACTGCCAAAGTACCTTACCTGCATGACATACCTATGACAGCTAGACGTCTCCATGCACACGATTATACATTGTACATAAAACAGATGATTTAAAGGCGCAATATTAGACTTCGACGTATAGCTTCGTTACAACCTGAATGGGCTTGAAAAGTACTGATATAACTAGTAAGCTAAAATTATCATTGGTGTAAGTATACTAACCTCATAGGAGAAAGATAATGATCTCACCTTGCTTTGCCTTTGCAAGCGCATCTGGCTCTAATGCTCCTATTTGTAGAGGATTGCTAAGCCGATCGCTACATAACCCGATTCCATGGTCGCCATGCTATTGAAGTTGACGCCGTTCATAGCTAGGTATAATTAAACTGCTGTCCACCACGAAACAACGAAATGGCGGCGCCCGAAGGGCCAAACAACAAGAAGACCTACAGCGACCAAATAGGTCACATTTGCATACAGGTGACATGACAGGTACCGAAAAAAGCGATCTGCTGTCCATCCACAGTAAGATGCCCCATCTTTGATTGACAGTAGTGGAAAAATGGGTCATATTTCCTGTACGAGATTTATTATTGATAAACCCATGAGGATTCTGTGCTGACGTTACGGCTGCAACAGCAATGTTGAGCTTTTTTCTCAAGGTCGACCTCATCTTTGTGTTATAGATGCTTGACTAGCAATACGCCCACATAAACAAGGTCAAGATACCATACATGTTGGACAGGTGACGTTAAGCATGTCTAAATGGCAGGTAAATTCACGAATCTACTAGAAAACCAACACCAAAGGTACTCACGATACAACCGCGCACACAAATAAGTCTAAAGTAATGAAGACTTACAAAATCAGCGATATGATGATGCCAGAGAAGTCATTTTGAGTCTTGTCCTGCTCTTACACCTCTCAGTCGTTGACCCCCTTCTGATAGAACACAAACAAAATGGCGGCCGGCATGCGGTATGTCGTCCGACCACACGACAGGTGTGGGACCTGTACCGTGTCTCATCCATTTGACCCTCACCTGTTCACAACCTTTAGGTTCTCAGAGCACAAAGAGGTTCCAATCATCCATTGCCATTACGCCTTAACCCGTAAATGTGTTATTGGTCCAACGATGATTTTGTGATCAGTCCTGATCCACGACAAGAGTGATTGGTTTTAGTGGTGTGTTTTGGTTGCGTGCAGGTAAAAACAGTCTAGGTCAAGACCCAGATCTGACTCGAAATGCAATAACAGAGGACAGCTGAAAAGCCCCTGGCAAACAGATCTTCAAAGTTTTAAGTATTCGTACGTTGCGTGAAACAATCACAAATATCACAAACCAATTTTTCGTCTACATCTGTTCTCTTGTCTTGTCGGATAATGATCTATTCTAAACTTTATTGGAGCTTTTGTTACCAAAAGGAACACCCAGTTACCCGAAAATTGATGCACAGACCATTCCACAAAACATTGGTACACAGATCATCCCTAAAACTGAACCCTGAAACATTTGTCCTAACAACAAAAGTGGTAACAATACACGTCATATGCATCAACAACGTAGACGTCAGAAGCACAAAACAACGTGGACAATAGTATTGACAGAGGAGTCTAACCGAGTCAAAAGCAGCGGCTATCCTTTTCTACCTAACGTGTTGTGGGAGGGGGCGTGGAGCGCGATATATGGGAGACCATGGCTAGCGTTCTTCCCAGGCTATTGTTCACATTGTCCCAATAATAACAGCTGCGGGCATCTATCTCTCTACGGGTTATCATGTCTGCATGGGTGGCATTTATGTCCCTCTTACGACTCCCATAACGTACATGATTGAATCGTCGCCAAATGGCCAACAGATTATGTCTTAACACCTAGGTCTGCGTATAGTCAATAGTGAATGACTAACTCATAAAATTATTGCATGGTTTTTACCTTTACAAATGAACCGTCTAATTTGACAACTCACACAGTAGCAAGCTTTGCACAAATCAAGAGCACATTTGCTCACAAGTTGTGATGAAATACATGCACAAAGTCAATGGTGAATGCTAAATGATGTAAGTGCTCTCAACTCCATGGCGCCGACAGGCAATAATGTCTGTCAAGAATTGTTTCCAGGTGATTTAATCGTTTAAGAGGTGAGCTTGCAACATCTACCCAGACGTACTCATCACGTTTAAGCGTGGGGCGTGGACTTCGCTGTTGTCATCGGGAAAAATAATGGATACCTTGAAGCATCAACAAAATCAACAAGAAACCATTATCCCTGATTACGTAATTTATAATTAGAAGAAACAATTACAGTAGTATATGTAACTAGAATGTTTACTTTTGTACAACAATACGCACTACGTTTTGGTGATATGGAAGCAAATGTAACACAATAATAGTTTGGTAATTTTTAATAACAGCTTACAGAGGACGATGCTAATGTTCACTAGGAGCTAAATATACTGTTTATATGGTTAAACAGTGACATGACATTTCAACCATGTGTTTTTCCATTTCCTAATTGAATGAGTGTATTTCGTGAAGATTTTCACACTCTGACAAATTATGACTGACACATTGGGGACGCTAGAGGACTTTTCCATACCGAAAATTTTTCACGATGAAAAGATCTGTCAACACCCACCTAATTACTTAACATCATGCCTTGTTTTCGATGTCAAATTGATGATGGATCGTTTGCTGCCATTTCGATATGGCTTGTTATTATTACAGATACACAAACGATGCCCTGGCCAAGTTATCTCCAAAAGTAAGTCTTCTGGTGGCTACAAAACAGTATCAAATTGGCAAGACAGTATCATTGGCAGGGTTGGATACTCCACAAAAAAGAGACCTGTACAAAGAAGAACGCCCTATAAGAACGCCTAAAAGTCAAAACAAGCCAAAGGCTAAATAACTCTGCTTAATTGGAGTGTACTTTTGGTTAGCAGACGTGCTAGCCACCTTGAAAGCTAAAGAGATCACCGTGACTTCTGTTGAATATCGGCGCCATGCTCCAAGACACAGGTTTCCAGTCCGATTACTAATGTCTTACCAGGTCATCGAGCAACAATTTCAAACTTCTGCGGTATTCCCTCCAGGTGCAAGCTACTACATCCTATTCAGCAGGGGTCATGAGGTCATTCTTAAGTCTTGCATCATAAAGACTTCAAGGGTGAACCGTAGATACAACACTTACAACAACATTGTTTCCTTAGAAAAGCTAAATCCAGTTCACATTGAGAGAGTTACGTAGTTCAGTACCAGGCCTCCAGCAGGCTCAAAGAAAACAGCAAGGGTCGTAAGGTCATTCGTAAGTCTTACATTAGGACTTCAAAGGTGTTTGCTGAGGATCAGTGAACTGCACTTACAACGTTGTGTTCTTGGAAATAAGAAGAAAATCCAGTTCACATTAAGAGAGGGTTAAATCGTTCAGTAGCAGGTCTCCTTCTAGCTCCAAACAAACCTGTTAATTGACAAATAGCAGTGCCTTGTGGAAGACAACAGATCTGTCATGAAATATGACAGATTAAAAAAGAAATATCGTTGTCAATTCTTTCAGGACCAAATGGGTTGCCAATTATCTGTAAAAAAAAGGAAATTGGATGCAAGATACTGATTTCAGAGAATACTAAGATCTCGGAAACTGCAGTTTAAACTACAGTTAGGCCCCATATGTTGTTAACTCAAATATCTTGAAATCACTGAGCCAAGATCATTTTATTTACGTTTGTGTTCTTCTTGTGACAGAAGGCCTCGCGAAAGTGCCTATACTTTTGTTGTGTCAATAAAGTAGTCAAAAATGGCTGAACTAATGCCAATATCATGTTAAAACCAAACGTTGCAATTACACAAAAGTATTGATTAATTTCTTCATTAATTTCTCTGAGAAAAAATTTCTACTGACCGAAACAGTTGAAAGTGAACTTACATCCACGCTAGCTGATTTCCTTCACCGACCCTTTTAACTCTTGCTGTTCAAGAATGTGTCCGTCCACACTCCGCAGACGCCACATACCTCTTGGGTATCTTATTAGGAGATACACTTCAGGTGTAAATACTCAATGACACACAAACAATAGGCTACTGTTGACAAGAAATATTGCCGTAGCATTAGACATCTTGTCTTGGTGATAGATTGATGATACATAGATGCATGGGGTCAAATAAAAACAGCTGTGGTAGGGCGAGAGGGCAAGACACTTCTTTCTAAAAACATCCGATATTTTAAAGTCAATAACATAAAACAGCACAAATATCTTAATGAATGGTAAGAATGTAATGGGGCCAACCCATCCGAGGTAAATTGTTAAGACCGCAGGAATTCGATTAGCATCTGTAAGTAGTGCTTTATTGGTGGTTCTCTTCCCATGGATCTACAAATTAACTTGTATTTACCAAACCTTTTTACGGTAAAATATGTCACTAAAGGTTATTCAAAAGGAACTACAACTGATTTTTGTACCATTGATACTATCTACAGTTTAGGTTTGTTAGCCAGAGTCTTGTTTTACATTATGTGGAAGTATTAGAAGCAAATACATCGTAGAGCTTCCTGTGGTACATGTAAAACTTTTAAACGTATTTGACCATGGGGCACAACAATGTCAACATCCTTTTGACAGTTCAAGGCAAAACCTCGGCATACTGAGAAACAGTCCAACTACAATAAAACAAACCACTATTGTGTAGTCATGTGCAGTTCCGGCTTACATATGAGAACTGTCATTTTAACTAAACCAAGAAGTGACCCGAAATGTCAAACTTGAGAAAAACAGGATGTAGTGATTAAAAGCGTGGGATGCAGCGAATACATTACCAAGATCTGCAGAACCTTAACGTTGTTTTTGTTTTATTCATGAAGGACAACATTGGATATAACTAATAGTTCATCCCTACCCATAAAACAGTGAGTGCCCTTAGTCCTGACACACCTGAAACCAGGAAGGTTACAGTGTAATGTAATATTATTTAACATATTTGCAACAGCAACTTCATAGTTGTTTTTCATCTTCATATGCATAAACCTTTGCTATAACCTACCATTGAAGAATGACGAATATAATCATGGACAGTGAGTGAGGGTATGGGTATTTAACACATCTTTGCTAACTGCACTGCCAGACAACATACTCTTATAGCCACCGATCCCCTCCCCTTGCCTATCAATGGCCACGCTTCGTGAAGTGTTGAGTGGTAGGTACAGATTACTCGTGAAAACAAAATGGCGTCAAGGGGGTGTGGCCGATATAATTCTGTAACAATGCTGTTGCCATTAGCCAGAACAAGGCTTGTACACAGCCTCCTAACAGTTGTCTGTTCTCAAAGAAAAGTACATACATCACAGACTCTGTTGATGTATCATGTGAGCCATTCCCAGACTAGTATGAAGGCATGGCTGTGATTAAAAAGACGTTTTGGAACAGTTTTGCTCCGGGCGAGAGGTTTTCCGATCCCAGCATGATCGTTTTCCTCTCTACGGTCACTTTGCTGTTATTGTTCGAGACGTATAATTATCCCAATTAGGTCGGCGTTTGTGTTTTTGTTCCTGTAAGCTCCACGAGAATTCGGAGGACCAGGACCATCGAAGCTTTAAATAGTAGTCTACTCCTCAAAATACTTTATCCAGCAACCCAAGAAGACTGGTAGAGACTAGCTAGTTACACGACGTCAGTGAATTTATTATACACTATCAACTTTGCAAGCAAGTTTCCGTGTTATTTCTCCAACCGTGTCAATGTTGTCATAGAGGCGCAACTGAACAAATTGACTTGCACAGTGTGATCAGATGAGGTCACTGTTTGCCCATTTACAGAAAGCATTTGAGACACACAAAAAACAGTTCCTGGCCTTGTAAACTGTGCCAACGTGGGTGACATTTGAAAAGGAAAGGGGTCACGCCGCAAATATGCGTATGACATCCCGCTCCATATGGTGTAACGAGGGGAACGTGATTGGGAAGTGCAAACAGCTCTTTGAAAAATCGCTGCACGCAAGTTTTCAAAGAACGACAGCTTCCCAGGGGCCGCCACTACAAGCTCACGTCACAGCCTAACGCCTACAAGTATCCCTTTCAATGATCACTTCACTCTAAACCCACCTGTGTATTCAAGGATCCTACGTTGTTTCGACGACTTAACAAGTTTTCCGAACAGCGAAGAAAACAGGTGTTCCGTCCCCTCAAAAACGCCCTGCGTATTTTCCGACCAATTTTCCCCCGATCTGCCCCGGACCTCCTGTTGCTTTTCCTTATTCAGGACTTACATGGGGCAGCCCTTTGTGTTGACATTTAAAACGACTAGGCGAAAGGCCCTGAGAACGACGGGAAGAAAGGAGGGTTTTGTTTACTAGGTACAACGTTGGCGGGAGATTGCGAGCGCCCCGGGGCACAACCAGGACCACGTGACCGCAAAATTAAAGCCGTGATAATCACTCCATCTGAAACGGAGGTATTTTTCCTGGCCGTGTTTACGTTTCTGTCACCGTTGGGTGGTTTTGACCTACAAAGGAACCGTGTGTAAGTAGGTGAAGGGAAAGGAAAAGGTCGCCAAGTAACGCTAGTTGAATTAGCGGGACGGGACAGAACAACTTTTGTTTGTGTCACTGGGCGGCGGTGGGGTGTTTTTTATGTGACGTGAAGACCCGCCTGTAGCTAGAGCGCCACCCTGGTTTGCTATGCCGTTTCATGATGACTCGCCCCTTGTACCAAGGCATGTTTTTGACCAGAGGAACTATTCTTTTAAACTCATTAAGAAGTCAACTCACGTGCTGGCAGTGAAACGCCCTTTCTGGTACAAAAGACCATACACAGCCGACGAAGCGGACTGTAAAATTACATTATAACTTTGTAATTTTGAACTAAACATCCCTGTTGTAATGTACAGGAGGTCATGGGTCGAGAAACGCATCAATGGCTACAGTTCAGTCTACTGTAACGAGACGGGGAGGGGGGTAGAGTTGATGATGTGTTGTACAGTGACAGAGCCATGCGTGGCAGACACCGTCCTTAAGATTACTACATGCGTGACCTAACTTAAAAATCCCGTGACACGAGAACAACTACGGCAATCACTGGTTCGTTTTAGTCAAAACCTGTCAGATTAGCAGGCTCAACTATCAAAATGTATTGACAGAAGGTTTTACACAAACACTTGGGCATGAAATTCACATTCGTCGTACTGACCTACGACGATTGTACAGTACAGGCGCGAGAACCAATTGTTCTTACCATACGTCAAACCTCATACGCAGTTAAACTCACATACCTTCACTTCAGTGTCTTGCCAACCAAGTTCCTCTCTGTTTAAAGATACTGTTGTCGCTCTGAAAGGCAGAAGAGGGCCGCCAGAAACTCGGGACGAATCCCGGTCCACTGCTACAGTACAGGGATGTGGTTAGGTGGGTTCAACACGACAGTAGGCGACACAGAATTCTCCAAAGGTTAGAGGTCAGCCTCGCGCACCCATAGTGATCGATTACGCCCACCCTACCAGAACAAAATGGCGGTCTCGTGGGAACTGTTTACTTCTTAGTCTACTGTACCTTTTTTTGTCTTAAACACAGCTTACTTTTTTTTCTGGATCCAAGTAGATCTCATATCATATTAGATGCCAATCTTTGGAGCTCGCTACTGTTTGGTGACCTTGTATATGTCGCTAGGTCATTCCTGTTGGCTGACGCCCTGAACCGAACCTTCAGGTTTTGTTGCCGCAGGGTTGATCTGTGTGTAGCAGCCTGTGAGTCACTGTGCCCATAAAGTGCCTGGCATATTTGCTGAACAATTGAACTACACAGGGGTGCTTTACATATGTCTTGAACAATTGAACTACACAGTTTGAAGTCTTCCAAGATTACGGGCGACTGTTCAACGTAATCCGGAAGTCTAAAGAACGTGGCTTCTTCGTGTTTTCAAATCTGCCTTGTCTGATGACGTAGATTTGATTGACAGGCGGATCAGCAGCTTGTGTGCGCTATGTTGGGATGCGGGTGTGACGTATTGTGACGTCGACGATGTCACCTGATCACCTTGTGACGTCACATGGAATGTTTACACGCCCAATGAGTCAAGGACATTAGTCTTCACAGAAGTCAGAAAATATATGTTTGAAAAAAAAAACGATTGTCATGGTTTTCTTTAACTTAAGTTGAGTCAATCCTATTCCATATAATACTGATACCTCTGAAGAACATATGCGATGCCGATGACGGAAAATGGTTGCTTGTGTCGTATCATTGGTTGGTTCTACCTATTTATTGGTGGTGCAAAAATGGACTCTTTTGTAGCTTGTTCTAGGCTATTCTAAAAGGTTGAAGTATAAAACAATGACGAAAATGCGCTACGAAATTGCCGTGTAAGTCAGACAGATTGCCTCATCCAGAATATTTTTACTTTGGCTTCGCGCCACACTACCCCCCCCCTCCCCCGGGCCCTGCACGCACGTGTCATACAATAATTACAAGATAGCATCACACGCTCGTGTTCCTGCACACCTTTTCATCTAGCAGCATCTGTGACCTGGTAGTTTAAAGATCATATCTTTACCTGAATTCTACACATTGTATTATACAATGTTGTTGATTTCTATTTATGTCGCTGTTATACGCAGAATTTAGATTACAAGGAAAATCAGGTTAAACATGGAGATAAACAGAACAGTACCTTCTTGTGTGTGTAAATTCCACCCTAGCACGTTATAAGAAAACATAGCGTGACCTACAGTGTTAAAGATGGGAGGAATGATTCTTAATCAGTACTAATGGTTTGCTGTCCCTTGGGCATAAATTATTTACTGCAACGCGCGAGTAATCCTCGAAGAGTACCAACTAACCTAACACGAGGCTGTCCTTAACTGGATATCAAAAACGAAGGTCTATAATATTTGGTTATGCTCTTTCTTACTGGTTATAAGTGTTGTTTTTTTTCATAAGACATAATTATCATACCAATACACCAGCATCCATTCCAAGAAAGTACTGCCCAACAATGGATTGCCGGAGCATGCCTGAAGGTTTAATTGGTGCCTGCCAAGCGTGGACCATCTGATGTAGTAGTGTTGAAAATAAAAACAAAAACTGCATTCAATGCCTTTAAGAAATGTAAAAATGTTGTCATTTACAACAATGTGTTGATAGAAAAAAGGTATAGCCTGTATCATGTCGATGCAGGTTACTTAGGTGCTTAGGATAAAAACCATCGTCTTAGTGACCCCCAGGGACTGCTATGTAAGATGATTGAATATGTACGATTTAAGTGGGTTTTAAACCGGTCTTTCCTCAATTTTGGTACCCCCTAATTTTCACCCGGACGCGTTCAGCGCTATCAGTTTTCAGGCCGACAGTGTTTGGAGACAGACGTAAGTACAAACAAACTTCTTAACATCTGATTTCCTTGAATATGTATTATTATTTACCTGGGAAAGATGTATGAAAAGCGATCCTTCAATATTTCGTGATGTTTTATCTTTCACTGAGTCAGTATTTTGTGAGGGTTTATGCGGAAACATTGGTCAGGTATAGAAGCTTGTAAACATAGTCCGATATGCATCCATTTCGGGTAATTTTTGGTGTTGTTAGTTGGTTCTCGAATATCTTACCCTGTACAATAGCTATTTACCAAGTAAACTGATGGCCTGAAATCGTGAATTTATCATGGCACTTGGCTGTACTTTTAGTACAACGTTTCATACAAACATATGTTGGATTGTTCTAATCACTCTCTCACTCTTCCTCTCTGTCTCTCTCTCTCTCACTCTGTCTCTCTCTACCTCTCTCTCTCTCTAAGCGATGTGCTTTGAAAAAGCATGGTAGTTGTTTAATGTAAGGGAGAAGTGATTTGTTTGATAGATTTCCAGCAGAAAAATCGTTTTATCCTGATAGTCGAGTATTTTATTTTGTAATTTATGGTATAAACAAACAATAGAACGTAACTGTAATAGATTAAGGAAAAGAGAAAAACATTCGTTGGTTTACATATGTACGCCAGTTAAGTTTTACACTCGGAAAGATAAATAACACACGTACCAAACCCAGCCCCGCACGTACGCCAATAACATAAATTCCATCTCCTGGCAAAATTAGGTCAGATGCCGTGATTGCTCTGTTGTGTTTGTAGATCATCATACTTACCTGCAAACCTTACGGCAATAAATTCTATAACTTTTATTCATGCAAGATGCGTCAAATGTAACCGACGCTTTCCGATTCTTCTTTCAATGAATTTCTGTCCATGTTTCAATCCGTCAGACTTTCAGCCAGTTAACTACTTGTCCAAACGGATGCCTACAAGCGCCAACAACCGCCTCAAACAAAGAGGGAAAACGACGATTTTATCCTTTGCAAGTAACAAAAGAATCACAATCAGCATAAAGGGGGATGGATCAACCAAAAGAAGCTGTCACTACCAACGGGCCTATAAAGGAAGAACCAACAAAACCAAAGGATGAAACCACAACCGCTAAACCCAAGGATGAGTCTGTAGCAGCTAAACCTAAGGAGGAACCCGCACCCAATAAACCAAACAAAGAACCTCCGGCCAATAAACCGACGGAGAAACCTGCAAGCGCAAAGCCAAAAGAGCAACCTGCACCTACTAATCCAGCAGAACCTGCCTCAACAACGCCAACAGAACCTGCACCTACAAGTCCAGCAGAACAACCTGCACCTGCCAAGCCAGCAGAACAACCTGCACCTCCCAAGCCAGCAGAACAACCTGCACCTACAAAGCCAGCAGAACCTACGAAGCCAGCAGAAGATCCTGCACCTACAAAGCCTGCAGAACAACCGGCACCTACAAAGCCAACAGAACCTACAAAGCCAGCAGAAGATCCAACACCTACAAAGCCAACAGAACCTTCAAAGTCAACAGAAGAACCTGCACCTACAAAGCCAACAGAACCTGCAAAGCCAGCAGAACAACCTGCTCCTACAAAGCCAACAGAACCTGCGAAGCCAGCAGAAGAACCTGCACCTACAAAGCCAACAGAACCTAAAAAGCCAGCAGAAGAACCTGCACCTACCAAGCCAACAGAACCTACAAAGCCAGCAGAAGAACCTGCACCTACAAAGCCAACAGAACCTACAAAGCCAGCAGAAGAACCTGCACCTACAAAGCCAACAGAACAACCTGCACCTACAAAGCCAACAGAACCTGCAAAGCCAGCAGAACAACCTGCTCCTACAAAGCCAACAGAACCTGCAAAGCCAGCAGATGAACCCGCACCTACAAAGCCAACAGAACCTGCGAAGCCAGCAGAAGAACCTGCTCCTACAAAGCCAGCAGAACCTGCACCTACAAAGCCAACAGAACCTGCAAAGCCAGCAGAAGATCCAACACCTACAAAGCCAACAGAACCTGCAAAGCCAGCAGAACAACCTGCACCTACGAAGCCAACAGAACCTGCGAAGCCAGCAGAAGAACCTGCACCTACAAAGCCAACAGAACCTACAAAGCCAGCAGAACCTTCAAAGCCAGCAGAAGAACCTGCACCTACAAAGCCAACAGAACCTGCAAAGCCAGCAGAACAACCTGCTCCTACAAAGCCAACAGAACCTGCGAAGCCAGCAGAAGAATCTGTACCTACAAAGCCAACAGAACCTAAAAAGCCAGCAGAAGAACCTGCACCTACAAAGCCAACAGAACCTGCGAAGCCAGCAGAAGAACCTGCACCTACAAAGCCAGAACGACCTGCACCAACAAAACCAGCAGAACCTGCGAAGCCAGCAGAAGATCCTGCACCTACAAAGCCAACAGAACAACCTGCACCTACGAAGCCAGCAGAACAACTCGCACCTACAAAGCCAGCAGAGCAACCTGCACTTACAAAGCCAGCAGAACAACCTGCACCTACAAAGCCAGCAGAACCTACAAAGCCGGCAGAAGAACCTGCACCTACAAAGCCAACAGAACAACCTGCACCTACAAAGCAAGCAGAACCTACAAAGCCAGCAGAGCAACCTGCACCTACAAAGTCAGCAGAACAACCTGCACCTACAAAGCCTGCAGAACAACCTGCGCCTACAAAGCCTGCAGAACCCGCACCTACAACGCCAGCAGAGCAACCTGCACCTACAAAGTCAGCAGAACAACCCGCACCTACAACGCCAGCAGAACAACCTGCGCCTACAAAGCCTGCAGAACCCGCACCTACAACGCCAGCAGAACAACCTGCACCTACGAAGCCAGCAGAACAACCTGCACCTACGAAGCCAGCAGAACAACCTGCACCTACAACGCCAACAGAACCTACACCTACAACGCCATCAGAACAACCTGCACCTACGAAGCCTGCAGAACAACCTGCGCCTACAAAGCCTGCAGAACCCGCACCTACAAAGCCAGCAGAACAACCTGCACCCACAAAGCCTACAGAACAACCTTCACCTACAAAGCCAGCAGAACAACCTGCTCCTACAAAGCCAACAGAACCTACACCTACAAAGCCAGCAGAACAACCTGCACTTACAAAGCCAACAGAACCTACACCTACAAAGCCGGCAGAACAACCTACACCTACAAAGCCAGCAGAACAACCTGCACCTACAAAGCCAACAGAACCTACACCTACAAAGCCAACAGAACAACCTGCACCTACAAAGCCGGCAGAACAACCTGCACCTACAAAGCCGGCAGAACAACCTGCACCTACAAATCCAACAGAACCTGCACCTACAAAGCCGGCAGAAGAACCTGCACCTACAAAGCCAACAGAACAACCTGCACCTACAAATCCAACAGAACCTGCACCTACAAAGCCAACAGAACCTGCACCTACAAAGCCAACAGAACAACCTCCACCTACAAAGCCAACAGAACAACCTGCACCTACAAAGCCAACAGAACCTACCCCTACAAAGCCAGCAGAACAAGCTGCACCCACAAAGCCTACAGAAAAACCTACACCTACAAAGCCGGCAGAAGAACCTGCAACTACAAAGCCAGCCGAACAACCTGCACCCACAACGCCAGCAGAACAAACTGCACCTACAAAGCCGGCAGAACAACCTTCACCTACAAAGCCGGTAGAACAACCTGCACCTACAAATCCAACAGAACCTGCACCTACAAAGCCAACAGAACCTGCACCAACAAAGCCGGCAGAAGAAGCTGCACCTACAAAGCCAGCAGAACAACCTGCACCTACAAAGCCGGCAGAACAACCTGCACCCACAAAGCCAACAGTACCTACCCCTACAAAGCCAGCAGAACAACCTGCACCCACAACGCCTACAGAACAACCTGCTCCTACAAAGCCAGCAGAAGAACCTGCACCTACAAAGCCAGCAGAACACCTACAAAGCCAGCAGAACAACCTGCACCTACAAAGCCAGCAGAACCTACAAAGCCAGCAGAACAACCTACACCTACAAAGCAAACAGAACAACCTGCACCTCCAAAGCCAGCAGAACAACCTGCACCTGCAAAGCCTACAGAACAACCTGCACCTACAAAGCCAGCAGAAGAACCTGCACCTACAAAGCCGGCAGAACAACCTGCACCTACAAAGCCAGCAGAACAACCTGCACCAACAAAGCCTACAGAACAACCTGCACCAACAAAGCCTACAGAACAACCTGCACATACAACCACAAATTCTAAGGAAGAACCTACAACCACTAGACCCAAGGAGGAGCCTACAACCACTAAACCTAAGGAAGAACCTACAACTACTAAGCCTAAGGAGGAGCCTACATCCACAAAACCTAAGGGGGAGCCTACAACCACAAAACCTAAGGAGGAGCCTACAACCACTAAACCTAAGGAGGAGCCTACAACCACTAAACCGAAGGAGGAGCCTACAACCACAAAACCTAAGGAGGAGCCTGTAATCACAAAACCTAAGGAGGAGCCTACAACCACTAAACCTAAGGAAGAACCTACAACTACTAAACCTAAGGAGGAGCCTACAACTACTAAACCTAAAGAGGAGCCTACAACCACAAAACCTAAGGAGGAGCCTACAACTACTAAACCTAAGGAGGAGCCTGTAACCACAAAACCTAAGGAGGAGCCTACAACTACTAAACCTAAGGAGGAGCCTACAACTACTAAACCTAAGGAAGAACCTACAACTACTAAACCTAAGGAGGAGCCTACATCCACTAAACCTAAGGAGGAGCCTGTAACCACTAAACCTAAGGAGGAGCCTACAACCACTAAACCTAAGGAAGAACCTACAACTACTAAACCTAAGGAGGAGCCTGTAACCACAAAACCTAAGGAGGAGCCTACAACTACTAAACCTAAGGAGGAGCCTGCAACCACTAAACCTAAGGAGGAGCCTACAACCACTAAACCTAAGGAAGAACCTACAACTACTAAACCTAAGGAGGAGCCTACATCCACTAAACCTAAGGAGGAACCTACAACTACTAAACCTAAGGAGGAGACTAAGCCATCGGAGAAAGAGGCACCCGCTCCTAAGGACGAGAAGGCACAGAAAACCCAGGAAACAAAGAAACCTTCGACAGACAAGAAAACCCTGGCTACTGTTCCGGACGAGACCGAGAAGAAAAATGTCGAAACCGACTCTAAGGACAAAGAGACGGAACCAAAGGAAACGGCTACAGAACCCACTGAAACTGAGAAGAAAAATCTTGAAACTGACCCTAAAAATAAAGAGACAACACCGAAAGAAACGGCAACAGACCCGGCTGAAACCGAGAAGAAAAATCTTGAAACCGACTCTAAGGACAAAGAGACGGAACCAAAAGAAACAGCTACAGAACCGACCGAAACCGAGAAGAAAAATGTTGAAACCGACTCAAAAGACAAAGAGACAAAACCAAAGGAAACTGCGACGGAGCCGAATGAAACCGACAAAAAGGTTCTCTCTACAGACCCTGAAGAGAAGGCGGTTAAGACACCACAGACAGAGCCTCCGAAATCAGATGAGAAGAGCATCAAGAGTACAGAAACAAAAAGCGTCCCTAAGGACGACAAAACGCAAGCTACAGTACCGCCTGAAAAGTCTAACGTTGAAACGTCAACTAAACCGGAAGAAAAAGACGCCAAAGACACGGAAACTGTGCCTGTCAAAACTGACAACAAAGACTTGGGCACAGTGAAGGAAGAGCCGGACAACAAGGATGTGGCTACTACAGGCGATCCAAAGGTTGCCACAGATAAGAAAACCTTAGCAACGGTTCCGGACGAGACCGAGAAGAAAAATCTTGAAACCGACTCAAAAGACAAAGAGACAAAACCAAAAGAAACTGCGACGGAACCAAATGAAACCGACAAGAAAGTTCTCTCTACAGACCCTGAAGAGAAGGCGGTTAAGACACCACAGACGGAGCCTCCGAAATCAGATGAGAAGAGCGTCAAAAGTACTGAAACAAAAAGCGTGCCCAAGGACGACAAAACGCAAGCTACAGTACCGCCTGAAAGGTCTAACGTTGAGACGGCAACAAAACCAGAGGAAAAAGACGCCAAGGCAACGGAAACTGTGCCTGCCATCACCGACAACAAAGACTTGGGTGCAGTGAAGGAACAGCCAGACACTAAGGATGTCTCTACTATCAGCGACCCGAAAGTTGCCAAGGATCTCAGTAAGTTGTTAGTTAATACAAATTAGGGGCTTTGAAGGTGTCGGGTACCAACTACAACTTTTGTAATAATAGTGCAATCGTTTCACAACATCTTCTCTATGTTGTAAAGTAATTGACGATTGAATAAAAGTTTTCATCTATGACGATTGTATTCCAATGTTGCAACTGCATAACATAATTTTATGAATACTCATCATCGTAACATATATTGATCCATTTTTGTTCTTTGACAGCCACCACTCCGAAAGAGAAGGTAGCAAAGACGACTGAACCAGACGTTGAAGAAAAACCCGACAAACAGACCGCCACGGACACGACAGAGAAGGATTCCAAATCCACGGAGACAGTTGCTCCTGTTACCGTACCAAAGGAAACGGAAACGAAGGTGGAAGAAAAAGAAGGAAAGCAGACAGGAACAGAGCCCATCCCAAAAGAAGACAAGGGAACCGCAACGGATCTCAAGACGATTACAGATAAGAAAACGGTCGCTACTGAGAAGGAAGCTAAGGATGACAAGGCGGCAGAAACAGAAAAGGAAGCGAAGAATGAAAAGTTTCTGGAAACGGATCTGGACGAAGTGAAGAAGAAAGACCTGGCAACAGTTAAGGAGACACCTGTGGAGAAAGGCGTAGAAACAGATAAAACTCCTACCGAGAATGTCGTCACTGCTACTGATGCGGAGGAGAAAGTCGCTAAGGTGAAGGAAACCGATAAGACGCAGAAAGAAGACGTGGGGACCGCCACGGAGAAGGAGGAGAAAGTGGCGAAGGATGCAGAAACAGATGCACCTGAGAAAGAGGTGAAAACCAATACAACAGACAAGGTAGAGAGATCAGTAAAAGAAATCATGGTCGAGAATGAAAAAGACGAGAACAGTACACAGACGACCAAGGAGTCGTCTGAGAAGGCCTTGGAAACACTCAAACAAGAAAAGGACGAGAAGATATCTGCCACCGACATAGAGGAGAAATTGCCGAAGACCACCGAAACTGAAAAAGAGGAGAAAAGCGCAAAACAGATCGGCGTTAAGATCGAAGTTACGAAGACTGACCAAGCAACAGATACAAAGAAGGACATCGAAGATGAGAAAGTCATTGAAACTGATGCAAAAGAGAAGGGAACCACCGCAGTGTATCAAACAGAAAAGGAAACAAAGGAGCAAAAGGACGTAGTGACGGAGAAGAAAGAAGTTCTACAAAAGCAGATTCTCACAGATCAAGTGGCCACAGCAGACGCGGGAAATATCACAGAGGCTTCTATAAAGGGTGATAAGAACATAGCTACCTTCGGCTTTGGCACAACAAGTCAAGGCTCACAGACGGAGAAAGATGTTACGGATAAGACGATTGGTATCGCGAAAGACTTGCAGAATAAAGAACACGGAACAGACGCCATTGCTGTCAGCACCGGAGAGACACAGACTGAGAGCCAAGGAGTGATCTCGTCTGACACTCAAACCGAAAAGGTTGAGGTTGAAGCCAAGATAATCGCAACCGAAATAGAAGAGAAGATAATTAAAGAAACGCTTGAAAAAATCATAGTGACAGACAAGGTTGCAGTTCAGGACAGCGGTACTCAGAAGTCAGGACCTCACACTGATCCTAAAGGTACCCAGACTGAAGTCGCTGAAAAGGAGGAAGTCAAAGCAGTGGAGCAAGTCGCAAAGGACATCCAAACTGACATCATAAAGAAGGTTGGCAAGAAGACCGGTACTCCAGGCGGCAGGCCACGTGATTATGCAAATACTCCGGCACAGACAGACGAATGGAAGCCTGAGCCAGAAAAACAGGAAGAAAAGATCGAGAAGACGGTAGAAGCTGTTGCGGTCAAGCCAGTCGAACCAGTACGCGAGACAGGAGAAAAGGTCATCGAGACCGACAAACCGATCAAAGTGAGCAAGAAAACAGGCACCAAAGGTAGTCGGGCATACGTGGAGTACAGAAGCAGCGGTATTCAAACCGATCAGGAGGCTGTTGAAGAAAAGGAAGAAATCAAATCGGCAAATGTCGGCATTCAAACAGACGTCATCAAAGAGGAAACAGTCCCGGTCACCATAACTGCTGGATGCCAGACAGACACCGTGGTCAAGGAGGAAAAAGTCACACAGGTTACTAGAGAACCTGACAAAGCCAAACCGATAGAAGTAAAGAAAGAATCGGCAAGTGTCGGCATTCAAACAGAGGTCATCAAAGAAGAAGTAGTAGCACCGAAAGAGCCCGTTACAATCACCGTAACTGTTGGATGCCAAACACTAGAAATAAAAGAGACCGTCGCTACGGGTTCCGTGAATGTACAGACAGACGTGACTGGGTCTGACATCGATGGGTGGCAAACACATCAACGCGAGAAGGTCGTACAAGAGGAGAAGGCGGTCACCATAAGTGAGTCCTCACAAACCCCGAGCAAGGAGATGAAGGATCAAGGACTACAGTTCTCGCCTAAGATGGGCAACATTGGAGTGCAGTTTGGGCCCAAACAGGTTAGCATCTACATTTACCACTTTAATGAATATGGAAAATATAGTACCAAGTGTGAAATTCATTAAACAAAGCATCATAGGCCTTTCTCCTTGCAATATCAAATATTTAGAACTATCTTTTTATATCCTGGTGCACAGATTATAATGTTAAATATTACCGATTGTGTTTTGTATGGATACTTAGAATTTTACCTCCTTGTTAAGGTAAGGTAAGGTAAATTATTTGTATCGGTTTATGTTTTACTTCCCCGACTCTGTAGGACTCGGCCGTCACCCAGACCGAAGCCGACAAGGTGAAGACCATTTACCGGAGCTTGGAGACACTGAAGGACATTAAGAGGTATCGAAGTATGGAAACCTTCAAACGAAAGGAAAGCAAAGAAGACATCGGGCCAAATCCCACTTCCCCGGATACTAAAGAGTGAGTACACGTTTATTTCGCAACAGCGTTCTCAAAGTTTGTCAAAGACTAAACTAAAACAAATGTATAATGTTAACCTTCACGTGGTGTATCCTAACATACTACTTCATCCTTGTACTCAAACAGATTCATATATATATATATATATATATATATATATATATATATATATATATATATATATATATATATATATATATCTAT